TGGTTTATCTGGTATGTATCTGAACTTCGCTATATACTTTCCTTCAAACCTCTCCCATCTCTTTAGGGCAGTGGTTCCCAAACTTTAACAACCTGTGAACCCCTTTCACTGAAAGGTCAAGTCTCGCAAACCACCTCCTAAAAATGAATACTTCCAGGGATTTTCTACTTTACCTGAGTATAAATTATAAAAGCAGTGATCTTGGAAATATAAAATTTGTTTTTATGACATGCTTATTACACACTATTTATAATTAATTATTATTTACCATTACAGTATTTTTATTACATTATGAAAATGGCAACACTCTTCCAAGATCTCACTTTTGTACCTTGTATCACTTTGAATAACCCTGTTATAAGGGCTCCTATGTTTCACCAAGGAGTATCAGATGTGAAACAGCAGGAAGGTATTTAAGAAGCCAACTCGGAGTTCCTCCTACACAAGCAGTCAGGTCTTGAGCAGTCCAGGCAAACAACGCACGTTACAACAAAACTTAAACTTGATCGTCATAATAATTTAAAAACAACACTAGCAGCCTATTTAATTTTAAAAATGGCAAAAAAAAATCCACCTCCCTTTCCATTTCTTATGAGGAGTCTTGAAGTTTAAATCTCCTCATTGTGCTAGATATGCTTGTTTTGATCTGATTAGCTCTTGGAAGTCCAGGGGCTCCGGGCTGCTGGCCCCATGCTGCCCCAGGTCCCTAGGGACAGCTCTGTCCGCCATTAGGGAATTTTCCCCTGAGAACCCCCTGTAACATTTCGCGAACTCCCAGGGGTTCATGAACCCCAGTTTAGGAACCACTGCTTTAGGGAAACAGCTCATCCCAGGCTTTCTTGCCATTCACGCAACAATCTGTGTGGTGCCCCGCTTCTTCTCTTAGCGGTGTGGCAGCCCACGATGATCATTGGGGTAAGAATTGCGATCGAGTTTACAGATCTACAGCAGAAATGTTCTTTGCTGGTTTTTTCCACAACGCCATGGCAAGGGTAGAATGAATATCTTGTGTATTTTCGTGGCAGCGAACTTCAATCACAATGGAACTTTACTGGCCTGCCAGTTAGCAGAAATTACCTTTGCTGAGAAGATGTGCTAGGATTTTACATTGATCACCATTTGCACATTGCCTTCTGCTGCAAATCTCAGTGTGCTATAGTGTAGCTCTACTCTGAAAAGAGGCCCTTGAGGTGGGTGTTCCACGTTCACTATCCCTCAGTAAATCCCATATAAAACATAACTCCTAGCGTAAACTAGGATGAGGGTGTTTTCCTTGGCCATCCTGTCACTAGAGCCAGTGGTGCTACCCTGATGCCCAGAAAAGCCAGCAACTCTCACGTGTTCAGTAATGGGGTACTACACTCTGAATATGGTGTGACTGGCTTTCAGATTGAGTGGTCAGTAATTTGTACTGGACTTGATCCAATGCCCACTAAAATCAGTTGGGACTCTTTCCATGAAAGGCAGGGTCTGATCCAAAGTTGATCACCAGGATAACAGATGTGAGCACAGAGCAAACAAGCCTGTACTCTAATTTCTATAAGCGCTCTTTTGGTGATACATAATTTTGGAGCGTGATGGCTTGTGCTAGGTAACTGTTATCAACTGGTGTGAAGAGCAGCCCAAGTAAGATATTTGCAGTGCACACTAAGTTGCCTTGGTCCTACAAATCCAAGGAATAATGCTGTGTTCTTGAGCACTATTTCCCAGCATGTTATCTAGTAACTAATTTACATATATGCAGATAGGAGTACTCTGTAATGAGTGAAGCTCCTTCCAGTGAGCAAAAGCCTCATTCCTAGTCCCAGGGAATTCTGGTGAATCCTGCACTTGGAGTTTTTCAGGGGCATGGCACGTTCTTTTGGAGGAATTGTTCTCCCTAGACCAGTGCTGCTCAAAGTGGCGGACCGGTGCCGGTCCGTGAGCCATCGGCTGCCGGTCTGCGCACACATTGGGGGGGAAAAATTGCCAGTCCCCCACATCAGATTGCTTGAGAAGTACTGCCCTAGACCACAGAGCAGCCTGGCTATTGCAGCAAGCTCATGGTGACACTGATACAAGATTGGTGACGAGCATGGAAGTTTCATGGATCATTGCTTCTCTTTTGACTCCTTCAGCTACTAGCTGCACAACAAGACTTAATCAGACCTTGGATTTAATTTGTGTGTGAGAGAGAGAGAGAGACTGACTCAGCCCCAGCAGTCTCCCTATTTGGGGAGGAGGGCACCATTATTTTAGAGAGAGGGTTTATTTTTGAGGATTTTCCAGTTGAGAGCGTATGTATCCCTCTAATCCAGGGGTTCTCAAATGGGGGGTCGTGACCTCTCGGGGGTTACAAGGTTGTTACATGGGGGTCATGAGCTTCAGCTCCATGCAGCTGACAGCTCTGAGCCCCCATTAAATTAACCCCCCCCTTTTTAATTTATAAGGGGGGCGTCAGACTCAGAGGCTTGCTGTGTGGAAAGGAGTCCCCAATACAAAAAGTTTGAAAACCACTGCTCTAATCTGTCTGTCTCTCAAGCACCGGGACCATTAGCAGAAAGTATTTGAGGGTTGGACCAGATAAACCTCTGAAAATGTAGTAGTCCTGAGTTATGAAATACTTTAGGGGTAAGAATAGTATGGTGGGTAAAATGAGGGAAGTGTGACGCATACGTTTAGATATTGCCACATTCTGCCTATATATATGTGTGTGTGTGTGTGTGTACACACCCATACACACACACACACGTAGGCAGAATGTGGCAATTCAATAACCAGAAGTCTCACTGCAAGCCATGTCACCTGAGTGGTGCATTCGGGGATATATTCAGTGAGCCAGGAAGTAGGGGGAAGAGCTATGCCCCACTTATGTGCTGTTCTCTTGTTCCCACACTACTACCCTTCTTCTGCTCTCTTCCTGCTTTCCCCGGTACACCTTCAGTGGGCTCTTTTCTCTTGTACCTTCTGCTGCACTGGTGGAGAAAGCGCGCAGCGGCAGGAGTCAGAAAAGTCACATGCATTCGCTCAAGCAGGGCATGGTGATGGCTGTGCGCAGTAGCCTAGTTAGTGCAGTGATGGGAGAGACTTGTTATGTCCCTTCCAGGCAGAAACAAACTGCCTGCCCCTGAAATCAGCTGCTGCTGTCTTTCCCCAATTCACTTGCACGCATGGTGGCATGTTCTAAATCTGAATCCCATTGGTCTTGTGTGTGTGTGTGTGTCTCCCTCGCTCTCTTTTGTGTGTGTGTCTTGCATCTTGTAGGCTTCCAGGTTATCAACTTCATTCTTTAAATGAAAGAGGCTGTGTTCTGTGTACATCTTCGCTTTCCGCTGTAAGGGACAAACCTGCTGGCGTTCAAGGAAAGGCCAGCTCAAGGTTTGCAGGAGCTGTGAGGTACAAAAATCCAACCACCAGAAGACTAGGTTCAAATGGAGCTATGTTGATCTGTTAGGGCCCAAAAAGCAAAATTATCTTTTGGGAGATGTGGAGGAGAGGGAGATCTTATTTGTAAGTGTAAATATCTGAGTCTTTTAGGGGGAGGGGTTGAAGCCCAGACGCTAGATAGTTTTAGGATGGGGCAGTAGGGTGACCAGACAGCAAGTGTGAAAAATCGGGACGGGGTGGGGGGTAATAGGAGCCTATATAAGAAAAAGACCCAAAAATCGTGACTGTCCCTAGAAAATCGGGACATCTAGTCACCCTATGGGGCAGTCATTTTGAAAATCTGTATGTTGCAAATACATTCCAGGGTATGACTTGCCTAAAGAATAGCTTTCTCCATACAAGTCTAAGGCTGAGTCCATCCAAACCAAAACAAGAGGATTATAAATGATCAAGTAGCAAACTTCAATCTGTATAAATGTTTTGTTCACCAAAGCAGAGCCAAGGTAACTGCTGAGTTTACCTTGTAGGCAGCAGTTCACAGAAGCCCCCAAAAGTTTGTGGCCAGAATTTTCAAAGTTGAGGGCCTAACATTCAGTAGCTGGCTCCATATTTAGGCACTTAAATACATGGGTTAGAGTTTTCAAGCTCAAGAGCATAAAGTGAGGCACTGGAATAAGTGGCCTGACTCTTTCTTGTTCTTCTTCCAAAGGCTCTGAGCACCAATGACTTGCAGTGATTTCAAAGGGGTGCTGCAGGTACTCAGCATCGCTGACCATCAGGCCACTTATTCCTGTACCTAACTTTAGGCAACTGAGTCTGAAAAGCCTGACCTAGATTCTCTTCAAAAAGCTCTTGAGTCTGGAAATCTCCCATGACCCGGCTGGTTGAGATTCCCAATGCTTCCTGCTTCAGAAGGACCAGAAATAAAGCAAGAACGACCTGTCTCGTGGCGCTTTTTTTTTTTTTGGTGGAACTTTTTGCTTTTGGCACTGGCTGCGTGCCAGGAGTACAGAATGACCAATGGGACTCAAGGGCTGGGGGAATGTGAACTGAAGTTTGGGGTTTTGAACCTGGGAGTCTGGTTTGAGCTTCCATTCTGCCGGTCGCTAAAGGTCATAAAAATGCTTAATAAATAGTGTGGCCACTGAGATGATATTGTATTTTCTGTTGCAATGGCATCCAGCTTCTCTGCTCACCATTGGAATAATCCTGCAGACTGCCGGGGCTCTGTGGCTACTCATAAACCTTGTCCTGTGCAGCATGCTGTAATTTAATCAGAGGTATTCTTCTCTTCTGGCACAACAGATAATGCCATGTGATTGTGGATTGCATAGATGTCAGGAACAGAGGCGTTGTCAAGCAGGAGCAGGCCATTGGTCCTAGCTTTGTGTCATACTTCTGGCTGTAGCCAATACCAAAGGCATAACTTCTCCATAATATACCTGGACAGGCCAGTGCTATATCAGTGTGAGAGTTAGTGTGGGATGAGGAAATTCATTCTTAAACCAATAGGTACCATCAGTTTATTTCCTATAGGTCTAGCAAAACAAAGAGCCCATCAAAAGGAGGAGTCTCTGCAGAGACACATACTGCTTACTCTCCATCGCAGATCTTGAACCACCATTGGCTGGTTTGTAACTTCAAGGCTGACTTCTAAAAATAGTCTTCTGGCACATTGCCAGCATGGGGCGGTTGGGAAGTCACAAAATGGACTAGCAGGTTTGATTTTAAAAAGACTCCGCAAGAGTTAATGAAAACGGAGCTCCTCCTGGCATGTAACACTTCTGGCCTGTGAATTCCACGGAATGCAGCGATCCTACAGTGCTCTGTGGCTAGTGGAGGACCTGGAATCCAGTTCATGGATGACGGTGTGATATTTTAATACAAATGTACTTGACACACATTGTAATCTCTAACCTGAGAATTGAACCATTTCTGGAACGTCGTATAACAGTAGCTATGGAAACAGAGCTCTCCTATTAGACAAGCAGGAAGGAGGATAAAGCTGCTTTGAGAGACTGCGCTGTGTTCAGCTGTGCCAAGCCCAAAAGGACAGGGACATTTCAACAGCAAAGGCTTAATTTTGAAAACAAAACCATTTAGATGTTGCTTGCAGACCGTATGAAAGAGAAGCTGCTGCAGACGGACTTTGTATAAAGAGATGCTGCTCGCTCAGAAAGAAGAAGAAAGTTGAGGAACAAAATCTAGACGGGTGTCTGGTCAGTTACTCATCAGAGGTCAAGTTCATCCCTGCTGTAACTTCACTGATCTAAAAGGACAAAGCGCGGTTGTCCAGTCAGTTTAAAAAATTACTTTTCCCTGGCTGTTTTTTTGTGGTTTTACAATAACAGTTTCCATTTTTTTAGATTGTTTGTTTGTTTTTTGGTGACTCCCCTGTTGCTTTGTAAAAGACTCTCAAACAGGGGGAAAAGAAAAGGAGTACTTGTGAGCTACAGCTAGCTCATGAAAGCTCATGCTCAAATAAATTGGTTAGTTTCTAAGGTGCCACAAATACTCCTTTTCTTTTTGCGAATACAGACTAACATGGCTGCTACCCTGAAACAGGGGAAACTGACTTTACAGGGGAAGCTATGAAACTGGATAGGTACAAACTACTGTGCATCCACAAAGCAAACTAAAATAAATATGCTTCTCCCCCCTCCCCGCCCCCTCACTCTCTAAACTTTTTATTTATTTTTTAGGTTAGTGTCCCTTTACTTGGAGTTGCACTCAGGAACAAATTTGGCTTCATGAGTCAGAGATGTTCAATTTGCATAAAGCCAAAGCAGCCGGACAAATGGAGAAGTAGACAGGTCCAGATCTATGGATAAGGGCAACAAAAATGATTAGGGGTCTGGAACACATGACTTATGAGGAGAGGCTGAGGGAGCTGGGATTGTTTAGCCTGCAGAAGAGAAGAATGAGGGGGGATTTGATAGCTGCTTTCAACTACCTGAAAGGGGGTTCCAAAGAGGATGGCTCTAGACTGTTCTCAATGGTAGCAGATGACAGAACGAGGAGTAATGGTCTCAAGTTGCAGTGGGGGAGGTTTAGGTTGGATATTAGGAAAAACTTTTTCACTAAGAGGGTGGTGAAACACTGGAATGCGTTACCTAGGGAGGTGGTAGAATCTCCTTCCTTAGAGGTTTTTAAGGTCAGGCTTGACAAAGCCCTGGCTGGGATGATTTAACTGGGAATTGGTCCTGCTTTGAGCAGGGGGTTGGACTAGATGACCTTCTGGGGTCCCTTCCAACCCTTATATTCTATGATTCTATGATAATCTGGCTAGTAAAACACTGAGTTCTGAGAAGTAGATTAGTGTGTTGCTATTTTCTCTCTTATTTATTAAAGATGTGGAATGTATCCTGTTTCAAAGAGCCCAAGGCTCAAATATGGCACATAGTATGTGGAATAAACTACTGCAGGAGTTGTTGCTGTTCCTATCAGTCTGACTGTAGATGGGCATGGCAACGTGGGGTCTGTATTTGATCTGATAGTGTTCAGAGAGTACTGGAGTGGCCAGCCCTGCAAACAGGCTGTGATCTGAAAACCATGCTGTGCTCTTTCTGATTTAAAAGCAGGCTGGTGGAAAATTTTCCATCTAAACTGTTTTTAACAGAAAATTGGGTCTTTGAATAAATGATTTTTTTTCTTTTGAAAAGTGTTGGCTTTCTGTGGAGAATTTATATTTCATGCTATACTGAAAACTGAAATATTTTGGCTGGTAACTGAAATATTTTGGTTTAAAAATGGCATTGTGGTGCCTCATGGGAGTTGTAGTCCCATCTGCCTTATCCTCCCATTCTCTTTCGTGGGATTAAACTCTCCGGCTGGACTATACCTTCCACAATGCACTACTTTCTCTGCTCTTGGTGAGGGGAGGAAGTTTGTCAGGAGCCCCTGGCCTACCATGGGACTACAGCAGCCATAAGGTGTCATTTGAATCAAAATATTTTGGTTTTCATTGTTGAGATTTTCCAAGGGAGAAAGAAGAGAGTATTTTCTGCCCAGCACTGTTTCCAATTCCTGCCTGGTAGCAAGAGGTGAGCCAGAACCAAAACCTCCCCAGTCACCACTGCACCCCAAACTTTGGGGCAGTATGGGTCCAGACCCAGGTTGTGGCCTGGCTTAGCCCCATCTCCAGGAGTGAAGATTCATTTGGAACTTGGCTGGCAATTCTGCCCACCCTGGCTGCGAGCTCTTTGGGGCTGAGCACCAAGTGGCCCCTTTCTTGGTGTTGTATAGATGATAAATAATGATGCCCAAGGCAGAACCGAATGCTGCCCACCCTCCCTATCTGGGCTGGTTCTGCTGTGCTAACCAGAAAGGAGAAACGGCTTTTTTGCCAGTCAGGTAAGTGATACACATGTAAGAAGGTGCCACTTTTACACAGGCGTTCTTCTAATAACAGCCATGCTTTGGGAGAGATTTTAACGAGTTAGATGCTCAGTTCCATGAAATTTCAGTGTCGCTGGGGAATTGAGGGCTTACCACCCTGGGCCTCCTTTGACACTCCCTATCTTTGCATTCTAGCTGAGCAAAGTGTGTGGTTCTCTCCTCCCCCGAGGCTAATGGGAAAAGGGAATCTTGCTTTTTAAAAAAAATATTTTTTTAACCTGGACTGTTGCATGCGTTCCTGCTGTGGCTCCCCCAAATGCTTTACAGTAGGGGGCTATTTCTTAGCCCCAAGCCTTGCAAGCTGATGGCATGGGGCCTTTCCAGCCCTGAGCCTTAAGGGGCAAGCAGACGCTGCTTCTATCAACGGGGTGTGGGAGAGTCCCTCTCTCCAAAGCACCTTGCCTGAGGTGGCCATGAGCCCTTCCTGCCCCTTTGCACACCTGTGTGGGGCTGTGGCGTGGGGCAGGCTGCAGCCGGCCCCAGGAGCTGAGTTCCAGTGTGTTCTCCCCAATAGGGCTCAGGGTCTGCACTGCCCGCTGGGGACCTGGCCGATCCAGCGCTGGGCATGGAGAGCAAGGAGCGGTATCGCAATCCCACCGAGGTGCAGATGAGCCAGCTGGTGCTGCCGTGCCACACAAACCACCGCGGCGAGCTGAGCATCGGGCAGCTGCTGAAGTGGATTGACACCACAGCCTGTCTTTCTGGTAAGCGGAGCTGCGCCGCGGAGTTTGGCCGCTCACCAGGAGCTACGCCCTAAGGCTGCCAACTTGCTAATTTCTGAAAACTAGACGCTACAGCAGGAGAGCCGGAATCTCCCCCCCACCCCACTTCTTTCCCCGAGGCCCTGCCCCCATCACTCACTGCTCTCTCCCCTCCCCCTTCCTCCTCGCTCGATCCCTTCCCCCAACCAGCTGGGCTTCCTCTGCTCAGGGCTAGGACAGGAGCCTGCCTGCCCACGAGATGCAGGTAGGAGGTGCCCTCAGTTGAACAGGGGGGTTGACGACCCAGCCCCTCCTCCCTTTGCCCCCTGACCTGTGGTAGCTGGACTTTTGGTGTCCAGTCAGTACATGCGATCGGACACTGTGTACTGGGCCCCTTTCAACTGGACATCCGGCAACACTGGCATCCACTGGGCTAGCTCGGAGCTTCAGGGCTGCTTGTAAGGTAGGCCAGGCCAGTTCTGATCCAAACCACGTTTTTTGTGCACTGCCTGACTCTTGTTTTCTTTCACTCACCTCCATTCTCCATAGAACTTGCCCGCCTTCCTGTTGGCCATGAAATCAGCTGATGTACCCCCTCGTTTCTCTATAGAGACTAGAGAACATCCCTGAATAAAGGATGTAACCTTGTCACAGATTTCTATTCCCAGGTACCTCAATAGTGATCTGTTCAGTGCTTGGTCTGAACATCGATGGGACACCACCATGGTACTATCTCCATGGCTTGTCTTCAAATGAGTCATGGGGTCCCCCATTCTGTGGGATCTTCCCCCCCCCCCAGCTCCCTCTCCTCTCTGCCCATCTGATGAGGTTATAAGAGCTCAAACTGTCTGGATGGAAGTTGTTGTGGACAGGATACCTCTATTATATTTTAGCCTGTCCCTTTTCAGAGAGCTAAGAGTACAGCCTCTGCTCCAGGAATTTCATCTGATCAAGTATTAACAGAGGAAACGTGACCTATAAAGAGAATATGTAGGAACAGCATTGGTAAAAACTAGCTAGCAGATGTGTTCCTGCTATTAAAAGGTCCAGTCCATTTCCTGGCTAATGCAGGAGTGTGCTTGTCAAGCCGTCTGTAGTGGCTCAAGAGCATGAGTGCCAACCTCAGAGCAGACTCCTGGTCTAACCACTAGGCGAGACTGCCCGCATCCCAATCCTACGACACCAATTCAGCAGAACGGTTAAGTGTGTGCCATTGAAACCAGGGGACTTGCTCTTGAAGTTTAGCACATGCTAGTAGTGCTTTGGTGGTGAGGGGTGGGATTACTCTCATCTGCTGAAGTGTTTTGCTGAACTGGGGCCAAGGGGAGGACGCTAAACTAGATGAACCAATAACCTTGTCAGGTACAGCAGTTCTGTCCCCATAGAACAGGGTTATGTATATGAGTGTGTTCAGACTATGGGACATATGGTTGATAAGTTCTGTATCTTAACATGACAAAAAAGGGGGAAAACAAACAGGAAAACTTAAATGTGGAGGGGAAGCAAATAAAAGGGGATGACGGATCTAGTCCTTAAATGAAAGGGTTTTCAAATTACTGGGGGATCAAATATGAAGGTGAGCAGGGGTGCAATTCAGAACAAAGCATCAGTGAGATGGTGAGGGAAATCCTGGCAAACTGCTCTCACGGGAGTTCCCCAGAAACCGAAGAAGTGAGACCCCAGTAGGATTAGCATGGAAGAGGATCCTGCTTCTTAAGAGGTGGGTGGGTAGATCTGAGAGCTCTCCCAAAGATAACACAATTGTGCAATTTACTGTAATGAAACTCTGCTCTAGGATTAAGACTCTGATGCCACAGTTTGAGTTCTTCCTTGTGGTCTGGGAAGTGGGTCTGTGGAAGGCTCTTATGAAGTGGTCCACAGAAGGAAAAGGTTGGAGAACCCCCTCTTAGAAAATGTAACGCTGGCAGGGCCGAAATGGTGACATTGTCCCCCCGTGTGTATGAGAGACTCAGATGTAATAGTCCTGTAGATTAGCTGTCTGCAGTGTCCAGCTGTAGGTGCTGTCACACCATGGTGTTCATGCAGCGCTTGCTAGGGCTGTGTCACCACGCATCTTGCGGTACCATGTTTTCAAGGGTTATCTGTGGTTACATACAGCATAACTACCAAACTCACCCTCCATTTTGGTCAATTTCGCAGTCCTAGGATTTTTAAAATGGTAAATGTCATGATTTCAGCTATTTAAATCTGAAATGTCATGCTGTTGTCACTGTAGGCGTCCTGACCCAAAAAGGAGTTTGGGAGGGGTCGTAAGATTATTGTGGCCGGGATCCAGGCAGAGCCACCGCCAGCAGCAGCGCAGAAGTCAGGATGGCATGGCAGAGTATTGCCACCCATACTACTGCGCTGCTAACTGCAGAGCTGGGCGCCCAGCCAACAGCTGCTGCTTTCCAGCTGCCCGGCTCTGAAGGCAGTGCGGAAGTCAGGGTGGCAATTCCCCAACCCCCTCCCCCCCCCAAATAACTTTGTGATGCCCCCCCTGCAACTCCCTTTTGGGTCAGGACCCCAAATTTGAGAAACGCTGGTCTCCCCTGTGAAATCTGTACAGTATAGGGTAAAAACACACAAAAGACCAGATTTCACAGTCCATGACGTGTTTTTCATGGCCGTGAATTTGGTAGGGCCCTAAGTATAGCTTCTAGCTGAAACTTGGTACCCAGGGCCTTTGCCCGCTGTCACGTTTCCTTATCAAATGAGGTTGTAAAAACCAAATAGGCATTGGGATTTAAAATAAAATGTTGGCAAGAGCTTGATACATGATGCTGTCCTTAATTGGGTTTCCAGTGTGGGGATTGCACTTCCAAGAAAGCTTTCGAGGGAGGATGGGCCAGTGATTAGGGAAGTAGGCTAGGACTTGGAAGTCCCAGGTTCAATTCACTGTTCTGCCACAGACTTTCCGTGTGACCTTAGGCAAGTCACTTAATCTTTCGGTGCTTCAGTTCCCCATCTGTAAAAATGGGGATAATGGCACTTCCCGACCTCACAAGGGTGTTTTGAGGCTAAATACGCTCACGCTTGTGAAGCTGTTTAAGGTCTGCTGACGAAAAGCACCATATAAGAGGTAGGTATTTGTATTTATAGAACCCACGCTCTTGGAGATCTTCTAGCCACAGGAGATAACAAGGCAGTTTCCAAGGTATAGCTAGGATGTCTTTAAAATATAAACTACCCACCAATTGCTTACAAGATAAATAGACGTCCTAGCAACAGACAAGAATGTGGAGAGAGACTTGAGGACACACGGATATAATTTTTTAAAAAATCTAATCTAATTTATCTCTGTTTAGTAGAATGTACAATTGGTTTAACTGTTACAATATGTTTGACAGATTTAGGGGGAAAATCAGCTAAGAAAACTGCTCCATTAATTTGATCAGTTAGTGTACTGGGATCAGTATGTCTGTTGACTGGAAAGATCAGACAGGTAATCTGTATGCTGGCCGATGTTAAACACATACAGCCTTTGATTAAGGGAAGTACAAATGGGCATCTTCTCCATGCAACCTGTGGTGACCCTCAACATAGAGGAAATCTTGTGTCCTACACACACTGGACAATGTGGATCTGCAGAGACCAGAGTTCCATATGTCTGTTCAAAATCTGCAACTAGAGTTGCAAGAACAGAACAAGTCCATTTATTTGGTGCACTGATTGTCTAAAGGTAACTGATGCGGTTTGTTCTCCTTTTTAGCCGAGAGACATGCTGGCTGCCCCTGCGTCACGGCTTCCGTGGATGATATCTATTTTGAGCACACGATTAGGTAAATGCCTTGCTTTCCTCTCTTGCAGTTTGCTGGTTTTGAAAAAAGTCTCTTCTTCTGCATGCAGCAAATATTCAGGAGCTGGAGTTTGTACACCATGTTAATTATCCCTTCTGTTCTGGACAAATAAACCACATCCCCTCAACCCAGTCCAGAGGGAAGGGAATGTAAGACACAGTGGCTCTGAACCCAGAATCTGAGATGGACCCTACAATATACCTACATGTTAAGGGCTAGAATCCCCCGGGGATCTGACAATGAACAACCTCATGTTACTTATCTAATAATATTGATGTTTAGTTCATTTGGGAGGCTCTTGCTTGGTTATCCTCCTGGTTTTTTCTCATCATCTAGCTGCTCTTTTATTTGTTCAAGCAACCCCCGTTGATTAAGGGTATATCTACGCTGCCAAAAACTCACCTCAGTACCCGTGGCAGTGAGTCTTAGCACCAGCTAAACTGCCTTGTGCTTATGCCATGGAGCTAAAAATAGCCGTGTTCCCACTTGGGCGGGAGCCTGGGCTCTGAGACTCATCCCCCGCACAGGGTTGCAGAGCCCAGGCTCCCGCCTGAGCGGGAATGTTTAACACTGGTAATTTTAGCCTCACAGCAGGAGCCCGAGTCACTTGACCCTGGCTTTGAGCCTTGCTGCTGCAGGGATGGCTTTGTTTGTTTGCATTTTGCGGTGTACATGTAGTGTTTATAGCCCAGAAGACAAGGCTGTCTGTAAATACCTCTGTAGCACCTTTTCATTCAAGGATCTCCAGTCCCTTGATAACCATTAACTAAACCCGACAACATGCCAGGAAGAGTAGGTAAGGAGATATAGGGATCATTGCTTCACCCACAGCTGAAATGCAGCCAGCTCTGGGGTGGAACACAGAAGTTGTCTAATGGCATGTGATAATGTAATGTTCTAGTGTGCAGTCAGAAGTGAAGAAGTACTTTTAATTCTAAACTCCTTGCTGTCTCCATAAGCTTTGTTGAATGAAATACTGTACTGCACTGCATGTGGACTTATTCATAATCTTACTGGCTTACAAGACCTAATGCCTCCTACAGTGAGAGCACTGTGTGTGGCTCTGTGAAGAACTTCAGATCCAGCGAAGTTTCTGAACTTTTGAGTGCAAGCAATCTAAGATGCCATTTCCCTGAAAATGTTAATACTGTGTTAAAGGCTCCCTGTGATTTGCAGGTATTGCATTATTAAAGGGACACACACAGTTCGTGAGCTCCGGCCAACATTTGTTCATCAGCAGATTTGAGAGCTGTAGATACAAGATATCTTAATGTCCTCAAGCCCCTTTACAATTTAGAAAAGGTCAGTTAGTTCATTGCATATCTTCCTTTCTTCTAATGTCCATGGCGTGACTAGGAGCTACCATCACAGTTCTAAACCATCCCTTATGGCTCTAAATGCGCGGCTGCTCCTGAAGGTAGTGGCTGCATCCAGCAGTCATGCGTCTTCTGTCCTGTCAGACCTCCTAGGAAAATCCTGATGGTGCATTAACTAATGGACAGTCCCTTGATGGGTAAACTGATTCAGATAGGAGAACTGACCTGAACCTTGACCCAAACCTCAAGCCTTTATTGGAGGCTTATTTTTTAATGTATTCCATTTATTTTACATCTGATTCTTGTCCCAGTCAGACGCAGGAAGGAGAGGAGAGGTGGTACCTGTATCTCTAACCTGACAGGAGGTAGAAGGCACAGTACCAGAAATTTCACACCCGTCTGTTCTCAGGAGACAAGCAGCCAGCTATTGAGCCTTGAGAGCTTGAGATGAGCGTTCAGTCACCTGTTCGGATTGTTTTCTAAACCAAACCTTGACATCTATTTTTTTTTTTTTAAGTGTGTCTCATTGCTAACCTGCAGCAGCTGGAGTAGACTATCCAGCAACAAACTTAGTGAAGTAATAATAAGCTAGATCAAACCCCTCTCTTCTGTTTGAAAGAGATCCAGAAGGCAGCTAGTTCAATAATGGAGTGGCACAGGATTAATTACAGGCATACCAGTCATGTACCGGATGAAAAATCCTTTGGTGTTACAGTGCCCCAGACAGAACATTAACATGTCATATGTTTAACTGTACTTTTGTTGCTCTGTCAATATATAAAATATAGACAAATGACACCTAGATGGCTTAGGAATTGGGAGTAGCTGTGGAGACTTCTCCCCTGAGCAATAGTTTCAATCTGTCCTAGGCCAGTAGTGATAAAAGTTCCCACTTTGGCTACTGATAGGTGGCCTGTGTGAAATGATTTGGGTATTTTGGTTGGTTTCTTAGATCATCCTTATGTGAGATTGACTAGATGAGAAACAGAGCCCTGTTCCTAGAAGCAGGCATTGCCTCTGCTCATGCTGCTAACTTTTAAGTGGATAAACGGAGATCTGTCTCACGTGCAATCACTTTGACGTCTCTCAGCACTCCTCCATTCCATTTAAAATCTATAGCAAAATCACAAAGGGGATCCAAGATAGTAGCCAATATTAGTAAAAATCAAATTAATAAAGGGAAATGTTAATTTGTGAGAAGCTTGCTTTTTTTTTAAAAAAAAAGAGGATTGGTGGTTTTGGAATCTCCCACTAATCTTTTGGTAATTGTGTTAATAGACTTTGATTTATTTGATGAAATAAAGTGAAAAATGGCCAGGTGATTGTTTAAAATAATTTAATCTTGAAGACCAATTCCTCTACATCTTGTCTGTGCTCCAGAGATGGAGACACCATCATGTAATGTGCCACCTTTTATGTGTGTGTTAGGAATTTATGGCCCTTGTTATGTAGACAGCTGATAAATAGCAGACGGCTGATAAATAGAATGCCGTGAGAACATACAGCCTTACCAGTATGTCTTAGAGAGTGCTCTGAGGCTTCTTAAAAATGTTAAAGTAACTAAATCAAGCCTCTGGATTCAACCACTTACTCTAAATAAGCTTTAAACACAGGTATTTGTGACTCTTGTTTTAACATTCCCTTTTAATTCTGTAGTCTACTGGTGCTGAAGCTAGGTAGCGGTTGGACCCAGTTGCGATAGATGGTATGGAGAGATCTAAGCTAGCTAGCTACCTTCAACTCCCATCAGCCACTGGGAGCAGGCTTCAATCTCGAACCTGGTTTAAACCTGCCAGCCCCAGTGGCTGATGGGAGCTGGCCACCTTTCTCCAGGACAGCCATTGAGCTGGTTACTCTGCATGCAGTAAGACTGAACAAGATCCAAACCTGAGAGGGGTGGGGAGAGATTCCCTTGCCCTCCTGAAAGGAGTCTTGTGTTTGTATTTCCAGGCTCAGGCCTGGCATTGCTTGTCAGCTAGGTAGGAAGGCAGATTGCCATCTAATAGATCAGGGCTGACTAGTAGTTCTCCCATAAGAGTTTCTACAAACATTCAGGGAAAACTCATCAAGTTTGGACCTATATAGATTTGGACTCCATGGTGGAAACCCTGTAATCCTGCTGACCTGCCCTTGCTGCTTCTCCACTGTGGTGCAGGGAAAAGATCCCTATATGAAAAATGAATTAGCTGAAAATGAGTGAAATCTCCAAAAGCTGGCTGTTTTGTTTGGAATGGCCTTTTGGGGACTCTCCCTTGCCACCCAGTATGATGATAGTTAGATGCCTGACGTAGCAAATTTTGATGAGAGTGAGAGAGTTGCCATTTTCCTAGGAGGGTTAGAGTCCAAACTATATCTTCCAAGTAGAGATCACAAAACTTTCCAGAGGCATTTGGGGTGGAGAGGGGCTGAGAGGTTCTCAAGAATTCACCTTCATAAAAACCAGGAATCGAGGCTAATCCTTGCTATTCCTCCATTCAGGCATTAGGCAGATGTGAGGGGGACAGCTGTGTTCTGCAAAACTGAGCGGGATTACAAGTGGTCCTGCACAGGGCTCTAGTTGGTACCGCTCCAGTGACTGGCCACAGTAGAGAGCCAGAATTCTCCTTCTCCAAAGTCATGGCGCTATCATTGCCAGCTTGTCCTGGGCTGGAAGCTTGACATTGTTCTAAGGTCTCATCCTCTTCAGAAAGAAACCTTTTAATGAAGCTTAAACTCCTATTTTTAACAATTGAGCCAGGGGACTTGATGTGGACTAGTCACATTGAGCTTCATGCTAGGAGCAGGGTTTACCCCCGACTAGCTGACCTGATGCTGATCCTGGCTTGTCCTCTTCGACACTGTCCTGTCACCAAACGCACTGTGGAGAATCGCGTTCAGTCGTGTTTAGATCTTCTAGTGAAGATGGGCCAGGGCTGCGCTTTCCTGCTCGGTGGTGTGCTGAATGATCTGGAGAAAGCAGCTAGCTGAGGAGTTCTTTTTCTAAAACGCTCTTCCTAGGCAAGGCTCTCTGCCTCTAGAGCATGACTGGGGTCACTCGGGAGCCCAATGTCAGCTTAGAACAAAAAAGGTAAAAACATCCCAGCCCATGTTTTTGCGCTTCCAGGCTGGGGCGGAACAATGGCTCTCTGCTGCTTTGACTTCCATGGCTGATTTTGGTGCAGACCAAGACCTTGTACAGGACTTGGAATTGTCTGGACAGAGAAATCCAGCTCGCTGGGACTCCTGCCTACTCATGGAAGTCAGAGACAGTCTAGTGATCTCACTAAATCAGTGTGTGCTGTGCTGTTGGTTTGTGTCTCAGGATGATCAGAAGCGCTGTAGAGGTCAGGATATCTGCCCTCTCCTTCCCCCTCCCTCATCTCTTCACATCTTTGCTCCACGCCTGTCCTGTTACTCTCTTCTCCCCACCCCCTTCCCTTCTGTGTCCCCTCTCCCTTCACTTTTCTTTCCTTTTAGCTGATCCCGTCGTAACTAAACCCAGCCCCGCAAAACGTACTGGAGCTAGTGTGCTGTTCATCACATTGGTCACTCTGCTTGTGTGTTCTGCCTCTTCCCTCGCTCGGCGTCTGTCTTGTCTAGTTGGACTGTAATCTCTTTGGGGCAGGGACCGCCTACTATTGTGTTTGTACCATGCCAATCACCACCTTGGTTGGCCCTTAAACATCACCATAATAAACAGGATTAATAATAACAACATCTGAGGGTCAGAGGCCGAAGGTTAGGGGGCCATTCTGGTCTAATAATCGGGGTCGCTCTTTTGGCACGAGTTCTGCAGGCTCATGGGAATTGGTGCCTGAGCCTCTGTTGGCTGGTTAATGGGCTCCTGTTGTAGACGGATCGGGATTGGAACATTTTAGAAGTGATCGTTACAATTAGTGCTATCCGGCCTCGTGTGTGGTCACTGCCTCGGGGTGGTGTCTGCTTTGCATAAAGAGCCAGCAGTCGCCACTTGCATACACACACCCCTTGGTCATCGATGGAGATAGAATTCCGGGCCTTCAGTAATAAAGCATGTGCCCCTCCCACTCGAGAGCAAGGAGAGAGCCTGGAAGCTGTATGTAATTAGCTGTCTGCTACAGACCCTGCAGCCAGCTGCTAGGACACCTGATTGCATGTGCTGTGCCTGTGTGTGTGTACGTGCTTGCCAGGACTTGTGGGCCAGCCATGTGTATCTTTGGAGAAGATCCATCGTGTAAAACGTGGTGGGTGGGAGGGAACGCAGGCAGCAGGGATTAAACTGGAACAATGTATAGCTCTTCTGCCGAAAAGCTGTAGCCATCTTTATCTGTGGAGGAATTACCTGAAACATGAGGTCCTGTTTCAATAAGCTCGTCTAGATTGATTTCACCGGTATCTTAAAGCAGGTCTGAACCCTGCTGCTGTCTGTGCCGTAACGTTCCTGCCTTTCGTCACTGCTACTGCAGGAGTGTTGGGATTGCTGAGCACACACCGCTCCAGAGAAGATCTGAAAGGTCATTGGGCCAGTAACCTGCCCCCTTGGAAAGCTTTGTATGTTCACCGCTCCAGAGGTTTCAGTGGGCGCTGTGGGCTCACCTGCAGGGATCCCTTAAGGGAGTCTGTAGTAGAACCTGGAACTGAACCCAGATTTCCTAAGCCCTAGTTCAGGGCCTTCTGCACAAGGCTGTCCTTCCTCCCAGGGTGGGCCTTATCCAAGGACCTGATCCAAAGGCCACTGAAGCCACTGGGAGCCTTTATATTAATTCCAGTGGGCTTTGGATCAGTTCCATAGTCTGTCTCTTTGTTTCCTTTGAGGGCATGGTGTGTTTTATTTCCCTCTCCACACACCCCACAACCAGGGAGAGAAACACATTTTAAAAAAACCAGGAAAATAGGACTTTGTAAAACCACAGATATTGGCAGTGGGTACGTGCAGTTCCTGAAACTACTCACTTAGCTTTTAAGAAGAACTGACTAGATTTCAGATTGACAGTGTCCCTTTAAGTGTGCGCTGGTATGTGTGTCAGAGGGCTCGACTGTGGGCTCATCTCAAGAAGAGACCTGTGAGTGAGTTCATGCACCCTGGCACTGGCCCTTAGCTTTTACAGCACTGGGCTGTATCAGGTGCAAGAAGTGAAGAGAGAAACCTCATGGGGTTAGGGGAGCTCTAAGGCCAGAGGTCTGTCCCACTAAGGCTTTGACTTCCTGACTCCAGTTCTGTCCATTCTAATGCAGTCTACAGCAAAAATCAATGTGAGCAAATGGAAAACTACTTCTAAAAATGCACAGTATTGGATAAACAGCAAACACTAGGCTAGGCAGGGGGCAATCTGGGGCTACTTTTTACCATGCAAAGTGGGAATGTTCTACTGTGTTACCACCTCTTCCTAGTCTCCTCCCACATCCCCGCCCTTTGTCTACTGAGTCTAGTCCATTCACTTTATGCATCTTATCGTAAACTTAAAGTGTGAACTCTCTAGGGGCAGGAATTGTAATCTTGTTACCCTGTTTGTATAGTTCTTACCACACTGGGACCCTGATCCCCAGAGTTCCCATTCAGGGTGACAGCAACAGAAATAATCCATGAATCCAACAAAACCAAAGGTTATTCCTAAAATGTGGTGAAGTGAGTTCTGTAGATGACGTACAATACACTGAGAGCGGACAATGTCCTTTGTACCCATACCCTTCTTTTCTTTTGTATCAGACAGATTCAAATAATGCCTCCCTGGCAGCAGCATGGGAAGAACGATGTCTGGTATGAATACGGAAAGTTACAGCAGTAGACTAGATTTAGCAGCTGGCCTAACCTAGTGGTGGTGTGTTATAGTAGCATTAACCTGATTGACACCAGTGTTCAGTACCTACTGGCTTTGACATGCGCTGAGGCCATTCTCTTAAACTCTGCATTTTTTCTGTAATCCGAGATCACTTTTATGCCAACACCAGGCCAGCCTCTACTGGAATTGAGAAGAGCCGGCATTCCCAAGGAGGTGTGATGTAAAATGTAGCGTTAGCTGGCCGTTCACTGCTCTGGCTTCTAGAAAACGTAACTAACGATATGCAGCTTCTTCTCTCGGACCAAGGGCTCATGTCCGTGCCTACAAACTCTCAGGGCGGCTCCAGAAATCTAGGGTGTTCTGCATCTTGTAGGATTGAACCGCCAATGTGCACTATATCAGAGGCAGATGGTTTTCCTCACTAAGAGGGCATAGGTATGGCGTGTGTCATGCTCCACTGGAATGAAATTGTAGTGGAACTTTACAGGGCACCCACTTCCCTACTCACACGCTTGCTGCAGTGATCACAAATGTAATATTTGTCAGCTTTTTGCAAATTTTTTTCTTCTTAGAGGCAGCTGATGCAACAACAGTGATCATGCTCTACGCGAGAGCCCTGGCTGTTCTACAGTAATTACATGCCGCTGCTTGCGCGTAGCGCCTAAGATGGCTACAATGGAAATAGAACTGAAGGGAGGAAAATGTTTCTCTCTTTTTGCATCTTGTTTGGCACTTTCCTTGTTTTCCGTGTAGAGTGGGCCCATCAGTTTCCTTGGGTCTTTCCCTTGGGGGACAGAAACGTTTTGGAAAAACAAGAAAATGGGATTTTAAATCCCCCAAAACTAGGAAAGAAGCTTGGGGGCAGGAGTGGGGTCTGAAATTACTTTGAATCCAACTCTTGTAAAAACTGACTAGATTTCAAGTTGATTTCGTCTTTTAACAGGCTGATTTACTTAACTTTCGCAGTTCCTGACTTTTGAGGGATTACCTGTGCCATGTTGCAGTAGCAGTAACGTTGGTTTTTTGCCTTTAATTTCTAGTTGTTTTTTTTAAAGGCGATGGGAGGATGTTCAGTTTTATAACACATTAGTTGGCAAAGTCTAGCTGGTGTCTAGCAGTATCCTAAATCAAGAAATGCAATTTTCTGAACAGGGATTGGTCTGATTTCTTTAGGTAGGAAGGGTGCGTGCATGTGTGCACTTTTATAGTTAGTTTAAGGCCAATATGATGGCAGCTTAGCACAAAAGCTGCTGCATTTCTTATCAATAGAGGAAGGTACCTGCCATGCTGCTCCTACCAGTCAGGCTGCGAAAGGTGCTGCTTTCTGTTGTAGCGCTGTTGGTTTCCAACTTTGTGTTTTGTGTCTCTAGCCAGGACGATTGGCATCTTCCACTGACACCTTATTGTATTCTTTTTTCCAGTGTTGGGCAAGTTGTTAACATCAAAGCCAAAGTAAACCGAGCCTTTAACTCTAGCATGGAGGTTTGTATGCTTTAACCTGCTATCTTTTGGGGCTTCCTACTCTCCAGCTTTACTGTGACCCTGCATGTCAGTGCCTACTGTGTACCCAAGTATAAGGGATTCTTCTTTTCTCTTTCCTTAACTTCGACCATTTTAATAATTGAGTAGTAATCCCTAGAGGGTGATTCTATTCTGCAAGTCTTTAGTGTGTGTGTTGGTCTCCTTTGTTCAGGGGAGTGTCAGTATCAATGTTTCCTCTACTTTTTGACAGGCCGTGTGCGCAAAAAATTTCACCTGTGCAAATTTTTGTGCACGCGGTGTTTCACCATGTGCGTGGTGTTTAGGATCTGTGTGTGTGTGTGTGCAGTTTAGAGGGAACAGTGGACAGTATGATCTGGGGTGTCTGGTTTTCATTTTGGTGATCAGGGAACTAGCCTTATGATCTGTTCACTAGAAAACAGTGTAACTTGCAATGCAGTTGTTGCTCTCACTGTTCCTGTTAAAGGGAATCAAAATGATCAGTTGCTAAACTGGGACCAAGCACCAGGACGCTGTGTAGAGCTAGCATACAAACACAACCTCTTCCTCTTCCAAATAATTCTTCGCTGGATTTGAATCCTCAGACTTCTCACGTAGTGCCTTGTCGGGTCGTTCAAACCCTCTTTTCCCCCAATAGAAATAACTCAAACTGAACAAGTCTCCCCTATCGGTCGTGTTCTGTTTAATGCCTTTCTGTTGTGATCCCCTCCAGGTTGGCATACAGGTCAGCTATGAAGATCTGTGCAGCGGGAAGCAGTGGAATGTGTGTAAGGCCTATGCTACTTTTGTTGCACAAGGCAAAGCAACTGGCAAGGTAGGAACAGATCCTGCAGAAATCAAGCTGGTGTAATTTCTACCTGTCAGTTCTTGGCACTGACAAGAACCTACTTTTGGGATCTCATCCAGCATCTATTGGAAAGACATCCAGTGCTTCAAAGGGCACTGGATTAGGCCCAGGACGGGCTCTAGGCACGAGCAAAGCAAGCACATGCTCGGGGCGGCACAATTCCAGGGGCGGTGTTCCAGCCATTCCTTTTTTTTTTTTTTGCATGGGCAGTTGCGCTCTCGGAGCTTGAGGTGGCAAATTTTTTGCCTGGGGCTGCAAAAAACCTAGAGCCGGCCCTGATTAGGCCCATAAAATCAAGTGAAGATTATTTTTAATGTGACACTACTGATGTCTGCTGAACTCTAAGTCTGACACAATGTAATTCTGAGTTGTATTTTTGTACCATTTATGACAATTCTTTGGCATATGTACGAAGACAGTGGGTCATTTTGTATTGACTGTGTTTGTATATGTTGTAGCAGAATGGGGCCCTGATATGACTGGCATCAAAGTGCTACCAGTGTCCGTGTGAAATAATAACTTACCCTGTAACATCTGTATAAACTGTGTTTGGATTAGCTGCCTGCCTAGCTGGTTCTCGTCGTAGAAGGAACTAGATTTCTCAAAGGGTTGGTAGGTAGGTTTATAAACATTAACAAATAAATGGCATTCCTATTCGTTTACTGAATGTTTTTAAAGCCGAGGATTTCTTGGGATAACCAATTTTCTCTTCAGTCTTGTATGAGACCTAAAACTTTAATTCCTGATACTTTAGGGCTATTAAAAATCCGACAGTTTGCTGGAAGCTAGTCCCAGAGTCCTAGCCAAACTCCAATTTGTGTAATTGCTTTTCACCTAAAACCTCCTCTGTCGTCTAAGGTGAATATGGGGTAGACTTCACCCCACATCTTACACCACTATATAGTAATGAAGTGTGCTGCTCAGCTGCTGACATGTGCATAAGGGCAGGGTGGAGTGATTTAAATCACCAATTTTAGTCATTATGTTAACCATCAAGCAGAAAACCCTGACTTTATCAATTTTTTTTTTTAAACAATGATGTTTTGCATTTGTACTTTTTAGCTCTTTTCCTAAAGATAGGTTGATTCTCAGTGGCTGGTAACCATTAAATCACGTTGTGTTTCAACCAGCTATACTCTCTGCACTAAATTTTGTACTGCTTTTTGCTAACCAGGAGGATCTGTATATGTTTATTTAAGCAATTAGATAGCTTAACTTACATTTATTTAGACTTTTTTTACATTTGTGTTAGAAAAAGGTGGAAGTTGCATTTTTTTTTATTCACCTACATTAATTTTTACTTCCAATTTTGTATTTGGATGGAAATGCAATTAAAAATGCACAAAAACAGAATTTTAATTTGTTTATTAAATAAAACTGCCTTAAGTGTGCTGGATACGTAAAAGAAAGCTTATCAGAACATGTTTTTCATTTTAAAACCAATTTATTAAGTTTAGATGATCAACTGTTCATCTTCAGTTAGCAAAGTGAACAGATTGTTTCCGGTCACCATGTCCTTCAAGATATTAGATCTAGCATATCTCATCCTTTCACACCTAGTTTTTATTCACATATTGGAAGATAAAAATCAAGCTCTCCTGCTTTTTCAACTCCCAGTTCATTTCTTCTCCTTGAACGAACTAGTCATTGAACTGAACTAGCTGAATAAACTGAAAGGAAGCAAATATTCTCTGTGCACCTGCAGAAGAGGTTACAGCTGTCTAAAGCTAGTTTAGCACTTCCACAAACTCTGGCTCCAGGTGCTTGCCTGCCAGTTCACTGGGCTGACTTTCTTTAAAACTGGGGAGCAAATATACACGGCGTAATGTATTTTGTACTTACTTTTGCTGTAAAATATTTTAAATTAAGCCTTAGCATAGGTTGTCAATTCAAATTTTACTTAAATAGGCCTATTTTTTAAAATAAAGAAGTCTGTATTTAAATAAAAAGAAATCAGCCTGATGTAATTGTTCTCCACCCTGCACAGAGGGGTCCAGATTAATCTGAGTGGCTGAAGTGATTCTTTTGGAAGAAGCTTCAGATAGTTGTTAGGGAAAACTGGTGGGAGTCGGGAGATCAGTATTCTATTCATGGCTCTGACAAAAGCTTCCTTCTAACTGTGGGCAAGTCACTCCCCTTCCTTTCACTTGTGTGCCAGTTTCCCCATCTGTAAAGTCAGGTTAATACTTGCCTGCCTCAGATAAAGGGACCTCGACCACTGGAGTTGGGGGTGAGAACGCCTGGGTTCCATGCCAAACTCTACCACTGACCTGCTGTGTGAGGGCTAGTCACGTCCATTTCTATTTTCCCCACTCATCCCTTGTCTTGTTTTTTTAGATAGTCCTTGCCCCAAAGAACTGACAATCTTTTGCTGCATGTTTGTACGGGACTTAGTCCCATGAGGTCCTGACCTCAGCTGAGGTCTGCAGGTGCTACTGTAAAGGAAATAGTCATTCCTGTTGGTAAAGTGCTTTGAGATTTCCTGAAGGAAGGTGCTTTGGATGCAAAGGACTTCTTTGTGCGGTGATTAAAGTGGTTTAGGGCTGTTTGGGAAGAAAGGCACAAGGAGGATTTCTGTCTCTTGTAGAGAAGCAGCACCTCTAAAAGCGAGTAGAAGAATTCAGTCCCCTAAGGAATCAGATTTCCCCATGTGGAATGTTGGAGTTTATCACTGGAAACATCCGTTAGAATACAAACGTCCTTCAGATAAATAGGAAGATTCTCCCTCCTTTATGTCCCCTTTAACCATTGAACTGCATCCCTCTGGGACCAGCTTGGAGATGGGGAAAGAGCCACACACTAACACTCTGTCCTCTCTTGGCATGTAGATGAAGCTAAAGCCGCTGACTCCTCAGACAGAGGAAGAGAAGATGGAATACAGCATTGCTGCTGAGCGCCGCCGAATGCGGCTGGCCCACACTGACACCCTCAAGGATCTCCTCACCAACAGCACCATGCAGACTGGTAAGCTGCCCTGCGGATCCTGCCCCTGAACAAAAGCAAACCTAAAAACTGTGCCTGGTGCTTGCCTGACGGCCTTGAGCTGGTGTCCAAAAACAGTTGTCATGTCTGTGTCAGGAAAATAATTCCACAACTTGGGGTACGGTTACCGGGTAGCAATATTCAGAGTGCTATACAAGTATTAACTATTCCTTGCTATATCCCTGCCAGGTAGGTAAGTAAATACTCTCCCCGTTTTACAGGTGGGAGAAATTGAGGCAGAGCGAGACGGTGACTTTGCCAGGGCCACACAGTGAGTTGCTGGCAGAGCTGGGGTTAAAAGACAGCATTTCCTAGCTCCCAGTGCTGTCCTCCAGACTCTGCTGCCTCTATCCTATAAATCTGGCCTCCACTATAAGGTTCTAGCCACCCAAAATACACTCCCCATGTATCGCTGCTTCTTGCCTTGGCTTATTGCTTTTGTAAAAAGGCTCCCACATTGCACTGTCTTATTCCGGTGGGCTAGTAGAAAGGTGATGCTGTGTCTGCAGCACAGGGCTTGTGGGGAAGGAGATCAGGGTCCTGTTTCAGCCTCTGTCACAGATTTGACCCTTGGGCAGTGCTGAACCTCTCTGCCTCCGTGAAATGGAGAGAATATCGGCTTCACAACAATTGTGAGGCAAGTGCATGAATGTCTGTACCATGCTTAGAGTTCCTCTGATGGAAGGTGCTATCTGTGCAAAACACTTGGTGGTAATGTTCTGCAAAGCCACAGAGATGAGCTGGATCTGATCCCTCCTCTCACACTCCATAGGCTTTCAGGGATGGAGCTTGCTGAGGAGAAGGCATCCAATCTCTTTTGGGGAAGAGTACCTTGCATTGCGCCCCAGTGAACGCTCTCCTCCATTGAGCGGGACAATGAGCTGCTCTCAAAGCCTCAGTTGGATGGCTGGTGACACTGGCATAGGTGTAATGGGGGAATCCTTCTGCAGGCAGCAAGGCAGTGGACCGTCCCCTGGGCTGGAAGGGGGCAGGGCATGGTGGTGGATGAGAAAATGGTGTTTGTTTTTTATTTTGTAGCAATTAGTTGAGGGATGAATTGTGCAAATAACATCAGCCCGGTGGGGTGAGTCTTTTCCACACACCACTCTGATAAACATATATTTCTTTCATGCCAGAGCGTGAGAATGGAGACTGCAACACCGTGGTGCCTGCTGAAAAGACGAGGGTGGAGAGTGTGGAACTGGTGCTGCCCCCTCATGCCAATCATCAGGGAAACACGTTCGGCGGCCAGATCATGGCATGGATGGAAAACGTTGCCACGATAGCAGCAAGGTGCAGTTCTGAGCTTCTCCTCCCCAAGGCTGGAGATGCCTCTGTCACAGGAGAGGTTCTGATTGTGTGTGCTGTTAGCATCTTCTGCTCCTTCATTACCTAGTCCTGTAGTGAGGCACAGCCCGATGGTACAGCAGTCAGGGAGGAAGAATTCTGTGCAGTTGAAATGACATGGGGAGGGTGCCAGGTAATTATCTGCCCACAACTCAATGGGTTAGTTCCTCTGTTCTTGCCAAGAAAAAACCCTCTGAACTTTTAACGATCACTATGGTCAGGACCTAATTTTTCTTCCCAGTCAGGCCATTGGGCCTACAACAGCCCAGCACTCCAGCGCCCTGCTTGGGCCTGGGTTTGGCATTGAGTCGGAGGGAAGAGCGCCACCACTGAGGTGCCAAGAGCACTGTCTCTCTCTGGCAATGTAGCTTTGCGGATCTCCTCCCTACATACTGACTAGGCCCAGCCCTCACAGCCTGAGATGGGGTGGACTCAAACTGCCCTTCCCGAGCGCTACTCTTGGGGAGCCAGCTTTGGATAGACTGCCTGACTAAGGGATGCCATCTTTGGCGTTTGCCTAGTGAGACAAGTTCCTATGTCACGATGTCGTCATTGCATCACACCACAAGGTTTAACACATTGTGTCAGGTGTGGAAGATGACATGGGGGATGGGGGGGTGTCTCTGGGTCCCATAAGCCTCACTTCACATGAGGTGGGAATCACACCATCGAAATAAATCCCACAGAATCAGCTTGACTGTGGCTTCACGGTCTCATGTGCACCTTCCTTCTGGTGAGGCAGTTCTGTTGTGGGGAGCGTAACGCCCTTGGCCTGACGGTAGCAGTACGTTTCCCCTGTGAGGATTCTTCCCCTGTGTGTGTTTGGAAGCAGCTTTTCTGCAAAGCTGGGCAGTGTTTCTGATTCATGTACAAATGCATAGTCTGGTGCGATGTCGTGACCAGGGAGAGATTTCTCGTGTATTGTTGTGATCCTGGAAACATTTCTTCATGACCTGGGGCAAATCACTTCACTGCTCTGGGCCTCTGGTTCCCCATCTGTAGACAGGGGGATAGTGATGATTCCCGCCTTCATAAAGCACGTTGAGAGTGACTGATGAAAAGAGCTATATAAGAACTGGGCGATATTTATTATAAACCTTGAAGGACGTCCAGGACTAATGTATTTTGTCATAGATAAATCAGCAGTTGTCCATTAGATGGTGCTCTGTATGCATTAATTATGGGTATTCTGCATCCTCTGTGTGTGATGCGATGGGAAGGGGAGGTAGTGAAGGAGTTAAATGTCTTATCTCATTTTTCATCATCTACCTTTTTTGTGTTTTAGTTTTTTGATCTTCAGAGACTAACTTTGAGTTCTCAGGTTGACTTGTACTGAACAAGGAGTAATCTCTGTTCTGATTTTTACAGTGGAATGGGAACGATAGCCCCAGAACAGCTGCACTTGAAGGGCACCAGTAGAGATTCAGACCAAATTTCTCTCCCCCTTACCCTCCAGCCCAATTATTTAATCATAAAATGTACACAGCGCTCCAGGTGCACTTGGGTTGGCTGCTGGTATCCTTCCACTGCCTGTGTGACTGTTGCATTCTTGCTTCTCTGCCAAAATAAATGTGGGCCCAAGTCCCGCGCCATCATTTGGGCGCCTACCAAATGCTAACACTGCAGTGCAGTAGCAGGAGGAAGATGCACTGTGAAGGACTCTGTTCTTTAGATGACGTTTATTTAAATCAAGCTCCTTTCTCTCTAGTTCTAGTGACGAAGGGGGAGGTAAGGATCCTTCTTTGAGTGGAAAGGGGGTATAACCAGTGACCTGGCTACAGAGACTGGCTTGTAATGAGCTGATCTGGTCGTGGCTTATTGGCAGAGTTTTGCCCTGCCGCATGGGAAACACAGAGTGTGGTCCCCGTCATTTGTTGGCTAGGAAAAGGGTGCTTCTCTTTGCACAAGTGACCCTCTGAGCTTGGAGAATGATTAGTCACAACATGGGGAATCAGGGCCAAGAGGCTTGGGGCCGAGGCAAAAGATGTGTTCTCAGGGGAATACAGACCTCAATGGCCGCCTTTCTGAGGGCAGCAAATAGCCCCAAATATCTCAGGCTGGCTGAGTGTTGCTGGGGACTGTGTAATGGTGATAGCTGGGCCACATCAAAGTATTTGGTTTGGGGTGGCTGCATATACCTGTGTCACCTGGCAAGAACCGGCCTCCTGTCCTGTTCTCAGGGCTCTCTGGCTTGAGTTGTTTCCCTTTTATGCACAGACGCTTGTGCAGGTCTGCTATTCTGTCCAGCAGCAGGGCATGCACACTGGTTGATATGTTGGCTTGGCTAAATAGTTTCCTCATTTTGAGTGCATTTTTTAAAATCAAATCTCTCTCCCTTCCCACAGCCGGCTGTGCCATGCCCACCCCACTCTGAAGACCATTGAAATGTTCCATTTCAGGGGACCATCACAAGTTGGGGACCGTCTCCTGTTAAAAGCTATTGTTAATAATGCATTCAAAAACAGGTACATCTTTCTCTGGTTCAGGGTTTTGAATGGATTTTGATAAGAACATTCAACAGAAGCTTGCACTCTTGTCTTTAGAAACAACTGTGAAAATTATTGACTGCTGGATTTACACAAATGAAAAATAATTGAACAGGAAGGAATTGTCAATGTTCAATATCTGTTGTAAAACTATTTCAATATCTGGTTCTACATAAAGGGATGTTAACAGATAGGCAGAGCAGTGTTTTCCCCTTGAATTGCAGAATACATTACTGACTGTAAAATCAGGTCGATTCAGAAGTTCGGGTTGTAGATCGTTCTGCGAATAAATCTGAATTGGCTCAAATAGCTTGAAATGGGTTCAAATAAAAATAAATTCACAATCAATAAATTAATAGAAATAAAAGATAAAAAAGACCTGTTAAATCATCTAGTCTGTTGCAGCCAATCACTGTGTGTCTTTATTTACTTCCTTCCTACATAGATCAGGCCAGGTTTAAACATCAGGCAGGAAAAAATTGGTGTTACTGTGGGTTTTCAAAATCAACCTCCTTAAATCTCATATGAGAAGCAATGAATTTTCAAAATAGACTTTTGGACCCTAAATCTGCTCCCAGACAAAATACATGCAACATCCATTAAAATCCATGGGAGCTATGTGTCTGTGGGTAAAATTTACTTGACGTAATAGAGTGGTTTGTCCAGTTCCAGTGACCAGGTTTAGTCAAAAAACTGGAGGGGAAAATTTCAGATTTCATTGCAAAGATTTCCCTTTTTCGTTGACATTTCAAATGTTGTTGAAAACTTGCATCAAAATTTGAAAAGCTGCACACACTCTGCTTGAGTCATGGCCTTTTTCGTGTCCTCCAGATTGAGCTGGACTGATCTAGTCGGTCCACTCTTAGGCTTCTCTGCTTATTTATTGGTAAATAAGCAATGAAATGTATGGCACACTGGATTCCTTTCGGTAGGTAGTAGCGTTGCTTTATGCCCCAGGCACTAGAGATGATCTGCTTCCATTTTTTCTTTCCAGCATGGAGGTTGGCGTTTGTGTCGAGGCCTATCGACAGGAAATGGAAGTTAGTCGAAGACATATCAACAGTGCCTTTATGACATTTGTTGTCTTGGATCAAGAGGGTCAGCCCAGTACCCTTCCGATGGTGAAACCAGAAGCTGGGGTAAGAATGGAAACCATAATCGGGGCCTAGAAAGTGACCTTGCCCACATCGGTGGTCCTGTGCAGTGATGTAAGAATCTGGGGAAGTAGGATGTAGCTGACTCTTGTTTTGCCCCAAGCCTGGCAGCCTTTAATTGTATTGCATTTATCTAATTCACTGAGAAACAAGTACAGCTTGCTATCGTGGTTGGCTGGCTCTGGAGCAGCAGATCTCAGATACTGCGCAATGCTGAGTCAACTGTAATGAATTTCTCAGTAACCATGGTGGATTTAAACAAATCATGGAATCTGAAGGAGACGGACTCGTGTGTTTAAAAAGTTCTTGTGAAATCAGTAGAGTGACTTGAATGTTAATGCCAATGGCAGTAAAACTGAAATATTTGCTGTAAGTCCATTGGTGCTATATCAGCACCTTTGGAAAATCGGAGGAAATTCACAGCCAGCATAGTAACTGGCAAGCAGCAGCATTGCCCAGCAGAGTGTGGCAGGGGAGCCTGGAAGTAATGCAACACAAGCATTTAACCAGTATCCTCCACACTAAGTCAAATAGCTGTACAATGCTAACTTGCCTTCAGCCAGTGGCCCTGTCTACATAACAAGTACAACCACGTTTTTGTAACCAGTTTGGGATGCACGTGTGTCCTGGCTACAACAAACACAACTGAGTTGTCTGCACAGCAGGTTCTGCCCGCCGCCGCCCCCCACCCCCGTTCTCCCACACAGCACAGATGCGCTGGCTGTGTTAGGTATCCACTTCTACCACATTGCATAGCTCTGTTGCATCTGTGCATTCTGGGAAAAACCTGATCAACTCCCCTGTTCTGATTCCTCAGAGGGTAGACTCCCCACAGGCCAGGCACCTACACAGAGTAGCATCAGCAGCATGTGAGATGGCTTGCTGAGAGGACTGCTCAGTGGGAGAATCAGCAAGCCTGTTTGCATAGGCACAGTTGGGAGGTTCTGTCTATACTGCAAAAACAACAACAAACCCAGTGCTGGGGACCTGCTGCCCGGAAGACAGTCCTAGCCTAAGCTGCTGGTGGGGGCAAGACACTGGTAACAGCTAGGGTTGCCTGCCATGTGTTAACCATAGTGTGTGCAAACAATAGCCCTGGTTAGAGCTAACCAAGAACAAACCTGGTAGCCAGAGCGTGGACAAGATCAGTGTTGTGTTTCCATTTACATTCCATGCATTTCCCCAGCTATGGCCGTTACCAAGACCAGCAGAGGCTGCGGGATTGGTTCACGCATACGCTTCCTTAATGCTGAAAAATCTTTTTTTTTTCCGGTCAACACGTTTAATTTTAATTATTTTTCCAAAACTTTAACCTAAGGAACGTGTTTCCATTCCACAGGATGGTGAGAGACGGTACCGAGAAGCCAGTGCTAGAAAAAAAATCCGATTGGACAGGTGAGTGAAACGGATCCGCCTCAAACTAAGCAGGGAAAAATAACGGGGGAATGTGGTGTTTTAAATAGAACAGTGTTTTTATTCCAGTCCGTGTTCTGCTCTGAATGATCACATGCGGGTAACTTGGTAAAGGCTGGGATAATTGAAGGTAACCCCTGGCTTTCTGTACCATGGAAGGTAGAGGGGTAGGTTGGTGGGTGGGTGGTGGGGGGAGCCTAGGCACCAACTCATGGGTGCTCCGGGGCTGGAGCACCCATGGGGAAAAAAAATAGTGGGTGCCCAGCACCCACTGGCAGCCCTGTGGATCAGCTAATTCCCCTCCCCCCAGCACCTCCCACCCGCCATCAGGCCCCACTGATCAGCTCCTCCCCCTTCCTCCCACCTGCCATGTAGCGGCATACGGAAGGTGCGGGGTGGGGGAGGAGCAGTGCTGGGAAGGGACGGGGCGGGGGCCTTGGGGGAAGGGGTGGAGTGAGGTCAGGGCCTGGGGTGGAGCACCCCCTGGGAACGCAGGAAGTCGGCACCTATGTGTGGGGGAGAGGTTGCACGCTTTGGCTGTGATAATATTTGGCACTTACATAGCACCTTCCATGTGAGGATTTCTCAAAGCCTGGAGGAACTTAACCTTCCAGCACTCCGGGAGTTCAGTTGGGGAAACCTGAGACCAGAGTTCAAGTGGTTTCCTCAAAGCACCCCAGCATGTCAGTGTTGGAAACAGGATTAGACTTCAGGCCGGACTCCCAGTTGCCTTCCTAGCCCAAAGTATTCGGCACTGAGTTCAGCGTGAAGCAGAAAGACACTCCAAGGAGTGCAGGAGAGATGGCAGTTGCTCAGAGACAGTAGTAAGGTGCAACCCAACTATCCCAATGTGAAGGAAAGATAGAAAGAATAGTAAGAGGTCAGTATGGCTCCATCAGGAACTCTTTAAGGATCTGAAAATCAGAAAGGAATCTATCAAAAAGGGCAGACGTGGACAAGTTGCTAAGGATGAGTACGCCAGAATCATACAAGCATGGAGGGACAAAATCGGAAAGTCTGAGGCACAAAATGAGTTTCAGCTAGCAACGGACAAAAGGCAATAAGAAATGGGCTTATAAATCCATTAGGAAGAAGAGAAAGATGAAGGAAACTGTAGGCTGCTACTTAACAGGGAGGAAGAGCTAATAATGGACATCAAGAAGGATGAAGTGTTTAATGCCCATTTTGTCTTCACTACGAAGGTAAATTGTGACCAGATACTTAACGCAATCTTAGCAACAAAGAGAAAGGAACTAGCTAAAATAGAGAGAAAACAAGTTAAAGAATATGTAGATAAATTAGATGCATTCAAGTTGGCAGGGCCTGATGAAATGTACCCTAGGATATTTAAGTAACAAGCTGATACAATCTCAGACCCATTAGCAATTGTTTTCAAGAACTCATGGAGGATATGAAGTCCCAGAGGACTGGAGAAGGATGAATATAGTACTTATCTTTAAAAAGGGGAACACAAAGGACCCAGGGAATTATAGACCAGTCAGCCTAACTTCGATACCTGGAAAGATATGCAACAAATTATTAAACAATCAGTTTGTAAGCACCTAGAGATAATAGGGTTATAAGAAATAGACACCATGCATTTGTCAAGCCCAAGTAACAGATTATGCAAAAACCAACCTGATTTCCTCCTTTGACAGGGTTATTGGCCAGGTGAATGGGGGGAAGCAGTAGACATGATCTACCTGGAGAGAGAGAGAGAATTTTTAAGTAAGGAAAATGTCAGTCCCGCATGACATTTTCATAAACAAACCAGGGAAATGCATTCCGGGTGAAATGGCTATGAGAGGGGTGTACAACTGGCTGAATGATTGTACTCAAAGAGTAATTGTCAGCAGGTTGCTGTCAAACTGGAGGTATTCGTGAGGGGTCCTCTAGATGTCTGTCCTGTGTCTGATACAAGTCAATATTTTCATTAATGAGTTGGATAATGGAGTGGAAAGTGTGATTATTGTGGAACCAAGCTGGGAGAGGGTTACAAGTACTTTGGAGAACAGGATTAGAATGCAAAACGACGTTGACAAATTAGAGAATTGGTCTGAAATCAAAAGATGAAATTCAATAAAGACAAGTGCAAAGTACTTCTCTTTGGAAGGAAAAATCAAATGCACTACAGAATGGGGCATAGCTGGCTAGGTGGTAGTATGGCTGAAGAGGATCTGGGGGTTATAGTGGATCACAGACTGAGTATGAATCAACAATGTGATGCAGTTGCTAAAGAGGCATCAGTCTGCCGTGTATGAACAAAGTATTGTAGGTAGGACACAGTAGGTCATTGTCCCACTCTACTCAGCACTGGTGAGGCCTCAGCTGGAGTACTGTGACCAGTTCTGGGTGCTACACTTTTGGAAAAATATGAGTGTGTCCAGAGGAGAGCAACAAAAATGAAAAAAGGTATAGAAAGCCTGATGTATGAGGAAAGGTTAAAGGTGGGCATGTTTGGTCTTGAGAAAAGAAATCTGGGGGAGGGACCTGATAACAATCTTCAAATACGTTAAGGGCTGCTATAAAGACGATGATGATCCAACGGAGATTGTGGAATCTCTGTAATTCATTGGAGGTTTTTAAGAACAAGTTGGACAAACATTTTTCAGGGATGGTCTAGATGAACTTGGTCCTGCTTCAGCACAGGGGGCTGGACCAGATGACCTTTTGAGGTCCCATTCCCACGATTCTGTGAAAAGGTACTTGAGGGCTAAGTGGTGTAGTGCCAAACGATAGAATGTTAGGAAGACACAGACATAACGCAGATCTCTGTAGGGGAGCTGGAGAGAGAGAAGATGGTAGGGACAGCACAGGAGAAACTGTCTGAATTCAGAAGTAGAAACTGTGTATAAAACAAAGCATCACAGGGCTATGCTTATTTTATACATCCATTATTGTCAAAACACGCTATAATATCCAGATACGTTGGTGATTAATGCACTATAATATCTGCACAGATACAGAACACAAAAATACATAGCTAGACCAGATCAATCTGTAATAATCATAGTGATTAGCCCTTTTCTAGTGCTACGCATCTTAGAGGTGCTTTATAATCATTCAGTTTTATCTCCCTCCTGTGGGGCATGAAGGGAAGAATTTATTAACCTCACTCTATTCTTGGGGAAACTGAGGCAGAGCTAAGTGATTTGCCCAAGACTACCAAGCATTTGTCCAGAGCCAGGATTAAAGATCTTGAATATTTGGTGCTCTCAGAGGACAAGAGAAGCAGTACGGTTTAGTGGGTAAGATGGAATAAATAAACCACTTTGATCATGTGTTCCATTTGTGTATTGCTCCTTGTATTCTTGCTGTCCTTATTCCTGGCTCTGCTGTAAGAGTTGGACAAATCATTGAATTTCTGTGCCTCAGTTTCCCCTTCAGTAAAACAGGCATAATGATGCTCACTTGCCTCTGTAAAACTCTTTTAGAACTATGGGTAAAAAGTGCAAAATTTTATTATTTTTTATTATTTATTACAAGAGTGCACACACCTTATGCTGTCCCCTCAAGCAGTGAAAAAGTAACATATTGGATAGTCAGTTTTTCCCCCTGGAAGCTGCTATTTTCAGCTTAATGGAGTATCTGCAGAACCTTGATAATAGCCCTAGTTGCATCCAAGACCAGTAATTGACTGGGTTTTGGAGAATCATAGAATTGTAGGACTGGAAGGAACCTCGAGAGGTCGTCTAGTCCAGTCCCTTGCACTCATGGCAGGACTAAGTATTATCTAGACCATTCCTGCCAGGTGTTTGTCTAACCTGCTCTTAAAAGTCTCTAATGATGGAGATTCCACAACCTCCCTAGGCAATTTATTCCAGTGCGTAACCACCTTGACAGTTAGGAAGCTTTTCCTTATGTCCAACCTAAAATGTCCTGGCTGCAATTTAAGCCCATTGCTTCTTGGCCTAGCCTAAGAGGTTAAGGAAAACGATTTTTCTCTCTCCTCCTTTTAACAACCTTTTATGTACTTGAAAATTGTTATGTCCCCCCTCAGTCTTCTCTTCCCCAGACTAAATAAACCCAGTTTTTTCAATCTTCCCTCATAGGTCATGGTTTCTAGCAGGGCTGGCTCTAGGATTTTTGCCGCCCCAAGCAAAAAATTTTTGGCTGCCCCCACTTCTTTTTCATGGCTCGTCCTGCCCTCGGCTCCGCCGCATTCCCCCCCATTGCTTCCTGCAGCTCCCCCCACCGCAACCCCCCGCCCTAGCTCACCTCCGCTCCTCCTGCTCCCCTGAACGTGCCGTCACTCCGCTTCTCCCCCTTCCCTCTCAGGCGAGGGAGAGGCAGCGCATTCAGGGGAGGAGGCAGAGCAGAGGTGAGCAAGGGTGGGCGGGGGAGCGCAGGAAGTAACGGGGGAGGGGGGGATAGAGGAACCGCTCCCTGTCCCAGCTCACCTCCGCTCCACCACCGCCACCTCCCCCAAGTGCGCCACCGTTCGGCTTCTCCCTCCCTCCCTCCCTCCCTCCCAGGCTTGCCGCGCGAAACAGCTGTTTGGGCAGCGGGGGCACATTTCTAGGGGCAGCATGGCTGGTGCCGGAATGCCGCCCCAAGAAATGTGCCACCCCAAGCACCTGCTTGTTTTGCTGGTGCCTAGAGCCAGCCCTGTTTTCTAGATCCGTAATGGCTCTTCTCTGGACTTGAATTTTCCTTGCCCTAACAGGCTTCTTACTGCTGCCCCTGATCTGCAGAAAAGTGGGAAGCTGGCCTTTGGTCACTTTTACATCTGTTATGAACATTATTTTATTCCCAATCTCTCCACTTGTTTTGTCTGCATGTGCAATTGGAGTCCTGTCTTCTCCGCCCATTGTGAATCCCTATTCCTGGAGTCCTCTCTGGTCATGTGGTTGCAATGAAGCCTTGCAGAAGAGACAGCTGCTTTATTTTGTTACTTTTCAACTCTTCACCTTGGTTATATCATGTCTCTGATTACAGATCTGGTGTTCTCGGACAAATTATACCCCAGTATCTCAGTCCCTGAGAATAAGATTGTAGTGAAGTGTGGCAATTAAGCAGTGAAAATATTTTCTTCCTGGAATGTCTTGTGGCATCTGCCCTCCTGCTTCCAGGAGTTTCATAACTTTCCCTTGAGCCCCAGGTCAATATGAGAACAAACACGTGGACCCTAAGAAGTGCTGTATCTGTCTGAATCTAGCATCAGCTGTTTACTCACTACACCAGTCCAGGGATGAATTCTGATCCTTTCTGTTACAGTAAAGGCTTCCATCAAATGACCCTAAATAAACAGCATCCTGCAAATTTGACTTGCTGTTTGTGCACAGTTCAAATATAGTGTTTGCTCCAGTGATAAAACCCAAGCTCTTCTAATCCGAGCTTGGGTTGCTGTGCACCTCCCAACACAGACGATTCAGATTTTGTTACAAACCGAATGACTAACTCTTCAGTAACACGTCCGCTGTGGCTCTCAAAGCACTTTCCAAAGGTGGATAAGTACCATCCCCATTTAACAGACTGGGAAACTGGAATGGAGATGCTAAGGCCAGATTTCAGAAGCAACCTGTTTTGGGCACCCTGCTTTAGACCCTAGGCAGGTGTGGTTCCCATTGATCTGATTTGGAGTTGGTGGGTGTTCAGCACTTCTGAAAAGCAGGTCCTGGATTGTGGGCACCCAAAACCATTTCCCTGAGAGGCTCTCAGGGACTTGCCAAAGAGGTTATCCAGTAAGTTAGAGAAAGAGCTGGGAATAGAACCCAGATCTCCTGGCTCCTAGTTTGGGGTCTTGTCCTCTTGTGTAACAGGGTAGCTGGCCCATTAAATGAAAGTAGGCTCAGCTCTCCTGTTCCTGTCCAAGTGTGACCCAGCTTTGTGTGAGGGGGAGGGTGGGGTGCCTGGGGGAGTTATAAATGAGAGTTCAGGGGCCTGAGAGGGGAGTTGAGAACTCCGAGAGGGAGCTCAGCAGGCAAGTTTAGAACCCAGAGTTCAGGATGGGGGAGAATCCAAAGTAAAGCGAGTTCACAGGCAGAGCTCCAGGGAGGGGATTCCCCTGGAGGACGGAGTGGTAAGAGTTCCCTGATTGAGCAATGGCATTAGATCAGGCTGTTGAAAGAGGAAGGCGATCAGAGGGTCATCTGCAAATGTCCCCAGGCCAGAGAGCGCTGAAGGCTGAGAGCAGCCCAGGGAGATGCCTGCTGGCCAGAGAGGGCCAAAGCCTGGGGTATTATGGAGGCGTGAGCCGGCTGATGTGTCTGGGCAAGAGCTGGAACCATAGCTGGGAAGGAAACAGGGCAGAGAAACACCCCAACTAGAGGGGTGGGGTGGGAAACACCACAGCTGTACCTGGGGGCTGGGCTGGGCTGGGCTGTGGGGGAGAGATGCAGGAGTTGGACTGTTAGGATGAATGTACTGTTAGCACTATGCTGAGGGGATTCTGGTTCATGGTAGTGGGACTGTTGGTAATAAATTACTCAGTAGAGCCTTCAGAGTACGTGGGTTATTTGAGAAATCAAGGGAAAATGAGGCCAAGGGCCATTTGCAGGGCTGCCGTGAGGGGGTGCCTGGGTGGAAGCCATGCATTTATAGCTTGCCTATGCCACTCCCTGACCACCTGCAGAGATCGGCCTGCCTGACCAGAAAGCCCAGCTGGGAGCCCTTCCTGTTCCAATCCAGCCCTGAACTTTGTGGCTTAGGCCCCTCCCATCCCTGACCAACAGAAGTGTTAGTGTAGACAAGGCCTTAGTTTTGCCCCATCCAGACCACTGCTGGCCTTTGTTAGAAGTAATCCTTAAAGGTTCTTTTCACCCTGTGCCTCTCCCTTCCGCCTGCAAATGATGTGCAGGATTTCTGAGGCTTTTGTTGCTCTGAGCTCCCTCAAGTTGAGCCAAGAAGAAATGGCTGTTTCAATCCACTGGGATCCTGGTCCCAAGATATTCATAAGATGACCGTGTTTTTCCTCCACTCCTTTTGTAGATCATTGCTGGAGAAGCTGTTGAAGTCAAAAACACTGTTGCTAACTTCACTTTCTCTCTCTTTCACCAGCATGGGTTTGAGATGTCCTTTTCCCTGCCACATACTGAAGATCAGTACTGCTATAACTAAAGCAATTCTTTGCTTTCCCTAGAAAATACATCATTTCCTGTGAACAGACAAAAGTGCCATTGTCAGTGCCCTGGGACCAAAGTAACAAGGTAAAATAACTGTCTCTGTAGGTATTGGCCATATCCTCCCTTGGCATCTAATCCCCATGTGCTGTAGGAAGGCCCAGCAGCAGGTACTAAGTAGCAGCTAGAAGTTTATACATGAATAAATATGTTCTATGGAAACAAGAAGGATGAAACCTTACCTAAAACAGCATGTGTTATAGGGATCTTAACTGGAATAATAAATTCCTTCTTAACCCCGATTTACTCTGATTAATTCAGTATCCGAGCAGCTGCAAGCTTTGCTATAGTATCCAATGAGTTTAGATATAGGAAAACATAACTGAAGGTCAAAGTGATTTCTACTGTGTTTTCTTATGATGTTTTTATGTAGGTTTATCTGAGCTACAACAATGTTTCTGCACTGAAGACGCTTGTAGCGAAAACCAATTGGGTACTCGCCACAGAAATAGACAAGGTACTTAACCCTGCCACACTCCCAAGTAAGCACTGCCTTCTTAGTCTCTTGGACTGCCTACAGTGAGTGGAAACAACTCATGTTAAGATCAGAGGAAATGTTTCAGTCATTCCCCACCCCCAGTTACTTGAATCCTAGTGTATCCAAAAGTGTTTGATGTCCCCACAACACTTTGAATAAATGGGGTTGTACCGCATGTATTCAATGAATGCGTGTCTATACTATCAACGTTCCATATACGTCCAAATGTACACTGCATACGCACACTTATGTACATGTAAAATACATGGCTTCCAGTGATGCCGTATGATCTGCTATAGAACTTGTGCTTTAGTAAAATCCCACGGAACCCACCAACCAGAGCTGTCCTCAATTTCACCCATTTCCATTCAACACCCAGGCTAGCTAGCCTGTAAACTTCTCTTGGACAACTGTTTTGTGCTTTACTCCTGGGGGTTAATGGAGTCACCAGAACCAGCTCATAAAACACAGGCCTCGTGTACCACTAGGGATATGTGATTCTTCATGTTAATGCAATGGGGAGAGAGAGAGATCAAAGCTGTTTGGTTATATTATAATAAAGTAAAAATATGAAGGAATCTTTTTGGGGAAAATCAAATGTCATTTTAACGAAGACAGCAGGCTGTGCCTCTCACCTGTTCTGTCTGTCTCCCTCTCAAAGGTCAGGATGTACACGCTGGAGGAAGACCAGTACCTCTCCTTCCGAATAGAGATGTCCCTCTGCATTGATGCAACGCAGGCCTTCTTCCTTCTGTCAGACTTAAGAAAGAGGCACGAATGGGATAGATATTATGCGTGAGTACTTGGAGGGCAGCTAACATGTTAGGAGTGATGGTCCCTGTTTTACTGGGGATGGGGGGAGAAAGGCCCCCAATTTCTTTCCTTTGGCTTTCCTGCCTCAAAGCAACTTCCCATTCCAAAACGGTTCTTCATTCAAGCCATGCAAAGTGCTTTTTCCCCTCCATCATCCACCCCACTCCAAAACCAATAGCGTACAGTGTAGGGAGTCTGTGGTTGGATATGTACCAACGGCGGAGCTGGCTGCCACACTGCTCACGGGTTGTACGGTGGAATAGAATCCAGGACCTTTATCTCCTAAAGCACAAGTTAGTCAAGTGTTCTGCCCGCATGCTGGTGACACCTCTAGTCTTGTTAGCCTAGGACTGCAGCTGAGACTCCGAGCTGGCAGAGGTGTGTAAGCACAGCAGTGAGCTGGCCCGTAGCTTTAACATTTTATGTTGCTGCCCTCTATAAAGGGGTCGAACTTCCTGTAAAGTGTGCCGTACTCCTCTTCCCAACTCCATGAAGTGGCTGTACTGTGACTATACACTGTGACCAGCATATGTTCTTAGCTCTCCCGTGGCCTTGGATGGTCATTAGAATTGGTTTTACTGAGAGGGGGAATCTTATGCCAGGATCATACACCTGTCTGGTTTAAAATATCCTTTGCAGGAGGGTGTCACAGTTCCTAAAGTAACTGCACCTCTGATCCCTTTGTGGCCTTCTTGAGATTTCAGCTCTCCTTGGGGCAGGATCCCACTGTCCATTCTCTCCAGGCTGGGGATTGTAGACTGCAATTCACGGTGATCACCTCAGCAGATCTAACTTTAGGTCAAGCCCTGTTCTCTCTAAGGCAATGGCAGGGTTAACCAGCGACCAGTCAGCCTCCATAAATCAAATACTAGTTATTCAGAAGAAAAGCATTACAGAGAAAATGTTTTTAAAAACAATGAACCGTTTACGTGCAAGTCTTTGCTTAGCAAACAGTCACCCATCTTCAGCACAGAGACCCTGGCAGGCTTCAGAGTCATTCAGGTCCTTGGCAGGTCTTGTGTGTCTGGGTCACTGTCTCATGTCCTGCAGGTCTTGGAAAAAGTGTGGGTGGGGGGGCCCTCTCCCTCCATCAAAGTGGTCACTTTATACAGTTTTCAATTCTTTGTTTGCCAGGCCTCATGAACCCCATTAAACTAGTCTATATGCAATTTCCCCCAGGGGATGAGGCTTCTCCAGACTTAGCTGTATGGGAATTTGCATGAATTATCCCCCAATGGTTGTTCCTGCAGGAAACGCTGTAACTGCCCCATGGAGCCAGAAATACAATCCCTAGCCCATTCAGATACATAAAACACTTATAAAATGGATACCATAGTCTTTGGAGCATCCATCACAGAGGGCACCTCTATAAGGGCTCCTCATTCTTCCAGTACTACAGCCTCGGGTGGGTGATCTGTCCTATTGTTCATTTGCACTGAATCCAGGACTTCTCCGCTCCCAGGAGCAGCCTGTGAAGTTTAAGGAGCTGTAACTTATTTTCCCAGGGACTGTCAGCTCCAAGAGGGCGGGGTGCGTGTGCGTATCAGTGGGAGCGTTCTGGACTTTTAGTCCGTTTTACTGCTGGGTTGAATGAGCTACAAGGAGGTGAAATGACTTTCCCAGGTCACACAGTGAGCCGGTGATCTTTGTGGCTCTGATCCCAGCCACGAACCTCGTGTCCTCCACCAAAACCAAAACATCCCAGTGAAAGGCTCAGAAACAACCTCTAATTTCAGGCCAATCCCATCCTTCAAAGATAAACAAAACCAGACCGAGAAGGTACAGGAGGTGTCATGTCACGATACGTGAAAAGGATTTGCATCCTACTTGACAATACAATTGAAACGTTTGGGGTTTCAGAAGAAGCTGAAGAACTCGGGGCCTGATCCAAAGCTTGTTGACAGTAGTGGGGTTTGGCTCAGCCTCTTGCCAAGGGAGAGCCAAGTATGAACTTCCACAGAAGGCAACAGATATTTAGCCTAAGTAAGGATTTCGGGATGTGACTAAAAGAGAATTGTTTGGAGCAATTAATTTTGTTAAGAAAATGCTGTACTACAGGTAGTCAAATAGAGTCAGATTTCCAAAGTGGCAGGTAGGCGCCCAGGGGGATTTTCATGACCTGCATCTTTAGGTGCTTAGATGTGTTTAAAAATCTGGCCTGTAGTCCCTGGGAAAGCTGATATATCTGGGAAGGTGGCTCTGATTCAGTGGAGAAAGCTTTTTTTTTTTTTTTCCTGATCCCTATGACTGATTGTAAGTTTGTCCTAACTGGCTTTTGTTTGGCTGTTATTTCTCTGGCTTTGAACTGCTTCTATCTGCAGTCTCTGGGTTACTGCTGAGTAACACCATATGGTTAGGGCTCTACCAAATTCATGGCCCATTTCGCAGCCAAGGGGGTTTAAAATTAGTCAGTTTCAGGTTTTCAGATATTTCCATCTAGAATATTACAGAATTGTAACTGAGGGGGTCCTGACCCAAAAGGTGGTCAGAGTGGGAGGGTCACAAGGCTACTGTAGGGGGGGTCATGGGGTCACCACCCTTACCCCTGCCCTACAACTGGCAGGGGCGCTGCCTTCAGAGCTGGAAGGCTGCTGGCCAGGTGCCCAGCTCTAAAACCAACACCACTGCCAGCAGCAGCACAGAAGTGAGGGTCAAGTTACCATAGGCCTGGTTTTTCTGTCTGCTTCTTGTCTGAGTGGGGGGCCTGACAGCTGGAGCCACAGCTGCCTGCATGGAGAGGTGACAACAGCTGGAGCTACTGGCTCCCCGCATAGGGGTGGGCGTAATAACAGCTGGAGCCATGGAGAGGCTGGGGTGGTTCCCTGAGGTGGGTCTGACCTGCCCTGGGAGCAGTCTTTGCAGGGGAAGAGGATGTTTGGGCCATCCCCGTCCCTGGCTGGGACTAGCAGCTGGACCATGCACAGGGTAGGAGCCCCTGGCTGGACACCAGCTTTCTTGGGGGAGATCAGATTTCACGGTCGGATGCATTTTTCACAGCCGTGAATTTGGTAGGGCCCTGCGTACGATGGAACACTCTTGAGAGAGAGGGAGGACATCTTTTAAGGGAAGGTGTCTGGTGTCCTGGTGCTGGGAAGATGACATCATCTTGGAAGACAGCCTGAATCCTTTCCGGAATGTCCTTTTGCCTCTTTCCAGGAGCGCTGAGCTCGTGCAGCAAGTTGATGAAGACGACATGATCTACCACGTGCTTAGTCAGACTGTTAGTCAAGAAAAGAAGTCTCAGGACTTCGTCATCCTGGCGTCACGAAGAAAACCTTGTGATGAAGGGTACGTAAATTCGCAGGGCTCCAGTGACATGCTGGGTCTAGCGGGCTTACCCTGTGCAGTGCTCAGCGTTCTTCACTCGCTGGCAGTCAGTGCCCAGAACAGGGACAGCAGTGGTGGGACTAGCCCATGGGGCTGGAAACGTCTAGTGTTTGGTCAGCGTGGTGGTAGCTTTTAGAGCTGCAAAGTCTGTGCTTAGTATTAGCTTAGTATTTACGCTCTCTAAAATCCCCACAGATGGTGCTTTCTCTCCTGTTCAAATGTGTCTGGGCTGTCTTTCAGTGCCCGTGGTAGACAAGTGCAGTGTATTGGTCAGTTGCTGGAACCCCATACTTAAACCAACCATCTTGCAAGGGCTGTGCGTCATTGGACTTATGACCTACTGAAGAAAGGATCATTTTCATGGCAAATATTTACAATGAGCCAGTGAGTGAAAAAATACTTTACCATGAAAATAGTTAATTCATAGCCTCATCTCTGTGGATCCGAAAACATCACACAGAGGAGTGATTGGCACTGGTACACAACTTCCTTTTCACTGCACAATTGGCTGCAAGAGGGATCTAAAGTAACTTGTTGCATATAGAATATGGGTGTGTTTCAATATGTAGCTTTTTGTATTGCAGATAAGATCTAGATTGATACAGAGCACTCTAGATTGCTTGGTAAGCTGTGTGTAAGCAAGTATGGATTTCAGTATGGCTAAATGTAAGCTCGTACAGCTAGGAAAAAAGAATGTCAGCCTACTTACAGAAATGGGGGACTCTCTCCTGGGAAGCAGTGACTGTGAAAACGACTGGGATCCTGGGGGACAATCAGCTGAACATGCGTCCCCATGTTGTGGCCAAAAGGGCTGGTGTGATCCTTGGCTCTTTTAATAAAGAGACTATCAAATGGGAGTAGGCAGGGTTTATTACCTCTGTATTTGGCACTGGTGCGACTGCTACTAGAATCCTGTGCCCCATTCTGGGGCCCACGAGTCCAGAAGGAGTTTGTATTGGAGATGGTTCTGAGAAGAACCACAAAATGATTCAGGGTCTGGACATCATGCCTTCGGGCGAAAGACTCGGGGAACCCATTCCAGTTACCCCTTCCTAGAGAAGGGTGAGCATAGGCATGCCGTTTAGGAGATGAATACTTGTCACATGCTGTTCCTGACTATTCTCACCCTAGCCTTCTTTTTAGCCCAGTTCTTTGGCTGGGAATTTCAGAGGAGTCTCAAGGAGACTGAATTTCAGTAGGAGTTGGGTGCCTGACTCCCTTAGGCTCCTGAAAATCCGAGTCTCCAGTCCCTTGGCACCAAGTGGAATGGGAGCTCTTGCTCTGACTGCAATGTATTTGCCTTAGTGTGCCTGGGGAAGGGATACCTTACCTGCTTTCGGTACCCAATATGATAAAAACACAGGGGACACTGAAGTCACAGTGATGAGATTTGTAGATAGAGACCAGATCACAGCCAGCTTCCCTCCCGCCCACCCCACCTTCTGTCCTCATTGTTTTCAGTTGATTCCATTTTTTTTTTTTTTTTTTTTAAAAATCACTCCAAGATATCTTGGATGTTACTTATTTTGAAGTCAATACAAGAAGAAATGCAGAAGCAGAAGGTGGACTGTGACCGTGTAGTGCTGTGTTTCCACGCATGAATCTCTAGGCAGAGGTCATTTCCATTCTGTCACTGAGCATGTGTTGGGCCAGCAGTTGTGGGGCAGTTCTGCCATCTGCATTTCCTGGCATTGATCTGAGCAGGGTTAACTCGAGAGTTGGCATAAAATCCTGCTCCTCTCTCACCTTTTCAATACACTTGTGAACCGCTCCTAAGCGGGCTTCCTTCTCTTACAGTGACCCATATGTCGTCGCGTTCAGGTCGGTCACGCTGCCCACCCATCCACCCAACCCTGAGTACACCCGAGGGGAGACGATGTGTTCTGGCTTCTGTATTTGGCAGGAGACAGCTGAGCTAACCAAGGTGAGGCTTTTGGCTCTCTCCGCTATCTCAGGATAGCTGTGTCCCCCAGCGACAATCACTGTGGCCTTTACCTGTGTTCCATAACCAAGAGCTCGTGCATGCCGACCTGTGGTTGGCACTAGTGTGCTTTAGTTCAGCTCCCCAGTGCCCAGTTCAGAGGGGGAAAAACAGAAGGGCCTGCAAGTCTGGTGCTGCACATCCCTGTCTGTGCTGGGTTGGGGATTTGGGGGAATTTCTGGAGTCCTTCAATTTTCAAGCCCCTCCCTTTTTAAAAAAAAACAAAACAAAAACCTCTCCCCATCCCCCTCCCCCCCCAACACTCTTACTGTCACATAACACCTCACCTTCATGTGCACACATTTTGTCCACATTGCTCAGGTGGATAAATTATGCTACCCCCATTTTACAGGTGGGGAAACCGAGGCACAGCATGATTCCATGACTTGTTCACGGGGACAGAGGAAGCATTGAATTGAAAATGGATCCCAGATTTTCTGACTCCCAGCCCTGTCCCAATAACCCTCCCTTGCCAAAGGGCTGCATGTCCCAGGCTGTCCCCTGCCGAGTGGATGCACCAGTGTGGTCTGAGTGTGAACTCAAGTCACTTTGACAAGAGGAAATGTTAATACTACGGACAGTTCAAGTAATGGAGGCCTAACAGTTGAACTGCATTTCAACTACTGTAGTCTGGACTGAAAGGTTTTTTCAAATTCTAAAAACCTTTTCAAAATGTCCCCTTTCCATGCTATCAGAACAGTCTGGGCCACCGTATTTGTGTCCAACCCCAACTTTTCCAAGCCCTCGTGTGCTGGCTTTGCTTTGAGCACTAAGGCTGGAATTCACCCTTGCCCACACAAAGCCAGAGGGATTGGTGGGAACTAAGTGAGAAGCTGGGTATTCATTGCCCCCAGGCCGCAGAGGAACCTTTCCACAGCTGCTATTCCAAGTTATGGGCTGGGATAGTGGCTACTACCCTTCTGCACCCAAGGGGGGTTCACAGCCACTGGATCAGAGGAACTGGCAGTTCTATGGTCTGTACATCCCCAAACCTCTCCGCTATTCAGAGCCACTGGGGAGAGAGCCCCTGCTGAACCATGGGAAGAGGAAGTCAGTACCTATGCTGCTGCTGTACTTATTAGAAAATGACTTATGTAGGTTTCCACCTGTGGATGTCCCCATAGCTGTCTTAATGAATGTGTTGTGGATTTCAGGTGTCCTATTACAACCAGGCTGCTCCAGGATACCTAGCTTACGTCACAACTAACATTGCAGGACTGTCCTCGGACTTCTATGTTACCTTCAAAGCCTGTGAGAGATTCCTGCAGAAGAACAAGGATGAGATCGCAGTCGGGCTTCAGAATCTGTAACTGTTGGCCCTTTTTGCACAGTGCTGTGTGATTATCTTGTACATATTGAAGCGACTGGTCTGTGTAGGTGAGAGCACATGGAGAGTAATTACTTAGATAATGTTAGTGGCATTGCTAGGAGCACAATGACTTGAAATCATCTATTGTAGCATGACTAAAATCCGCTCTTCTCTCTAGTGTGCTTGATGATGGTGAGAAATGTAATGGCTGGAGCCAATCTACCTAATCAGGGAGAGGGATTATTAAGGCCAAACTCTGTGGCAACTATTATGGTTTATCTGAGTGCAAAATTTGGCCTGGGGTGGGATGGAGAGAGAGGTCCACGTGGTTCCTACATGGCCAGTGTTTCATTGTGAAGTCAGTCAGCTCATTCTAAGGTCTAGGGCTAGAGCAGCGTGTAATCTGCTTAAAAAGCACTAGCCTTATTTTATTTGTATTCCGTCTTGTAACCTCATGTTCAGGAATTGACTTTCTGACAGCATCACCCGCACTTGAACCTTTGTACAAAAGTAAAGGTTACTAAATGGATTATTTTTTTCACCAGTTCTTGTAATCCAATGGAGGAACTGTCCATCTTTTAATCCAATGAAGTAAATCAGGACAGGATTTGGGTGGGGGAGAAGGCCAGCCTGGTCTCCTGTAACACAGTACTGTTGGATTTGACACACTAGGCATTATGATGCAGGATACCTCATTGATGTGCTGCAATTCCATGTTCTGTCTTTCACACACCATAAAAAGAATGGGAGTGGTAATAAAGAAGCCCCATTCACCTTCTGACCTCAGGAGTTCGTCTCGCCGGGTTTTCTTTAGTTACTGAGTATTTTTCTTGATCAGCCCCAGAGTAAGGGAAATTGAACTGTTTTCTGTGGGAAATTGATTCTTCTTGTTTAAGAATTTTTAAACCTGCACTGCTGCTGTCTGAAGGATTTTCTCCCCCTTTGTTGGTAAATAAAGCACAACTATGGGGATGGATTTCCAGTCTTCCTGCTTTTTGAGCCTTTATTCTGTGATGTTCAACTGTGCAACTCAAATATCTGATTAAAATATTAGTCATCCCAGCCAGGCATCTCCTGGATTCGTGGCTGAGTTCTAGATCTCTTCAGACAGGCTCAAGACTTCTTGCTGCTGACTACAGCCATAGGTGTGTATGGAGAAGTGACCATTAAAGCACACCCAAAAATACACTGTGCCCGCACTCTTGATACATGCGCTTTTCTGAAAGGTATTGGCAGATCCTAGCTGGGAAGAAGAAATATGCCCCTCTTCCCACCACTTCTTTACTTTTGTCGTGGAGGTTGATCACAAACTATACAGCGCCAGTGAAACTGGTGTGGGAGCGAGCTGAACGCTGACGAGCTAGAGTCTGTGCTTATCTCCTGGGGGTTACCTGAAGCAAACCACTGTAAAGAAAATGTCCCCCCAAGGCGAAAGGGGGAGAAACTGGGCTATGTGGAGAGTTCCACCTTAGCAATAACTAGCCGTAGATAAAAACCCCACAACCAAACTGTGTCCAGAAAACAGGCCTCCAGCTCAAGCAGATGAAATTACATTTATTTAAAACAATTATTTGTCTGACAGCAGCTCCTAGAGGTTACACCTACCTGCAGAAAGACAGTCCTTGCCCCCAAGAGTTTACAATCTGCTCAAACGGACAAAAGATAGGAGAGAGGAAATCCCATCTCCATTTTACAGATGGGGAAAACGGAGACACCAAGATTAAGGACTGATTTTTTTTTTTTTCAAAAGGGCTCGGTACGTTGGGTGCTTAATCTCAAAAATCTAGTCAGAAGTATCCCACTGGGAGCGGTGGGGTTTTGAGCTTCTTTTGATAATCTAGCCCCATCGGATTTGCTCGGGATGACAGTGTGTGTGGTGGTAGAGCCAGGATTTGAGTCTAAGTGCACTGCTTTAACCACAAACCATCCTTCCTTAAAGAGAGAAGCCCGTCCCTTCCGCCTCGCCCGGTCAGTGTGTGAACTACTGAACAGGCTGACATTACAAACCAAAAGGGGATCTGTTTGGGAGACGTGTTCAAAGCAAAAAGGACAACCAAATAAATTAAACTCTACTTAGAGAATAGTTCTAATGCCCAGTCCCCCAAGTGCAGGAGTCAGTGACAGACCTGCCACTACTGTGATTGCCAGAGTAAGAAGTTGGTTTGAAAACACAGTGATCACAGAATATCGGGGTTGGAAGGGACCTCAGGAGGTCATCTAGTCCAACCCCCTGCTCAAAGCAGGACCAATCCCCAATTTTGCCCCAGATCCCTAAATGGCCCCCTCACAACCCTGGGTTTAGCAGGCCAACGTTCAAACCACTGAGCTATCCCTCCCCGACATCCACCATCAAAGCATTTCTGCATTGTCTTGGTATGTTATAATAGACCCCCTTCTGTGTATGTGTTCGGATAGACCAGAGTCCTGGGAAGCCACCACAGTAGCTACCCTCTGTGTAACTGTGTTGCACAGTGATGGTGTAGCTGGGTGAAATCTCCAACAGCTTTGTAGTTGCCAGCCATGATCTACTCAGTGCCATAGCCTCCAGCTGAAATGACACTTGTTGCCAGAGATCCTTACAGAGTGTGAGCATATCTTCTACCAATGGGCCAGTGTAACCAGCAGTTAGCACTTCCCTGGGCCAGCCAGGGGCTATGGTAACATATGGGAAAATGGTGTTGATGGCTGTTAAGAATTCTTCACCTTGCATGTATCCCGGTGTCTCAAAGCTTCCAAAGGAGAGAGCCATGCTTATCCAGATGGGGTTCCATAAGAGATTCTGGGCATATAGCTTACTAAGGAGCTCAAGAGTAGGGCGAAGTGCTCCAGGTTCTGTTATGTTCAGGAATATCCCCCAAGGATTGAGATGTCTGTATACTGTAACTAGACACTGTTCCAGGGGGAGGCCTGCTGATGGATACAGTGCAACGGGAATGAGATTTCCACTGGTGCTGTTCTGTAATGCAATGTCCAAGGCAATCATGCCCCTCTTTTCTGGAGAACAAAGGAAAGGGAGATAGTACATAACAGCCTGAGCCTCAGTGATCCCTTTAACGTAGCGATGTATTTGTTATGTGTAATTAGCACTAAGATTTAAAGGGAGGAAAGGAGCTACACGGCTCCATTATATGTGTTTGGGTAGAAACCATTCAACCGCTAATTTTCATTGGACTATATGATATTTAATATACAACAATGATAGATACTGATTGTCTGTATAATTGATTCAAAGTGTATTCTTAACTGCAGACAACAAGCGCTTTCACTGTTCTGTGCATCATCCACCAGTTCCTAGTGTATCTCTCCAGATAGTTAATTGGGGATGGGGAAAATAATTGATTCATATCTGGTAGCATAGTGAGATCCACAGTAGGGTAAGAGGTAATCTTCCACCTTTTGGCCTTTCGACCAGTAGCATTCGGGAATCTTAATCCTGCTTCTAACCTAACCCAGGATTGTTCCTCATATAGATTCTTCATTGCCTGAAACAGCCTGGTTTTATATTACTCCAGCAATGGGTCTTCTCCTACTGCTTTCATAGACTATTTCATAGATAGGGCCCTACCAAATTCACCGACATGAAAAACACGTCAGGACCCGTGAAATCTGGTTTCCCCCCATGAAATCTGGTCTTTTGTGCTTTTACCTTATACTATACAGATTTCATGGAGAGACCAGCGTTTCTCAAATTGGAGGTCCTGACCCAAAAGGGAGTTGCAGGGGAGTCACAATATTACCACCCTTATTTGTGCGTTGCCTTCAGAGCTGGGTGGCCAGAGAGCGGCGGCTGCTGGCCGGGTGCCCAGCTCTGAAGGCAGCGCCCTGCCAGGGGCAGTAAGGTTAGCAGTACTGAAACCCCCTACAATAACCTTGTGACACCCTCCCCCCAACTCCTTTTTGGGTCAGGATCCCTACAATTACAACACGGTAAAATTTCACATTTAAAAGTCTGAAATCATGAAATTTATAATTTAAAAAATCATATGACGGTGAAATTGACGAAAATGGACCATGAATTTGGTAGGGTCCTATTCATAGATCTTAGTGTTGGTACTTTTCTCCTGATAGTCAGTTTAAATGTGCTTTTGCTCAGTTTAATCCCATTTATATCCCCTTGTTTCACCCTGTCTCCTTTCACTGTTCTCATTATTGTGGTGTTTTTTGCAACATGTTCTGCAGGCTTTGTTCTAGGAGATGCATAGACTACTCCTGTCATCCATTCCTAAGCTCTCAATTACCTAACCTGCCTCACTGCTGTCTGTAAATTGGGTTTATAGGCCACCAGAAAGTTCACTGGGACTTACTGACCCTAGTCTGAGAACTAAAGCCTGAGCTGCAACTCTTAGGAACTGCCAAGTCTGTGACAACTTATGAAAACCCCTCCAGTTCTGTTAGATCGGTACATGGGGAAAGATGTGTTACTCACCTTTAAGAATTGACAGTGTTTCCAGCCTGTTCTCATAGTGATCCATCCCATACCACTCTATCCATAGTTCATCGGAGTCTGCTGGGTGAAAGTAATCTAGCAAATTGCCTCCAGGATAATAGAATCTCTTTCTTGTTGAATTCACTGTTGGGTTGAGAGGAGGGGGAAAATGCTGAGTAAAATCATTCCCCTTCAGAGTACCGTGTGCGCTTTTGTCTTTAGGGCTAGGGCTACAGTAGGATACAATGTAGGAGCCATAACTTGCCATCATGACAGCTGTACCAACTATGGTAACAGTTGAGACTGTCGTGTAGACCATATTTACCACTTTGTCATCTGACCCTGCTCAAACTAGATCACAGCGTAGAATTTCACATATAGTTAAACACTGCTTAGTCCCTTGACCTAGCTTGAATGTGTTCCCAATAAGCAGCAATTTAGCTAATAGTCTTAAGTAGTACACATGATCATTAAGCTAAGTTGGGTCTCTGGAATAGAGCCAATAAAACCCCATCTTGACTAAGTGGAGTACAGCTGTTTATCCTTCTTGTACCAGAGGGGAAGCAAGTACACTTCTGAAAAAAGGGTGCCTACTAGTTCGGGAGGCGGTAGGGGAAGGTAGAGAGACTCATTGCTCCCAAACTGAAAGGGTCAGCCTCAAATTCTGCCAATCCCATGTGTTGTGCAGAGGGACCTGAGAGCAGAGCTTGGGACCAATACTTCCTGACTGTACAGGATGAGTAACCTGCAAAAGGCAGGGGAGAAAATGGATGATTGTCTCTCTAATGATTCCTTGTTTGTTTCTTCGATGTATAATGGAAACCTTGAATTTACTTTTTAATTCTTCTATTTTAATTTTATGACTTTAGAAATGTAGGTCTTCTCTACCTTGGAAGTACCCAGAGATCTAATGAAATCATGACATCACAAAAGACTAGCTTAGGAGCTATTGAAGGAGGAATACATTTTTTTTTTAGCCCAGACTGTTTAAAACTCTGGGAATTTGTTTTGGTTAACACCTACTTAACTCTAATGGGTAATGGATGCTTGGGAGAAAGGATGTCTTTGTTCTAGATTCAACACCTGTGCCTTTTCAGTCAGTGTGTGCCATCAGTCAGCTATCCTTTATGGCCCCAACAAGTCTTCCAGCAACACTAACTGGAAACCAGACTTACGATATCTTCGAGGTAAAACAACTAGCAGAAGAAACCTTTAAACAATCTTTCAGGCCTCCTGTGTATCAAAAAAGGGGAAAAAAGAGCACAACCCCTTTCTTTAAAACAAAGAAACTTTGTTACAGGTCCCAGAGCAAGTGCCTATTTACAGTATATAGCACCCTCACTGCATAAGTGCACATCAAAATATAGCCAGGACATTTTTTCTGCCTTTCATAATTGTTCTTTCAAGTGGGCTCAAGTTAGCTGCTAGCAAAGGCGCACTTGGACGGTCTCACCACCGTGGGTCTGAGCCCCTTTGAAATTGGTGTAGCTTTAGGAGGCAGTGTGGCCTTGGGGACAGGACAATGGAAGGGGAGTCAGTAGCCCTGGCTTCTATTCCCAGCTCTGCCACTGAGCTGCTGTCACCTTACACAAGTCACTTCACCTCTCTGAGCCTCAGTTTCTTCTCACACCCTTTGTCTTGTCTATTTAGATAAGCTTTTTTGGAGCGGGGACTGTCTCCTCCTATGTGTATGTACAGCACCTAGCACAGTGGGGTCCCAATCTCATTTGGTGCCTCTGGGCGCTACTGTAATACAAACATACATGCTGCTTCCTTGAACTGAGACAGAACAGGATTGTAAATGTCGTAATAGATTTGTTCAGCACGGCTATTATCCCGGATGAACAGGAGATCTTCCACTGTGATTGGATCCATCTTCCCCTGCCACAGAGTCAGGCTATACCTGTGGAGAAGAGAGAGCATTGAGCTGGCCTGGGATTCTCGCAGGTTCTCTGGCTGGCTTTTCAATAGTTGGAGGTACAGTTGTCTAATTAGCCATCGCTAGTTTGGTCCCTTTCAAATGGAAGTTTTTAGTTCTGAAAATAAGTGATGCTCTGTAGGATTAGGGATCTGGAAAGATGACACTGTCCAGCACCCTGAGCAGCTCTCTTTTAATGAGAGACACTGTAGAAGGGTTGTTTATTTGCAAGTGTCTGACTATAGAAAGGTTTCTGTGACATGGGAATAATTTGTACTTAGCGGCCCGACCACTTGGAGCTGCAGTGTAGGCAAGGTGCTGGTGGCCGGTACTGTTCTTTAAGTCAGTGGTTCTCAACTAGGGGTATGTGGACCCTTGGGGGTACTCAGAGGTCTTCTAGGGCATACTCAACTCATCTAGATCAGTGTTTCTCAACCTGGGGCTTGCAGCCCCAAGCGTGGTCATGGGATGGGTTTAGGGGGGTCACAGATGCAGGGCTGGCATTAGGAGGTGGCAAGCAAGGCAATTGGCCGGGGACCCATGCCATAGGGTCCCCCCATGAAACTTAGTTACATGCTCCAGGCCTGGACAGCAGGGCTTGGGCTTCAGACCCGGCTCACCAGTGGAAAAACAGGCTCAAGCATCACAGGGAAATGGAAGTACAGTACTTATATTCCAATGGATTTATTTTATAATTCTATGGTAAAAATGAGAAAGTCAGCAATTTTTCAGTAATCGTGGGCTGTGACACTCTTTTGAATTTTATTTCTGACTTTGTTGGCAAGTAGTTATTGAGTTAGGTGATACTGGGGGTACTCAAGACAAATCAGACTCCTGAAAGGGGTCCAGTCATCTGGAAAAGTTGAGAACCACTGGTTTAAGTGGTTTAGTTAATCCTGCTCAAAGGATTAAAGATGAACTTGTGTGGTTAACTCCTTACCTATCCGACTGAGCCAGCAGCCAGCTGAAATGGGGCCAAGCCAATCTCAACAGGACGGCCCTGGCAGGGAAGGTGACCCTTTGGGGCAGCGTCCCCGCAATGCTGTGCATCTCTTGAATCATTTTCTGAGTGTAGGTTTTGTTGGGGAACAGAAATGAATAGAGGGTCGTCCACCCTAGAGAGAGTGTGCAGTTTGGGTACTTCTCCTGGACGAGTGAGAGGAATCTAAAGGAACCACGTACAGAGCAACAGTTACTGTTAAGACCTGCAAGCAAGAAGCCAGTAAACAACAACTTTATTAAACCTACAAACTTGTGAACAACACACCAGATGGCACTCCTTTTATATCTACTGTACTACACACACTGATTTTTATAGGCAACTCTCGGAACCCTTCCAACAGCAAGAACCCCCCCCCCCCCCTTGGGAAACAGGTGAGAGTCTGGGCAGACCACAGTAGAAACTCATCACGGTGATGCATATTGACTGGGAAATTTGCTGTGGACAGGTAGGTTTTTATTGTAGCTCAACGCTAACCCATTAGACCCTTGGCTTGCTCCTCATATGAAGCAGAACTGGCCTCTCTATTGATTCACATAGGACTGCAAATGGTGCTGAGTGAAAATACCTGTCTGGTGACAGAATCCTGAATAAAAAGAGGAACTTTACCCCAGTCCATGCTTGGATTGCCATGTATTTTGAGCAATGCAGTAAAAGATGTAGTAATTTGGAAAAACTGTACAAAAATATAGAGTCTAGGTGTTGGTGAACCTCAGAAAGTTTGGACTTTGGGCTGGGCTATCCATTCCAGCTAATTTTTTCTTTTTTTAAAAAAAGACTGTGGCGTTTTGAAATCCTGGGTTAAAATGCCAGAGGTTGATTTAATTGTATAGAAAATTGTATAGAAAATAGAAACTCTGTAGGTTTTCAGAGTAATTTCTGTAGAACCCCATTGGTTTGATTCCTATTAAACTGTACAGGATTTTTTTTCCTTACAAGAGGAAAAAGTTCAGAGCGGAGTTTAAAAGTCCATTCTGTTGCTCCTACTTTAACTCCCTTTCCGGTGGTGTGTGTGTGTTCCAAAATAGTCTGAGATAAATTTGGGATGGAAACCCCAGATTTTCAGTGTTAACTCTGTAACTCCTGGCTTTTTTGTGGGCTTAAAGATGTAGCTTTTAATTTTTTAAATACAGTCTGAGAGCTCCTATTAATAACAGTATGTGCCCTGAGAAATTTGAGCAGATCACTTTAAACCAACAGAATTCAAAAATCAGTTTCTCCTTTTATTTACCATAGAGGAGAATGAGAGCAGGAGACCTCCAAGATACAACTCTCATGAGTCACCGTGGTGGTGTCCCCAGATCAGAATTTATAAATTTTCAAGGGTTTAGATTTTTTGATGAAAAGTCAAAATTCTCCATGGGAAGCTGTTTTAGTTTAAAAACACAATTTTCTGTCAAACAGTTTCAATGGAAAATTTTTGCATAGACCTGGCTAACAGTGTTACCAGCTGTTACAGGGTAACCAAGGATTATTAAACTCAAGACTCCAGCAGGCAACTGGAGGAGGGAGTGATTTCTGGAATCTAAATATGTTCTCCGGGGGCTTGATCCAAAGCCTATTGAAAGCCCCCCACACATGTGAATAGCCACTGGATTAGGCACTCAGTGACCTGGGATCTTAAATGGTTGGTTGTCTTCTTCTTCTTTCCTATATAAACTTTTTTTTGCCCATCTTTGTCAGCTCTTTAACCAAACTTCATTCTTGGCGCTTCTTGGGGTCACAGATTTCTTACTGCAGTAGACGACTGTTGCTAGTGTATAACAGCGTATTTTGTTCCAAAGCTATGGAAGTGGTCAGTACATCCTGGGATATAAGTAACTGAAAAGTGCAAAATAAGCCATGAAAGTGATTTAAGAAAAATGCATTTTACTCACAAACTTGCGTTAATTGCAATGTTTATGGGGACATTGGGACCCATTAGAATATCTGCGTTCAACCAGAGAGGTCTATTGAGCTTCACTTCCGAGGATTTCTTTAGTAAAATATTCAGAGATGGGCCAACTGCCTTGATGCTTTTGAAATCCAGCTTGATACCTGTCCGAGAAAGAATCCATTGAGAAATTCCATTTGTATTTGATAATAGCAGCTGGCCAATTATGCACAAATGTAAATAGGAGGCCTGTTTCTACAGCACCACAGGGTCCTGGTCCAGGACTAGGGATCCTTGGCACTATGGTTGTACAAATAATTGATGATGATGATATCTTTAACATTGCCTATTGCTAGTCCCCAGCACTGCCCCATCGTTCCCTGCCAAATGGGGTGTGAAGAGCATGCTTCTGAATTCCGTATGTTCATAGACCACTCAGGGCAAAGGGTTACATCAGCTTGTTTAAAGGCATAGCACTTTAGATTACCTTTGCTAGATGAGTTAAGGACGACATCCAGCCATTCCTGAAGAGTGTTGTCACTGTAAGTAGCGGGGGGATGGGCCATGATGGGCTTGTCGGTCTCATTAGGAGTGTTATGTCCTTCTACGTTGACATCTGCTTCCAGGATCATAACATCACCTGTGTGCGCAATGAATTCACAGTATGAATCCTTGACTGGAGTCTGTGTATGTAAATTACACCCTCCACACTTGTCAGTGTCTTCACAACATATGAAGGCAGCTCCCTATGGGCTCAATCCTGCAAGGTGCTGCACACTCTGTTCACTACCCAGCAAAGCATTTAAGCATGTGCATAGTCATACTGAAGTTGATGAATTACTCAGGTGCTTAAAGTTAAGCATGTGCTTAAGTGCTTTGCTAGATAGGGGCCACAATGCTCAGCTCTTGGAGGCTCAAGCCCTGTGTCTCTCACAGATACATATGTGATGTTTCCTGCCTCTGCTAGACCAAGGAGCCGCAATGTCTTTCTTTAAGTGGGATGGTCACCTATAAGGCAGCCAGCAGCTTCACCAGTTCCAGGATAATAATTTCTGCTCTGATCATAAATATGGCCAGGGAAAGGAGGAGCCCCTATGATCCATTAAATGATTAGAGAGATGATAACAAAAGGCCTGATCCAATGCCCCTTAAAGTCAATGGGAGTCTTTCCATTAATTTAACTGGGCTTCAGATCAGGCCACAAATCCCCCCTCTCTTCCAGCTGTAAGTAGTCCCTGGCCATTCCAGGTGAGTGATACCAGACTGGAAAGTTTCAGTTTTTCTTTCTGGAATGGTTCCAAATGCTCTGTGATGAACCTGAGTTAGCAGATAAACCCCTAATCTGTGATTTATCTCTCAAGGTTGGAAAAAGCTGATTTTTTTGGTACTGTCTTGCATCACTATGGAGCTTTCTGTACTTTCCTCTTGTACGTTATCACCACAAGATAAAACTGCTTCAGGTGAATGTAGCACGAAACATTCAACTTTTACAGACTAGCTTTATCTCATGAAGCTATAAGCAAGCCCGGCTTATCACTTCAGGTCAGCCCTCCTTTCAGCATATCCGGGATTTCTGCTGCTTGATTCAGTGTGTGGAATGATGTTCTCATCTGAACACTAAACTTGAGCAGCCCTCTTCTCTTCCTTAAGTATTCTACTTTTTACTATTACAAAGCCCAGTTTCAATCCATTAGTTTTATCTTAAATGTGGGATAAGCCCCTCAGCATTGTCTTCTGGGTAGGAAATATCTTTTTTGCCCCAATCAGATAAATTGATAAATGAATCACTCAACAAATGCTCAGTTGCCACTATTTTGATCAAATCATTCCAACATTGAATATTCTCAGTGTTTGCCGGAGCTCCCTACGTTGCGTGCTGGCAACTAACTCTCCTGAGTGAAATCCTGGCCCCACTGAAGTCAACCAGGAGTTTTGCTATTGACATCAGTGGAACCAGGATTTGACCCTATGGCTTTCTAATATCATGTAATTAGAAACAAAAAGGACAGGGACCTAGGATTCGCCAGACTGGGAGAGACCACTGAATCACATAGTCTGGCATCCTGCTTTTGGCCATGCTTCAAAGGAAGGAAAACTCCCCACTAAATATGTAGTCAATTGTTCAGTGCTGTACCCAGTGAGAAAGGAGGGGAAAAATTCCTTTCTGCATCCTGCAGATGATCTGATTACACCCTGAAGTGTGAGACCCTGCTCCCCTTGCTATCTTAGCTTTCCTAGCTACACAGGTTATTACAGATGGAAAAAATATATTTTACTCTTCAAGGCATCCGCCAGCTCGCTCTTTTTGTTTGCAGAATGGTACCAGGTGACCAGCAATCCATCCTTCCTGTCAATGCTCCCCAGATTTAGCAGGTATTCTAACAGGTCTCCGTCTGTCTCAAAGGCTGGTTTGGGTGCAGAGTCTGAAATACCAAGGAAGATTCGAAATAAGTAATTTTTAGGGCTGTTGATTAATCGCAGTTAACGGACGTGATTAAAAAAAAATCAATCGCAATTAAAAAAAATTGTGATTAATCCCACTTTTAAACAATAGAATACCAATTGACATTTATTTTTGGATGTTTTTCTACATTTTCAATTATATTGATTTCAATTGCAACACAATACAAAGTGTACAGTGCTCACTTTGTATTATTTTTATTACAAATATTTGCACTGTGAAAATAAAAGAAATAGTGTTTTTCAATTCACCTCATACAAGTACCATAATGCAATCTCTTTATCGTGAAAGTGCAATTTACAAATGTAGATTTTTTTTGTTACATAACTGCACTCAAAATCAAAACAATGTAAAACTTTAGAGCCTGCAAGTCCACTTAGTCTTACTTCTTGTTCAACCAATTGCTAAGACAAACAAGTTTGTTTACATTTCAGGAGATAATGCTGCCCACTTCTTATTTATAATCTCACCTGAAAGTGAGAACGGGCATTCGCATGGCACTTTTGTAGCCAGCATTGCAAGGTATTTACGTTCCAGATATGCTAAACATTCTTATGTCCCTTTGAGCTTCGGCCACCATTCCAGAGGACATGCTTCCATGCTGATGATGATTGTTTTTAAAAAAAAAAAAAAAAAAAGTTAATTAAATTTGTGACTGAACTCCTTGTGGGGGAGAATTGTATGTCTCCTTCTTTGTTTTACCCGCATTCTGCCATATATTTCATGTTATGGCAGTCTTGGATGATGACCCAGCATATATTGTTCATTTTAAAAACACTTTCACAGTAGATCTGACAAAGCGCAAAGAAGGTATCAATGTGAGAGTTCTAAGGATAGCTACAGCACTTGACCCAAGGTTTAAGAATCTGAAGTGCCTTCCAAAATCTGAGAGGGATGACGTGTGGCGCATGCTTTCAGAAGTCTTAAAAGAGCACCACTCCGATATGGAAACTACAGAACCCGAACAACCAAAAAAGAAAATCAACCTTCTGCTGGTGGCATCTGACTCAGATGATGAAAATGAACATACGTTGCTCCACTCCGCTTTGGCTTGTTATCGAGCAGAACCCGCCATCAGCATGGATGCATGTCCCCTGGAATGGTGGTTGAAGCATGAAGGGACATATGACTCTTTAGTGCAGCTGTCACATAAATATCTTGCGATGCCCGCTACAGCAGTGCCATGTAAATGCCTGTTCTCACTTTCAGGTGATATTGTGAACAAGAAGCGGGTTGCATTATCTCCTATAAATGTAAACAAACTTGTTTTCGAGTGATTGGCTGAACAAGAAGTAGAACTGAGTGGACTTTTACATTATTTAATTTTTAATGCAGTTTTTTTTGTACATAATTCTGCATTTGTAAGTTCAACTTTCATGATAAAGAGATTGTGTAACGCACACACTGCCTCAGTGTGGTGTCCTGTCTCATCCGCGAGCACTTAGAGATATAAATGAGTCTGCTCTACAGCCTTCGCTAACAGACCGTTGGCTTTTAGTTCATGCGGTAGAGACTCAAGCATTTAGCTCCTGAGGTTCCCCGCTTCCATCCTGCCCGTCGCCGACGGGTGTCTGTCGGCGTTCCAAGAGCATTACTGTGGTGTTATTAGGTGAACTGAAAAATACTGTTTCTTGTTTTACAGTGCAAATATTTGTGATCAAAAATAAGTATCAAGTGGGCAGTGTACACTTTGCATTCTGTGTTGTAACTGAAATCAGCATATTTGAAAATGTAGAAAACATCCCAAAATATTTAAATAAATGGTATTCTATTCTTGTTTTAAAAAGTGCAATTAATCGTGCGATTTAATTGCAATTAATTTTGGGAACCAAATGGGAAACTAACCCAAGCAATAGCTGGGTTTTGAAGAGGTGGGACCTGAAGGGAAGTAATAGGAGAACTGCCTGACTGCTCCCAAATGTTTATGGCCACACAGAAGAAACAGTACTACAGACTATGTCCTATCGTTTTGCTGATTTCAGTGGAAAGCGGCAGCACAACGGGGGTGGGGAAAGGGTTACACCTGTTGCCTAAGCAGACTTTTTGGCTGGGTCACAATGGAGTTAGTGCCAAGAGTGACTGTAAATTGTGAGGAACCGTCCTGTGACTCCTAGTTCTTACTGCAGGTGCGAACACAGTGAGCGTCTTAGCACAGATGAACATGAACGGGGCTGGTCAGATGACCATGCATTTTTGATCTCCTTATGCATAACAATGTAGACACTGATCCCTGCAAAGGCAGTGGTTAAAAATCTAATTAAAAAACGCCTTGCTCTGTATAGTCTCCCAGTTCTAAACATTATGTCAGTAACAGACTGTTACAACTCAGGCAGACAAACAAAATATAAATCCCCTCTCCAGGCTGACAAATTGTATATTAAGTTTAGCTTAATGCAGTTTGAAAGGACAGCTCTCCCACCTATAAAGTCAGTGTTTACACAACCTTAGGATGGCATTTATATTATCATTGCAGTGTCACTTCTGGGGAAGCTCTCCTTACATATCCTTTCTGCAGACAGACTCCAGGTACCCCATTTATTTTTAACAAATGAAGCCTGTTCCTCCACAATGAATGGTGTAAGATATTCTCCCTGATCCACAAAGCTATCACACAATCATCATTACATCTATCACACCTTAGTGTCTTCTCTTGCCCCCCCCCCCCACTCCCCTTTCAGCACAGCTGGTTCCCATCCAGTTTGTTTCTGCTTCTTTTTCCCGTGCAAATAATTTAGCCACTTGCCCCAAATGCACCCTTGGGAGCCAATCAGCCAGAATCTAAGGTCAAGAAGCATTTACCGGTTTGGCTTTGTACCTTGGGGGGGATTCCTGTTAATGGTCAGACACACAGCCGGAGCGATGCAGGTAGAAATCACCGCCACAACACAGACCCCAATCACTGTAGCTCCTGTCACTCCAATGGAAGGACAGCTTCTCTGACTGGAAACCATGACAGTCCTCTGGGTGCACCCACTCTTGGGCAGCTGAGTTATGAAATTCCAGCTTCCTTCAAAAGAAAACTGAGCATAGGAGAGCCGGCTGGCTGAGGCTGGGGACTTTTGTAACGATTAAACTTGCCGAAGGCTGACACTGCCTAAATCTCAAACACGCTCCAAAGGCAGGAGCTGATACGTACGTTGGCCTGATTCTTGGACAGCTTCTTTCTAACAGCTCTGCTTTGGAGGGCTCCACATCTACCACCCAGCACTGCCTTTGGGGACTGTACCACAGGGAGGCCTTTATGGAACTGCCTCTACGTAGGCGTCAGCCCCTCCTTCCTTCAGCTGTCATGTAGGCACGGCTGGATTTTAAGGGCCAAGTTCCATTCCCTCGCTCTCTCTAAGGAAAGAGTCTCTCCCTCCCTCTGGGAGCTGATCTGTTAATGTCACGCCTTCGGTTTCCTGAGCCAGCACGAGACAAGTGCTCAACTAAGGTTACTTTGGGAGAATGCTAGGACGTGGCCAGTGCAGGCTGAGAACAGGGCACCTGCGGGTTTGAAAAGAACAAGTATAAAGCCACCTGGCTGGGATCCCTGCCTGACGGCATTGAGACTAATGCAGCCAGTCACTACAGTAACCTGAACAGCTTAGCTTAAGGTTACAGTTTGAAACACACAGAAATCAGGAACCTTATCTCACCACACTGCACACAGCAGTGTCAATTTTGACCTCAGATACTTCTGTGAAAACCTCACTGAAGTTAATCAGATGTGCGTTTTCCCCTCAGGGCAGGATGGGGCCCACAGCACACCGATGTTGGCCCATGTAAGTCCACTGAAGTCAGGTGGAGCTGGGTTGATTTTCACTGGCTGAGGAACTGGCCAGTTATATTTAACAGTGTAACTAGGAACCTACCCTACACCCTGCATGCATTAATGGTGCGAATTAATCCCTCTGTGAGAACCTTATTCTTGATTTAAAAACCAAAGAACTACACCAGACTGACAGATGCAAACCTCTGAGTAACTAACCCACCGCTACAAATGTAATCCCTGTATCTGTATGAGGTGCGGACAGGAGATGGGGACTTCACAGGCTTTGGACAGTCCCCAAGTTTCTGTTTTCTGGGCTAGTTTCCCGGTGCTGCTGGTAGGCCCCCGACGCTGCCCCGCTTGGTGTGCTGAAGATTCACGCTGCTTGGCGGTGCCTCCCGTGAGACACGGGGTTAACCACACTAAGGCCATGGCTACCACGCAAGACCTCACAAATAATTCAAACTCACACACGCAAACAAATTTTAAAACAATAACTAAAAACTTTATGTAAGGATTTGATTAAAGAGACCTGGACAATGCAAATATTAAATGATTAAAATGCTTAGAGAGATTTAATAATGCTGTTTAATTACTAAAGGCTACACTGATACGAAGTCAGGTGATCACACATCTCCCCAGTGCTCCTAAACAGTAGAGTCTCCCCGCTCTCTGTTCCCATGGCTCAGGTACCTGGGTGTTGCACATAGAGACATGTTGCAGGCCTGTAAGGAGATGGTGTTAGAAACACACTTCACTACACTGGGAACTGGCAATGCAGGGCTTGACGATTCAGGTAGCTGAAAGCCCTTTTGCACATGCAATGTGCATTAATGGTGAGACATTAAACCCTACCTATCTAACTCTAACACAGGGGACTCACTCAGGGTCCTTTTCTGGCTGAGCACGCAGGAGACTCATGCAGGCAAGCAGGTCCTCCCTGGGGATTGCTGGAGAGGGACTAACTGCCCACTCCCTCCTGGAACAGTTTTTAAAGCTTGGAACCCCTGGGTTCAGTTGTAGTTAGGTCTCTGGAGCCCAAATCCCAGCTCTGGTGTGGGCTGGCTGCAGGGCGGGCAGGCTGCAGATGGTGGCAGGAGGAGAACTAGACTGTCTCGGCCTTTTGCAGGCAGGCTAGGGGAAGAAGGAGCAGATTGTCTTCTCCTGAGGCTTTGCTGTAGGCCGAGGTTACAGACTGGCCAGTTGCTGGGCCTGGAAGTGCTGTCGACGGAGGAGGGTTTCCAGGGTGACTGGGGGGTTGCATCCCCCTCCTGCTGCCTGGGAAGTCAACAGTGTAGGACTCTTGTTGGGGACCCCATGGAGGCCTAAAAGGTGAGTTTCTTCTCTTGGGGCACAGCCCCCTCACTAAGAGGGTGTGTGTGTGTGTTTGGGGGAAAGGGGGCTACATCCTTAATCTTGATGCCGTCATCAAGACTTAGACTCTAACTGTTCAAAAGTCCAAAGTGTCCAATGTCCAAAACTGCAAGGTCTGCAAGTCACTTATCTAAACAGTGCTATCTGGTTACACATAATTCCTGCTTAACCACATCATAACGTTTATCTTCTACTTTATATAGTATGAACCTTCACAGGGAACACACGAGACAGCATCTGACAAAATTAGCCAGAGCTGATATGAACCTTTGCACCACACTCAACAGAAACTCACCAGGCACTGCAGGGGAATCGTAGGTGAGATGGCACACAGGCTTTATCAGTCTCTGAGGCCTTGCTTCCTCTGAAAATCCTTCTTCTGTGTTTGCTGTAGTCTTCACGACTTTAGGGGTAAAGTCAGGTGGTTGTGTGACTTGAGGAACTGTGCTAGCATCTGTAATCTCACTTTCTTGTGCTCTACGTTCTTCTACCGTGCCTTTCTGTTGGAGCTGCGCTCCAGGACCGGGTACGGTGACCGCTTTCTCTGCAGCAGAAGAAGGGTGCCTGTCAAATATAGGGGTGTCAAAAAGCATTGGTGATGGATAAACACACTGTGTCTCATCATCTGAGGCCGACTTGCACTCTTCCTCTAGAGGAGCAAGATTACTTCCTTCAGATGACTTGGGTTCCTGATTTCTAGTCACTGGGTGAATCACAGGGGGTTTCACTGTGGATGCTTCAAGAAAATGAACTAACTGTCCTATTGGCAGAAGCTGGTTTCTGTGCAAAACTTTTATGTTGCTTGGTCCACTTTCTCACTTCAAGTGGTACACTGGAATGTCTGGTAGCTTTTGAACTATGATGTACGGGTCAGACCTCTAATGGCTGCTGAAACTGGGCTCCCCAGGGATACTGAGATTTTTGTACGAGTCCATGGTCTTCAGGTAGCAAATCCTGTTCAATTATTTGTCTGTCGTATCTGTACTTATTACTGGAGTTCTCTTTCTCTGCAGCATTCCTTGGTAACTTGTAGGCCGCACTCAGTTGTTCTTTAAGCTGTGTTACATATTGCATGTAGACTTCTTGACTGGCGCCATCTGGAGATACTCCAAAGCACATATCCACAGGCAGACGAGCTTCCCTACCAAGCATTAGGTAGTCGGGTGAGAATCTGGTAGACTCATTCTCGGTGAAGTTGTAAGCATGCACAAGATGACTTATGTGCTGACTCCGATGGGGCTTTTGAGCAGGATCAAGCTCCTGCTGACGGTCACCCTGCAGAAGCTACGGCACGGAGTGGGAGTTCTTAACACCTACAACCTGCAGCAATTTCCTTCATTAAACTATTCTTGACGTCTCTGCCTTGGCCAGACTGTAGTCGTGCAGGCAGGCCATAATAATGGAAATGCTGTTCCCAGAGTACCTTTGCCATGTTGGTCCTTAGTCAGGAAAACTTGTGCCTAGTGAGTGAAGTGTTCCGTGATGATCAATACATTGGTGGTGTTGCTCTGATTCAAGAGATAAAAAGTCCACAAAGACCAGATCCATGAGCCCTTTACTTGTGCTGGGAACTAACTCAGCTGAGTGTTTGGGCGATGTCTTCCTGGCAATGCAGAGAACAGTTTTTGGAGTATTGTTCAACCGTGCAGAGTCTGGTTCTCACAAAGTCTGTAGTTCTGTAGGGTGTGGGCTCTGGGGTGGGGCTGAGGATGAGGGCTTGGGGTGCAGGAGGGGGTTCCGGGCTGGGGCAGGGGGTTGGGGAGCGGGAGGGGGTGCGGGCTCAGGGCTGGGGCAGTGGGCTGGGGTGCGGACTCTGGGAGGGAGTTAGGGTGTGGGAGGGGTTCCATCCTGGGGCAGAGGTTTGGGGTGCGGCGGGGGGGTGGGCTCCCAGTCGGCAGCGTTTACCTTAGGTGGCTCCCGGTCGGTGATGCAGCAAGTAAGGCGAGCTCCCTGCCTGCCTGCCATGGCTCCGCGCTGCTCCTGGAAGTGACTGCCATGTCCGGCCCGTAGGCAGAGGGGCCAGGGGCCTCTGTGTGGTGCCTGTGTCCTCAGGCGCCACCCCCGCAGCTCCCATTGGCCCAGCTGCAGAGCCAGCACGGAGGGGGCGGGGGCAGTGAGTGGAGCGTCCCTGATTGCCCCTCTGCCTAGAGGCCGCAGGGACATGTTGCTACTTCCAGGAGCTGCGCGGAGCCAGGGCAGGCAGGGAGCCTGCCTTAGCCCTGCTGCGCCGCCGATCGGACTTTCAACAGCCTGGTCAGCAGCGCTGAGCAGAGCCGCCCGAGTCCCTTTTCGACCGGCCATTCTGGTTGAAAACCAGATGCTTGGCAACCCTAACCTGGCACCGCAAATGCGGTGCCCTCCTCCGCAAGCACGTCCCCGGCACTACGGACGCAGTGCCCTCCTCCCCTCGCACGTCCCCGGCACCACGGACGCAGTGCCCTCCTCCCCTCGCACGTCCCTGGCACCACGGACGCAGTGCCCTCCTCCCCTCGCACGTCCCCGGCACTACAGAGAGGGTGCGCGCCTTCCCGAGCACGTCCCCAGCACTACACACACACACTGCAACTTTTAACTCCGCCCAACATTCACCAGTAGCCCAGTTGTCGTATGTAATTAGATTTCAGGCTTATTCAAACTCCACACCAAAGGGCTCCCAGCCAAGGCTGTAGGCATCCTTGACATACATTAAGACACAAGATTGTAGGAGATAGACAATAAAAGTTCACCAGAGTGGTAGCATTTCTTCCTCCCACCCTACTACACAGCATTTGTGCACCAGTCTTGTGACACGTAGCCCTTTTAAAAAGCCCCCTGGCGCTTTTCCACTAGACAGAAAGGCCACCTTCCAGTGATGCCCATCCAAGCACATGGGCTATGCAACATGCCCAGACGGTCAGCAGAATCAGGCTATTTCAGGCCTTGGGAGGCAGCGTAGCCCAAAGGAAATGGGCCCTATGACAAATGCTCTGCCAGCAGGTCCTTCCAAAGAGTGGCTAATTCAAGATCCTCTGCTAATCACAGCGGTGGCGGTATGGCCTGGGGAGAAACAGTCTCTTAAGCGAGCAGGTCCCAAGCTGTTTAGGGCCTTAGGCCAAAACTCCACCTAGAACTCAATATGCTACGAGCGCAGACCCAGAACACGGGTTACATATACTGCTACCAGGCGGTATTGCTTCACGAGCAGGCTGCCATACTTTGCATCAGCTTATGTGGTGGATAGGTTTAAGCTGTGGTCCTCCATGCAGAGTGCATTGCAGTGATCCAGCCTCCAGGTGACAGACATTTGGCCCACAACAGCAATGAGCTGAGGACTTCAGTAGCTCAGACATAGGTCAAGGGATTGTTACAGAAGTGGGTGGGTGAGATTCTGTGGCCTGTGCTGTGCAGGATGTCAGACTAGATGATCATAATGGTCCCTTCTGACCTTAAAGTCTATGAGTCTATGAAAACAAGCAAAGTTAAAGAAACAGCTAAACATCCACCTCGCTTTAAAATTAAGTGATCAACATAACCCCACTTAGCGATATTTCCACTGCCAATAACCCGCATGTTCTCATCACACACATACAAAACATTCACTTCACTTCACCAGTGGAGCACGTTAGCTGGAAAAATATGTGCTCGCTTGTAAAGGGATCACTGAAACAGGGGAGTGGCTATTTTGCACACAGACTAGAAGCCGGAGAATAATCTGTATCACATTCATGCATATGGGAACACATAGCACGTCATGTACATCATCATTTATTTTTAAAGAGACATGACATTCCACACTTGAGCCTCATACTGGCCACCACTGGTTGGCAATGAGACAGAAATTTCTAGCTCCTATTCTGCAAACACTTATGCATGTGAGTAACTTTTTGTAATGAATTCAAGCAGTCCATTCACATGCATAAATTACTCATGTGTGTAAGTGTTTGCAGGATCCTGGCCCATCCAGTGCTGGAATTACCTCAAAGTCCAGCAATTCTGCTGGTGATGTTTGTAATGCAGCAATCTGTCCACTAGCAGCTGGATTGAGATCACTAATTTATTACATACAGGTCACTGAACAGTCATGACGTGGTAGCAAATTTCACTACAAGCCCAAGCTGCATTTGAGCAAGCAATCTGCCTTGCTTATTACGTGACCAGGACCTAAGGAAAGTTCCGTGGGACGACATGCTGACCTGAATTTTCAACTGGGGGAGTGTAGAAGGGTATGTCTAAATGGATGTGTCCCTCTATGGATGCATACACACGAGTGAGGATTGCACACCTACTAAAACGGGTTTGTATAGACCACCATGGCTGGCAAGTGTGCATAGGGGTTTGCACACTTAGCTGATGCTGACATTGGCACTTGCCTAGTTCAAGCGGTGGGCCATAAAAAACGGTTCTGAATCACTACTGGCCAAACTCTAGTAAGTTAAAAGATGCCACATGTGCGTGCCCAGGGATCAAAATGCCCCTTAGTCATTTACATACATTGAATGGTGTTTCTAAAGTGATCTATGGCACTGGTTTGTCTGCTGAATCCCTGCAACCGGATGACAAGGAACATCTTCAGCAATTTCAAGTCCTCCTCTGGTGAGCGTGTGTTTTATTCCTTCTGCTGAGTACTCACTCCCCCCGGTCTGTAATCTGACAGCCTGGTAGATGTGGATGAAAGGCTTTTGGGGGGTTCAAATGAATCGAATCCTCTCCCCCAGGCTTACTGAAGACCATGCTTTTGAAATATTTCAACACTCGTAGACAAGATTTGTGCTAAACAGTCAGGGCTCTCACTCGGAGCATTGCTGAAGGCACTGCAGCTGCCCTCAGGCTTGGTTCGATGGCCCAGACCCATTTTACCTGTGCGCTAACCAATACAGGGCCACTTTGGAGACCTTTGTGCATTTCAAAGAGGCTTCTAAGCACAAAAATCCTTCCCTCCATTAAGATGCTGCTGCATCTAAACTGGCTTGTTCTTTGTTCTTCAGCAGTCCCACAAATATCTCTGCGGATAATCATCAACAGATCATCCCTTTGTTTCTGTAGCTCCTTGCCATGGCACTCGGCAAGCTGGACAGCGAGGGACAAACCATTTGTAAGAATTCACTGAAACGTGTAATAAAAAAACCCCACGCTCTTTAAAATTAACAATCAATGGATGTACCCAAGTCACCAAAGGCATGGGGATTAGAAACGGCCTAATTGGCATAGGTCTGTGCAGTCTGCGTGGGTTTAGACATGCTGAAAGCTTCCATGGTAACACAGGAATTGTCCAGACTGGATCAGAGCCAGGGACCCTCTAGTCCTGTCTCCTGTCTCTGACAGTGGCCAATACCAGCTGCTTCCAAGCAAGGAGTAAGAACACTGCAGTAGACAGATGTGGGACAATCCACCTCCCACACAAGTCTCAGCCTGATCTCTAATAGAGATTGGTTTCAACCCTGAAATATGAGGTTTAATGCTGCTGCCAAACTTTTGTTATAAATTAGGATAACTGGCTATTCCTGCTATCCTTAACCATATCCAATCCCCTTTTCAATCTTAAATTTTTGGTATAATGAGTCCAGGGCTACAAATTCTTTAAAGCAGCAACAGCAACAGCAAACTCCCAGTGAGAGACTGACCCTGGAGTGGACAGGATTCTTTGTCCCCTATAAACACTTTGCACAAACAACCCACCGGCTTTCGGTGAAGGAGAGGTGTGAGCGAGAAGCCGATGGGATGATTTATGCGACAGGGTTGCAGCTGGGACTCGAGCAGATTCCTGCCCGTCTCCAGCACAAAGCCCTGGTGGTTATAAAACGGTTTCGAGGATTGGATAATATTTTTGTTTTCAGTGGGAACAAGACGTAATTACACGACAGCGTAGCTTTCTCAAGGCTGTCTGCACTGAGGTCACTCCTGTAATTTATGCCCTGAGTGTGTCGAGATGTGGTAAGGAAAGATGGTGTCTCACACAGCCAAACCCTTTCAGGTGAATGAAAATAAAGCAGGAGGCAGCATTGATGGGCTGTAGCAATGGCCATGTGGCTCCTCAGAAGGTTTATTTTAATTAATTTCCAAGCCCGCTGTAATAACAGATAGCACTTTCTTCAAACCTTCCCTTCTACTCCCACCTGCTGGCTGAGGCTCCTCACTGCTCCTTGGGAGAGATGTGCTGGCTCTTCCTTCATGCTTTAGTTTAAGATCTCCCCTGGGATTCTCAGAATTCCTTCTGCAGGCTGAATGTTGATTTTGGCTGCCCAAAGCCTAGAGGGTTCCAGAGATGGGTCCCCTGGACAGAGTTTGGATCCAAACCTGGATGAGAATTTCCCCCCACATTTGGGAGCGTTCAGATCTGAAGTTCTGGTTCCGCGTGTTGCAGAACCAGCCGACAAGTTTAGATTTGAATCTGAACATATATCTCAGGGCTGGGCATGTTTGGTTCTGGCCCCTCTCTAGGTAACACAAGGACTCACATTAGTGGTGTCTGGTCCTCCCAATAGTCTCGGTGTGAATGAATCAGCTTGTGGAAGTGAGCTTGGCTCCATGCACACCCAAACGCCACACTCTTGAGCTAACTCACTAAAGGGATGTGACAAATACAATCCATTAGCGACTTCTTCAAAAGCCCAGCCCCGGAAGCGTTTGAGCAAAGGAGAATTTGTATCCCGTCTAGCATGGAAACCTGGCGTCTTTCATCTTAAGGTGTGTTGGGGAGTAAAAAATGGTCGGTTCATCAATTTCCTTGATTGAGGCAGATAATTTGCTGTGGAAGGCCAATGCTTTGCACGGATAAAAGGCCAGCTTTAGGGTAAATATCAGAGACCGTCCCAGTTTTTTCATTTATGAAGCTTAGACGACATTTGATGTGATGCTCACTTTTGGTCTGTAGGTGGCAGCTGCACCACAAAAGATCACGCCGACATCTTGGCTAAAACACAAAGCAGCAACCACTGCTTCTGTGTACTCTGTAGGGACGCTTTGCCGGACATAAGGCCCATGGAGTGGGAGAAGATTATTCAATGGTCAAAGCACAGAACTGGGAATCAGGACACTTGGCTTCTACTCCCAGTTCTGTCACTGACTTCCTGTGTGACCTCGGCCAAGTCACTTAACCTCTCTCTCTCTCTCTCTCTGCTTTAAATTTCCCGTCTGTCAAATGGGGATAATAATATTTTCCTGACTCCAGTGGAGTGATTGTCAGGAAGCGGGGCCTGCAGCAGAGCCAACCGAATGAGCACAGCTGGCCTGTGCTCATTCTCTGGGCAACCGAATGAGCACAGCTGGCCTGCAGTAGGCTGCCTAATTGGCTACGCCCCCTGATTCTTCCAACCAACAGCAGAGCAGGTCTTAAGCCCAGCAGCAGTTCAATGGCTGCTCAAAGCCATTTGCCCATGGTTGTGATAGCTTCTGCTTGTTCCCACCCTGTCCCTACCTTGCCTCACTTTATGAACCAGGATCTGACCTTCAGCTCCTGGGCTAATTTGGCATCATGTACCTAGATGACATCCTCATTTTCGCCTAAAGTCAGGACCACCACAATTGTCACTTCTTGGAGAGACTCTGCCACAATTACCTCTAGGGAAAGCTCAAGAAATGCGAGCTCATTAAAGACACCATGGACTTCTTGAGCGATAGCAGCTTGACCAAGGAACTCACCATAGCCCTGTGTAAGTTGGCAGCAATCGCCAACTGCCAAGAGGGGAAGGTCCTCTTTGGCTGTGCAAATAGTAGCACTGGTGGAGGCCTTCTCAATGGGGCCCATTCAGTCCGGCACAGGCAGGGAGCCTTCAGGGGACAGAAGGAAGCAGGCTAGTAGCAGCATAACATATTGCAATGTGCTGAGGACAAATGCTCATGACTTAGGCGGTGGGCAAGTGAACAGACTATGAATCGGCTTTTCCTTCTCTCGCTCTCTCTGCTTGGGTTGGAGGGAGGCGTTTTTTGGCTTGTTGGGGGGGAGCCCTGGCTGCGGGGGCTGTGCCGTGGCCTACAGGGACCATAGGAGGCTGCGAGAGGGAGTGGGGAGGGGCCTTTTCTTTGCCTCCCAGCCAACCACGAGGGGAAAGTACTCAGCCAGCCCTGCAGGAGGAGGCCTCCCCCACCAAAGCAGGAGAACCACTCTTGGGTCTGGTAGTCGCCGGCTGGGGCAGCACCGCCCACGCGCCCTCCCTGAGAGCCCACGGGCACATGCTGCACCCTGCCCTTCCTGCACTGCACCAGCCCCCAGCAATCCCCCCTTATCTGGCAGTGTGGGTGGGCGTCCCAAGGAGTTCTCCGCAAAGCCACAGCAGCTGCTGCAGACCAACCCTCCTGGCACAGCCCGCCCTCAGACCAGCCCCATAGACCCTACCTAGAGGGTGGGGGCTGCTTGTTCAGAAGGTCTGGGAGGAGATGCAACTGATTTGGAGGTGGGGGGGGGGATGTCACCTTTGCCCCATTTACTTTGCCTGCCCCAAGCACTACACCCACATGCTTTTTCACCCACTGTGTTCCACACCTGCAATGCACCCCTCCTTTTTACTGTCTGCTGTAGGTACTCATATGGCCCCTAGTACCTATCAATCTGTAATGCAGTTACCCTCACTGCACCTTTGGTGGGGCGGGGGGGGGGTAGGAAGATGCTGTCATCCCCATTTTACAGACTAAGTGACTTGCCCAAGGTCACACAGGATGGTTGTGGCAGAACAGAGAACTGAGCCTAGGACTCCTGCATCCTCGGCTAGTGCCCAAAGCATAGGGCCAGCTGTCCTCAGCCGTCACTTGTATGTCCACTTATGATATTCTGGTCTAGGTGTTTCATCGGAGGAGCTCCAGGCACCATTCCAAAGTTGGTGAAGGAAATGGCACGTCACTAATCTGTGGGCTGCACTATACAGGTGGAGAAACAGAGGGTCACGCAGCGAATCAGCAGTGATTGTCTTGTCCAAGGCAGGTGCAGGATGAGGAACAAGCAGGAGCTATCATCGCCGTGGGCAAACTCCTTGAGCACCCGCTGAACTGCTGTTGGGCTTAAGAGCTGGTCTGCTGACTCTTCCAACCAATCAGGTGGTATAGCCAATTAGGCACCCTGCACATGGGGCTGGCCCGTGCCCTGCCCCTCCTATGCACAGGGCTGACCTGAGTCGCTGGCCTGAGCTCTGCCTCCCTCATGTGCAGGTTCTTGTCTGAGCCCAGCTTGCTCCCACGTGGCGTCGCTCCTCGCCCGAGCCCTGGCTGGCCCTCCACGCGGCTGGCATTGTTACTTGCCGGAACCCTGTTTCCCCCACAGGGCTGCCATTGCCACTCACCCCCCAAACCTCCGCACGTTCCTCTCTGCCCTGCTAGGGGTGCGCACCTTACTTTTTTGGCAAAAGTGGGCAAACACCAACGGGACAAATGCCCACTTTTGCCAAAAAAGTCAGGACGGCCGGGACAGGGCTTAAGAAATGGACTGTACATTTACTACAATGCCCCAAAAACCCTTTTTGATCATAGGAATGCCCACATAATGAATGTTAATAGCCATAAACTGAATATAATTATACCCGCCCCTGTTTACAGCATTAAGCATATTATACAGACATTTTTACCTTGAAGATACATTTCTTTGCAGTAATTGTAGCCACAAGTTCCCTTAATCAGCAGTTCACAGGGGAGGGAGGAAGGGGGCCATGACCCCGAGCTCGTTTATGTAGCTGGGAAAGGAAGGGAGCTGGGAGATAGCACTTCTTCACTTAAAGGGCATCCCTCAGAAAACCACATTCCTCATGCAGCTGCAATGCTTATCTATCCTTAACAAGCAGAAGGGGAGGGAAAAGGGTGGCAACTTTATCAAGGAGGAACCTGGGAACTACAGGCCAGTCAGCCTCACCTCAGTCCCCGGAAAAATCATGGAGCAGGTCATCAAGAAATCTATCCTGAAGCACTTCACGAGAGGAAACTGATCAGGAACAGTCAGCATGGATTCACCAAGGGAAGGTCATGCCTGACTAATCTAATCGCCTTCTATGATGAGATTACTGGTTCTGTGGATGAAGGGAAAGCAGTGGATGTATTGTTTCTTGACTTCAGCAAAGCTTTCTACACGGTCTCCCACAGTATTCTTGTCAGCAAGTTAAAGAAGTATGGGCTGGATGAATGCACTATAAGGTGGGTAGAAAGTTGGCTAGATTGTCGGGCTCAACGGGTAGTGATCAATGGCTCCATGTCTAGTTGGCAGCCGGTGTCAAGTGGAGTGCCCCAGGGGTCGGTCCTGGGGCCGGTTTTGTTCAATATCTTCATAAATGATCTGGAGGATGGTGTGGATTGCACTCTCAGCAAATTTGCGGATGATACTAAACTAGGAGGAGTGGTAGATACGGTGGCAGGTAGGGATAGGATACAGAGGGACCTAGACAAATTGGAGGATTGGGCCAAAAGAAATCTGATGAGGTTCAATAAGGATAAGTGCAGGGTCCTGCACTTAGGACGGAAGAATCCAATGCACCGCTACAGACGAGGGACCGAATGGCTAGGCAGCAGTTCTGCGGAAAAGGACCTAGGGGTGACAGTGGACGAGAAGCTGGATATGAGTCAACAGTGTGCCCTTGTTGCCAAGAAGGCCAATGGCATTTTGGGATGTATAAGTAGAGGCATTGCCAGCAGATCGAGGGATGTGATCGTTCCCCTCTATTCGACATTGGTGAGGCCTCATCTGGAGTACTGTGTCCAGTTTTGGGCCCCACACTACAAGAAGGATGTGGATAAATTGGAGAGAGTCCAGCGAAGGGCAACAGAAATGATTAGGGGTCTGGAATACATGACTTATGAGGAGAGGCTGAGGGAACTGGGATTGTTTAGTCTGCAGAAGAGAAGAATGAGGGGGGATTTGATAGCTGCTTTCAACTACCTGAGAGGTGGTTCCAAAGAGGATGGTTCTAGACTATTCTCAGTGGTAGAAGATGAGAGGACAAGGAGTAATGGTCTCAAGTTGCAGTGGGGGAGGTTTAGGTTGGATATTAGGAAAAACGTTTTCACTAGGAGGGTGGTGAAACACTGGAATGCATTACCTAGGGAGGTGGTAGAATCTCCTTCCTTAGAAGTTTTTAAGGTCAGGCTTGACAAAGCTCTGGCTGGGATGATTTAATTGGGGATTGGTCCTGCTTTGAGCAGGGGGTTGGACTAGATGACCTCCTGAGGTCCCTTCCAACCCTGGTATTCTATGATTAAGTGAAGAGACAGGGCCTGCTCATTCCTTTACTTCCTATAGCAGTTACCCAGGTTTTTACTTAACCCTTACCAGGGGTGAAAGTAAATTAAAGGACTTACCGGTACGCCGGAGTCCTGAGCAGGGGTATGGCCTCAACTGGAAGAGGCGGGACATTTAAAGACCTGGGCCCTTTAAATCAAGATTTAAAGGCCCCGGGGCTCCGGCTGCAGTAGCGGCGTCTGGGAGCCCCGGGCCCTTTAAATCAGCATTGGAGCCCTGCCGCCGCTACCCCAGGGCTCCAGCAGTGGGGCTCAGACGGCGATTTAAAGGGGCCGGGGCTCCCTGCAGCAGCTGGAGCCCCGGGCCCTTTAAATCACCGCTGGAGCCCTGCTGCCACTACCGCAAGGCTACGGCAGCAGGGCTCGGGGAGCGATTTAAAGGGCCTGGGGCTCCGGCTGCTGCAGGGAACCCCAGGCCCTTTAAATTGCCGGCCTGGGGAAGCCAGTCCAGTCCGGCATGGCATACCGCCTCTTGCCGGTATGCCGTACTGGACTGTACCGGCTTACTTTCACCTCTGACCCTTACATACCCCAAGAGTATGATCACCCTACTCAAAAAGCAGCAAAGATACTGCTCTGTAATTTGATTGACTCTCTGTTTGCTCATTAGCCTGCAGGTGATAGACAGACGAGCAGAGGGACTCAATGCCAAGGAGTCTGAGAATTCCCTCCAGAATCAGGAGGTGAACTGGGAACCCCCATCCAGTACAATGCCCATTGGTACCCCATGGGAGCAGAGGGCATTTTCCAGGAAGAACTGAGCAGTGTCATGTGTGGTAGGAATAGAACAGCATGGAATGAAGTGCACCATCTTAGTTAGGCGGGTGACAACAACCAGGATTCGCGAGTGTCCCTGGGAGCATACAGTTCTACAATGAAGTCCACTGATATAGTATACCAAGGCTGTAAAGGCATTGTCAGAGGCTAGACAAGACCTAGGGGCTTTGATCATGGGATCTTGATAATCACAGGACCTTATATAATCCATGATGTAAGATCAAAGGCCTGATCACCAGAAGCTTCTCGAGAAGAGATTCCACGTCTTGAATTGTCCAAAATGACCCACAAGTGTCAAATTGTGGATAGTTTCAATACCTGGAGCCTAGGTTGTCTCTCTGGAACATAAAGACAACCCTCGGAATAGAGGAGGCCATATCGTAGTCAGAACTCAGAGTCAGGTTGGATACCTATATCATTCAGGGTCTGGCAGATCTGGGTTATGAACAGGTCATCAGGGAGCAGATGGAGAACGTCAGACTGCTGACGATCATCCTGTTGACAAAGTTGGATGCCTTGAGCATGGTGGCAGAGGGCTCTTTGACAGGTTTAATGTATTTGTCTTTGTGGGAAAGGACAGCCACCTTCCTGTTTCTCATCCCTTACAACAAAATTGAAACGAACGAAGAAGAGGAACCAGTGGATCTGACACTGGTTAAGGCATATAACAGTCTGTTAAGTATTCCAGGTTCTTATAATCTGCCAGGAATCAGGCTCTGTCAAGGAGGAGCCCAAACCTTAATAGCCAGTAGCTCCTTGTCATACTTTTTCTCCACTGAGGTTAACTTCCAAGAGTAGGAAGCATGTGGGTAGAGTTGGTTGCAGGTGGCCCCTCGTGTTGAGCTAATAATGCACCTATGGCAAAGTTCAAGGCATTGGCCTTGATTGTAAATGGTTGGGTGGTCTGGGTGAATCAGGATAGGTGCTGGGGTGAATGCCCTCTTCAGTCAGTCAAAGGCTGACTGAGACTCTGTGGACCAGGCGAACTGGACCCCCTTTTTCAGGCCTATGGGTGCAGCCAGGCTGGAGAATGCTGTGACAAATCACCTGTAGAAAAATTGGTGAACCCTGGGAATTGTTGCACCTTGCAGACATCCTTGGGTGCGGCCCAGTTGGTTTTAAAATCAGTCCCTTCCTTGGGTCCTGGGATTTGCTGTTCCCTGGGCTACACTTGGGCACAACATTGACACATACAGCCGAGTAAAGACCACGGTTTTCTTCTCTTCTGTAGGGACTAGGGATATTGCCAACTGTTACGAGGAGAACCAGACCTGAGGGCCTGCCTGAGCTCAGGTCTTGTCAGAGTAAACAAAAACCCAGACTCTTCTGTGCACCGTTAGCCTACAGAAGCTGTTTATTTGCTGTGGCTTTATTTTTAATCAGATGCTGCTTTTGCCAAGAGAAAGCGACTTCATTCTAGTAGAACTTCAAGCAATAGCCATTATCCATGTAACATTGGGGTGGCTGTGGCTGTTTTTTGCTATTTTTTATTGTATTTACTCTGTAACCCATCCTTCCTGCCAGGTATCAATCTGGGCTTGGTGTAGTGGTGGTACTCTGCGAAAGCTCTGCCCCAAAATCAGAGTAGCTGAATGTTTCTTCTAAAATAATCCATTAGTAGAAGTTATTGTCATTAGACTTCAGGGTTAACATCTCATTGAGACAAATGGGGACAGCCCATATCTTGTTTAGGGCTCTTGTTTCTATGTTCACAGTCAACAGGACACTTCTTGACTGGTTCGTAACTGGATGATTTTTGCAACCAGGGGGCTAGGGATTTTAGTTTTTAAATGAAAGCTGAGAGAGTGAAGGAGCCACTAGAGACGTGGTGGCACAGCAGTCTTTCAAGTGCATGGCACAAACTTAACTGCTCTCTGGCCAGGACATGCACCCTCTGCCTAAAGGTCACACACATAATTTCTCTAGCTCTCCCAGCCCCTGCCCATTAGTCACCTCCTCCAGACCTGACCACTGATTGCCCATCTGTCAGCATGTTGGGCTGGTGCTGGCCCAGTGAGCAGTACTAAGGAACTCTCTCTCTCAAACTAATTTGAACCAAGATGGTGAATGAGAGTGAGCCCATGAATGTGCTCAGCTTCTGTTAGCATTCAGCTCCAGCTCTAACCTGTGAGTCTTGGGCCCATCGTTAACTGATCTGCTTTACTTAATGCCTTCAGTAATTCCAGCAGGGATTTATTACCCTCCCTATGTTTGTGAGGAGTAAAATCAAAACAAAAACCAAACCAAAAACGTCACTCAGGGTGTAGAGAAAATTGTTAGTCCTTTTCCAGCAATCATATATTGTAGCTGTGATGAGATTTTCCTCATTTAATAAAAAGATTGTATGAATGAAACCACATTCCTTAGTTTTGCCTCCTCTTTGGGAACAGGCTGAAGACAGCAACAGCAGCTTGGTAACAAACCCAGTGACCTTGGGATAAGAACGCTGGCTGGCTGAGAGTGAACCTCTTTGCCTCTTTAAGTACCACACCAACAGATGCTGAGCCCTCAACCTTAGTGAGAGAGCTGTACTTGAATTTTCCTTTCAGCCTTCTGGGGGATGCGGATCTGGGTCACTTTTATACCTGGCATGCTGCATTTTAAATATTGTTCTTATATATGTCTAGAAGCCTTCACTGAAATTGGAGTCCCATTGTGCTACACATCATATAAGTATCTACGAGATGACCCCGGAAGTGAAGAGCTTACAGTCTAAACAGACAAGACAAAGTGTGGGAGGGAGTGGAGGAACAGAGAAGTGAAGTGACTTGCTTACAGTCACACAGGTCAGTGAAAGCGCTAGGAAGAGAATTGCCTTCTCTTGACTCCCAGTCCAGGGGCGTGTCCATTACGCCACACTGTCATGCTACCAGGCTTCTACCTTAACTCTCAATGTGCACAAATTTGTATGCTGGAAATTGCATTTGCCATGTTGGATGTTGATAGCCCTTGGATGGTTGCAACCAGGATTGGACACTCATAGTGCAGAGCATGGAGTAAAGGGCAGAGGGGGAGTCCTGCTCTCACTGAAGTCAACTGTGCAACTTTCATTGACTTCAGTGGAAGTAAAGCACCTGAGTGCTTTTGAGCATCCCTTCCTTAGGGAGCTACTCCTCTGAAATCAGTGAGCTGAGAGAATGCACATCACCGGAAGTCTGGGACTGCAAGCTTTCTCATGGTATAAGGGCTTTCTGTCTACTCCTTGCAGGTCATGGTCTCTAACCCTAATCCTAAAACCCCACCATTCTGATCATTGTTTTTAATCAGTTTGATTCTGAGATGAGCTTTATCAGTCACTAACAATGTTGGAAACTGGAATCTTACCTTGGCAAGACTCTGATAGAAAAACTCTATTTTTATTTTTAATAATGAAAGTTTAGATTCTGAAGAAAACAGAAGTCCTAGAAAGTTGGGGTTTCTGTACAGAGACTTATAGCAGGCTGTGAAGCTTTGTATCTGCAGGGCACAGTTTGAATCCAGCCTGAATTTGTAGTGTCTGAACGTCATTACCAACTGACAGCTGTCTGGGTGCCTCTGTGACATGTTAGTGGTCTCAGTCCAGTCCAGAATGTAGGTACAACTACTGGCCAGACACTGAGTGGGTGGGGAGACTGAATGACCTTCTGATTTCTAGAGCTGGTCTCCCCCCAGCAACATGGAGATGCCGAAGCTGCACTTCTTTTTTGGGTAAATAGAAATACTTTATTCTCTAGTACTCTCAAGCTAGTACCTTTCAGCTTCACTTTAGAGTAACTGCTTTCTTCTGTCCCTATCCTGGCCGGCTTTGTAACAGGCAGCAAGCTCCCTGGACATACCTTCGGCTTCTTTCAAAATAGACAGGTCTTGGCTATTCCCCTACTCTTTCCATATCAGCTCTGCTTGTGCGTTCTTTAATCTGACTGTATTTGCTACACCTCATCCCAGCAAACTCCTTAATGACGATGGAGCCAGTTTCCTGTTTAAGATATTAAATGAGGTTTACTTACATCTAACAGTCACCTCATCGGCAGACTGTTGCTAAGTTCTGTTACACTAGAGTTAGTTCATTATTTCTAGCAAATCCTGGGTAGACGCGCACACATCTGGCTGGAAGAGAAGACCATTAGGCTTGCGAACTTTTACAGAATCTTGTGAATGTTGGAAGGAAGGATTTAAGGAGAGGCTGCATCTACACTGACTTGCATTAAATGTTCATGGCTTGTCTCTTTCTCTTCCAGATCACAATCTTCCATTCTGCCACTTGGCGGCACAGAATGCCTACAGGCTCGGACAGATGACTTGAGAGGTTATAGCAGACGCACACCTGATTGAGCAGCGCTATGGGCTAGGAGAGGATATTGGCCTGTTTTCAAACAAAACCTATGCTAAGCTGAGTGAATTGGACCCAAAATACAAGAAACTGTCTAGTCCGGTGATACTCTAACCCAGCATCTCCTCCCTCTGCAACCTGTGCTGCATTGTGCAGTGGTTCGAGTCTGTCCTACATGGCTGCTCACCTTTGTACATTATAAATGAAAAAGGCAATTTTAACCTCAACCGTTCATTTGCATGGCCAGAACTTAAGATTTGGAAAAAGATGCATTAGCTTTTCCAGTCTGTGCCTCACTACAGAACATGACTGACACTTTGGATAGTATGAGCTTCAGTATCTGCAGGTAAAGAGATTCTTTACTTCCTTTTGGCCAGGGACCTATAGTGTTATTGACCCTTACTGTTAGGAAATCTAGCCTCTAGCTGATCACATTACGTCTAACTATTCCTCCCAAAAAAAGTAATGGCCCATCACACTGGCTGCTATGAAGTGGATCAGTACTTTGGGGTTAATGAAAGTGGCTGCCCATGAAGTGGTGCTCACAACAGCCCTCAGCCATCTCTTTAATCCGGCTATACATGTCTAGTTTTTAGGCTGTTCCTCATCATTTGATTCCTTCTGCATTGTTGCTGCTCTCTGCAGTACCTCACAGGTGGCTTTGTCTACCTTACGTGGAGTTAGTCAAAGCAGACTCTCCAGACCATCTTACACTGCCACTGAAAGGGGCTGTAGCTCAGCTACAACCAGAACCAGGGAAGGTTAAAGAGGCAGCAGGTCAAAGACTTTTTTAAAGGGAAGAGTCAGGAAGCTTCCAAGCTTCCTGTGATCTTGTGTTTTGATGACAGACTGATCTTTTCTGTACGAGCAGTTGCCTGGCTTATGTAGGCAGCACCTGTGATTACTTTAAAAGGTATCTTTGGTACATGGCACGCTTATTTGATCAAGCTATCCAGATAGGCTGTCTCCAGTGTGTGCACTGAAGTACAGAAAAGCCCAGTTATTTTTTTTCTGAATGGGCAAACAGGTTCTCTTGACCAAATAACTAACTTTGGATTAAACCCTAACTTTATACTGTATCTAAATAAATGGGCATATGAGTACAAAATGGCCCATCACACACGATAGGAAGCAAAATTCACCTCTGTTGACTTATGAACTAGTCATTTGGCTTATGTGCCGTACCATGGAGTGGATCTGTTCTGTATTTATTGACAATGCTTTGATTGCGTAAACAAAGTTAAAATACTAATAGTTGTAGCCTTGAACAATAGTCATTCCACTCAACAGTGGTGACAGCTGACCAGCCTAACTCCAAAGCCCCTCTATCGCTGTTAATTACTGGAGTTACTGAAAGATAGCATGATTGTGAGGGTAGAGCAGGGAGGCGGTGATCTGTTTTCTCTTCCCCTAGACTCACCACCTAGTTCTTATCTGTAAAATGGGTGTACTATTTATGCACAGTGAGGTGCTATGTAGATGTAAAGTAGTGTTCTGATACAGTTGCTTAGAGCTGCTAGATTAAATCCAGCCTTGATGTATGATGCTCCAACCCCTTGAGAGTCCTCTTAAGGTGGGTTACATTCTTTCGGGTAAAAGTTATATCAGCTTCTGTTAGAAGCTGGATTGTTTTTAACGGCTGATGCATTAGTTGGACTACACATGCAGTGTATCTTTCCACCTGTTATTGATCACTGTAGCTCTGGAAGTGGGGAGACCACGGAGCTCTAGGTTAGAACCAATATTTTTAAAAATTAAAAAAAAACTTAGAAGCTAGAGCAGCCTGCTGTTGTAGAATCAGAATTCACTTGGTGCTAGCCCTACGTGACTACTGGTTATTGAGATACATGAGGTTGTTCTCTCACTTTGAAACTACTGTATGGTATTTCCTTGAGGATATCGGCACAATTTCCCATTCAGGAATACAGTAAGGAAACTGAGCCAGCCTAATTCATTAGGCACCAACCTGTCTACTTACCATAAACATATTTATTTGCAATCTACATCAGACAAAAAGAAAGGGTAGTGAAAGATCAGTAAATGTACAGCTCTTAATAAAGAGCTTGGCATTCCTTCGTTCAATAGCACAGTGCATTAGTGAGTGAACTGCTGCTGAATTGACTGCTCCGGGCCAGTGGATTAATGCAGAGTCATCCAGTGCTACTAGAGGATATCCCAGTTCCACTGACTTCAAAACCAGTTAACTACAACCATTCCAGTGCTGGAGGTCAGCAGTGGAATTCTTCACTCCTCCACAATGCAAGTACATTGAAAATTGAGGTCACTTCATCTATAATTAAGGTTTGGCACATATGCAGAGCTGCTATTCATACACTGCACAAGGCTTAAGGGAACAGCAGTCCATTTCAATAGATTAAAGAAGACTACCATCCATTTATATATTTCGGGGGTGGGGGTGGGGACCAAGCTTCAGTCCGTATCCACTCAGAACTCGGTGACTTTGTTCCAAGGGGAGTTCTACATGTGCAAGAACTGTAAGACAAAGGTCCAATAGTGGTTACATTTATTTGATTGAAGTAGAAAAAATTATTAAAATATACAGATGGAAAGACTGAGTGTTCCCACCTGTGGATATGAACAATACAGCCCACAGCAAGGGTTTCTCTCGTCCCTTTGTGCTTGCACTTGCTCATTTTAGTCGATGCACCTTCTTGCCAAAAAAGTAATTCTTAGAGAAAGGAGAAAGCTTTACTAAAACCAAAAAAGTAGGTGTCCCAGCCTTTACGAAGTACCTGCAATGAACACAAAAAAGTCATTCATCCTCCTCCTTTCTACCCCAGCGTTATACAGAGTGAAAGCTTGGGCCCCTCTTCAACAATTAAAAACATTGGCTTCATGAGGGCTGATGACAAGAATTTTTTGGCTGAATTCGCAGCGCCTGTTATATTGAGGTCTGTGCATGTCTGGTGAGAGTGGTTCCTGAATCAATTCCTCTCCCCACAACTTTTCTAATTAAAATTAAGATAGTATTGTCACCCTGAACGTCACATTCATCCTGCCAGTGTAACGCTGCAAGAGGCCAGGTTAGTGGCAAGGATTATGCATGCTGCTGAGTTTTATGGAATGATAGTTAAGATGCAGTCCTGAACAGCAAGAGTCCGGGTCCGAGTTTTTATTGGTGACTTTGCAGCAAGATCTCTAGCAGGAAAAGAAGTGGTATGCTGATTCAGCACAGTATTCCTTCCCCCCACACACAGAGGATAGATTCTTTTTTAGTCTAAAGGCACATGCTATTTTTTGTTGTTTTACACTGCAGGTTAGGGTCAGCCTGTCAGCTTCTGAGGAGCTGAAGTCAGTTTCTTTATCAGCATGGGTTTTTCTGGATCTCACATACACACTGTGGGCTGCTCATGTAGCTACAACCATTTTTAAACAGTACCAGACACTTGATCCCTTCAATACACTCAGTCCACTGAATTCCATGCACTTGATTATTTCACTGTTAGGAAACAGCATTAATAACGGTGTGTGTGTGAGCAAAAACAGCAGACCAATGACAGTGCAATTTTCATATAACCCACTGAGGTGTTAAGTAAAGTGGCACAGAGGCAGCTTTCTGCTGTTTCTGCTCTTCCAAACACACACACATTATGGATGCAGACCCGAAAACTAGCGCGCTCTCCCTCTCTTGTGGTTTATTCCTCCCCTGCTTATGGATACGAAAGGTCTGACCGGGAAGTGTGATTTGTTTTGTAAAAAGCCATTTAACCCTGTAGAGGAGGCACCTGAATTTTACACGGAGAGCATGACTCTACTTCTCCTCACGCGACAGATGAACGAACAAAACGCAGTTCCAGGCCACTTGCTCACCTTTGGTGCTGCAGCACTTGTAGCAGTGTGTTTTCTGTGTTCAGCTGGTACATTTCTTCTCTTGCTTCATCTTCAAAATACAGCTGGATAAAATTTGGCATAAGGTTAAATATTTAAGATACACCTGTGGGCAAGCCAGAGGTACCAGGGACACTAGCTAAAAGCCTGCTGAAAGACTTGTCATGATCACACACATGGTCAAACAACAGAGCATCTGCATGTGTGTTCTCTAGTCTCTAAAATGGATGTACCACTAAGGGCTCTTAGAGCTTCATATACCTAAAAGGGACTAGCAGGGGGTGGGGGAAAAAATCCAGAGACGTAGAAACCTTTCAACAGCTTGTTTTGTATAGATTGCAGGCTTTTTATTTATTTACTATCTACACGGCTTTCCCTATGTAAACCAATATATACTTGATCTGTTATGACTGTTCTTGCATAGGACTGTCTCCAGCCAAAGAACAGTTGCATTAAGAAGGTGAAGCGCTCTGCCTGTCAATGAAGTGATGGGGTTATGGGAATCAAAGCCTTCGGACCACTTTTTAAAATTTCATCCCTGGTGTCACTTCATTATAGTTACCCAAGGGATAAATTTAGCCTGTTTTGTTTAAGAATCATTATTACAGCAGCTAGGTCTAAAACAAAACTTATCCTGACGTATTTAAGCCCCTTAGATTGCATATGCCTGTTGGCACTTATCAACAAAATGTCCATCCTGATAAAGTAGTGCCTGAGGAATTATCATGCTTTCAGAAAGGACTGCTCAGTGCACCAAGGGCCATCAATGCTGCCTGGGGATATGAAACTGTACTGGGAAATAACTATCCCACATACTTGTATGCGAGTAATTCATGTTGGAATATACTGAAAACTACTGTAAATGTAGTCAGAGCCTAATTAAATTCTAAAGGGTTAATCTCATCAAGTCTCCATAGGTAATAGCATTCAACTCAGAGCTAGGCTACTTAATTCTAACAATTACCCCTATGCTTTTCTATCATGTGTTAGTGTACACATTATTTTGAACACTTTTCACTAAATTATGGATTAAAAAGTTATTAGGTTAACAACCTATTAGTCTACTTCTTATTACATACATGGGAATCCAGGCAATAAAATAGCTCATAATAAAAAATATAAATCCAGAGAGAGAGAAATTTCACATTCTTACTTTAAACAGTGTTGTGTATTTCTAACAGCTGCAATAAATTTAGGAAGCCTCCTAGCCTTGAAATGTACAAATGAATTTGCGGCCCGCACCTTTATTTCACAGGAAGGCATGCTAAACAAAAATGTTACATATATATTTTATATACTTAGTAAGCTGCTTATGAGAAACTAATTAAAAAAAACCAATGTACATCTAAAATATAAAACAGAAGAAGGGTTAAATTTCCTACCTCTAGGTTGCTGGGATGATATTTTCTTTCCGAATCCCAAGGAGGTAACTCAGCAAACATCACCAGTATATGATCAATAAATCTAAAAGTCAAGGTGGATCTTGTTATGACCCTAGTCACAGCATTATACAGCATTCAGTAGCTACTATAAATCCATGCTAATAAATCTACTAGTTCAACTTCTCTAATTCATACATTTAAATATGAATGATGGCAAAGATTACAGTAATAAGCAGGTTAAACAATAGCTTCAAGACTAATTATCTGATTATGTTCAGGCCAATGTAAGTTTCAGAAACATACTCTTCACATTCTGAAGTTTATACTTTGCTTTAAACACATACTTTCATTAACAATCTTCACAGTGCAACAAAAAATGTTACCATGAATGCTACCAAGGTTACCATTAATCTTTGATTTCAACGTTTTCAGGCATACTGCCAAGATAAATGTATATTTATTTAAAATTGATTTCCCCTCTCTGTGTTACTAACAGTGCCTTAGATCAGAATGAAAAACTTTCAAAATCTAATTTACATGGCACTGTTTATGCCGCCTGTTTACTTTTTGCACTTCAGTCATTTTACATAGTGAAACTGCTCTGGTTTGTCAGATTCACTTTCACTTTCTTGGATCTTGAACACAGTACAATGCTCTTGCTTTCCAACATTAGGACAACATTAAAACCCCTTACCTAACTATGTGCAATGAGATTTAAAACAAAAAATAATCTATTAATATTACGTTTGGTTAATACACATGCCACCATAAAGTGTTATGAATTTCAAGTTCATTAACTTGTAACCCTGCAGGGCTAGAAACTAAAGCTCATATCAAGAGAAGGGGAGTTTCCCCCTTTCTAATGTGATGCAGCACTCACTTCAAGCCTTGAGTTAAGAGGACAATATCAGGTCTCTAAGAGCTATTTTAGGTCATTTTTGGAGGTGTTTTATATTTATCAGCTTTAACTTCTCTCTTCCTTTGAGACCTGCACTACTGGCACCTAAGGCATCTGGTGGCTTCAAAACACTGTCCTGATTAATTCCTAAATAGAGTTCTTGTAACATATATGGTATAGAGATTTCAGTAAGACATGCTTGAGATAACCTGTCACCTTTACATCACTATCATTAGATTTCCACACTCCTCCCCACTATGAACTCATAAAATCTAGATTTTGGCCCTGAACTACTTTGGAAGTCTGGTGTTATTTTGGCAAAGAAACAGAATATCTGATATAATCATTATTTCACATGAAGGAGAAATCACCTGCAGTCCTCGTGAAAAGCTGAGATGAAATCCGTTTGCCCATATTCGGGATACAGGAAGAGCACAGGCCAGTTTAGATTGCCATTATCATCTAAGTAGACCTTTGTGCCCGTAGCACTGTCAGAATTCAGTCCATTTAAAGACATCTCAGCCAGACCATCTGATATTTCATCTTCCTCCTTACAGGCCTCTAGAAACAGCTTGATATTCCTTTCCTACATTGAAAGAATCAATTTGAGAACATGACCTAAAAATCAAAGTTTAGTCACTTGAATATCTACATATGAAGAGCAACTTTTCAAAAAGACAACTTTTAAAAGAGAATCCTAAACACATCTTAGGCACATACCTTTATAGCAGTGAGTAAGACTTCCTTTTGAGACTGTTCCTTCTTCTCCTTCAGTTTTGCTTTCCTTACATCCCGCTGTTCAGCTCGCTGCACGTAATACAAGTTTGCATCACAATCATGTGAAATAAGTCAACATCCCTCATTATTCTATTTTACTGAAAAGCTGTGAAACCAATTTGGGTCACCAGAAAAATTATGATTCCTCTCACTGCATCTCTTTACAGTGACATGGCTAGGAATCCCCATTCAATTCCACTTCATGGAACTGCTAGGTGATTTTTTTTTTTTTAGTATTTTACTCACACTTTGTCCTTATATAGCACCTTTCTTCCACGCTCAAAAACTCTCTACAACCATTAATTAAACCTCCAACATCCCTTGTGAGGGAGGCAAATATTGTTATCCCCATTTAACAGAAGGTTAAAGAAGGTAAAATTATGCTAATTTCATGCCCAAGATCACCCAATGGTCAGCGAGAGACAGAAATGAACCCTGGACTCTGGGGACCTAAGTCCCTTGCTCTAACCGGCGGACTATACCTTTCAGGTATGGGAGGAAGCATTCTCATTCTGTGACAATAGTAGGGAATACCTGGCTAATTTCTGTCAATCATGATTTAAGAGGTCTCTTTCTTTATCTACAGAACCAAAGCCATAATAAGCAGTTCGGTCTCCAATACGGCACCCTGTCCCTTGTTAGTTACAGTGATGCTGGCTCCACTAGCTGTAAAATTGGATGCACTGAATTTGGACAAGACCTATACTCAAAAGTTAAAGATTGGAAGAGACCCATTAGGCTATCCAATCCATCTTCCATGATCTTTACATCCTGCTGGACAGAAACTGTATCACCCTCTGGAAAAAAAATGACAATTAGCATTTATAAAGTGCCTTCCATCTGAGGATCCCAAAGTACTTCCCAAACATGAGGTGAGGTAATGGACTAATGGTCTGATCTGGCATGGTAAATCCTATATTGCCATGGGCAGGTTTTGTTTTGGTTTTTACCTTTAATCTGTCAGCTTTGGCTCTCGTTTCCACAAGTTTCTTTTCCTTCGAATCTATCCTCAGACCCTCCTCACACCATGCCATTGCTTCAGGGAAATTCTTTAATTCCAAATGACACAAAGCTCCTGAAAGAAATTTTAAAAATTCAGACACAGGACCAGTGTATAAATCTATTTATACTAGGGATGGGCAAACTTTTTGGCCTGAGGGCCACATCTAGGTATGGAAATTGTATGGCGGGCCATGAATGCTCACAAAATTAACAAATTCAGAGATATTAAAATAAACTTTATTTAATAAAGATACATTTTAGTGGAAATAAACATAAAACCTGATTTACTATTATAAATATACCATCATAACTTATTACAATAATTAAACTGAACTTACCCCCTTTCCACGCCCTTTCTCTCTAGCCTGGATTTGTTGGGCATCAACTTCCAGTCATTGGAACTCATTGAGATTCACCAGCTCCCTGCTCTCAGAAATCTCCCACGTAGGTTCTGACAGCCCACAACTTTGAAAACTGCTATTGAGCACTCCCTGGCCAGCTACTCTTTGTTTTATCCTCAACAATGGAAAATTAACACTACTAAAACATCAGAGTCACCTAAGCCAACAAGCAGCAGGCACGTGGGCTTGCACGTTCCAGGCTCTGATGGCATGTGAGGTGTGTTTGGGTTGTACAGCCAGAGTAACATGCGTGTCCTCACGCTGGTCACACAGGTCCTGAACACGTGGGAGTGCCAGGCAGATGGAGCGGGGCAAGGCAGGAGCAGGGCAATGGAGCTTGAGGGCTGGATTAAAAGGTCTGACAGGCTGGACGCGGCCTGTAGTTTGCCCACCCCTGATTTATACAAAGAGTAGTCTATATTCCCCTCAATATAAACAAGCACAACTACGAAGTTTAATGACTTAAATGAGGCTATTTAAAGTAGCAAACACCATGCCTGCTAGCTTGCTTTCACAGGATCAGGCTCAATGATAGGATTTCAGCAGGGGTAGCAAGGAGATAAGTGAAACAGAAGTCTCTGAAAATTGGCCAAATTCTTTGACGGTGTAACTGCTCTGAAATCAATGGAGTTATATGTCTTTACAACAACTTTAAATTTAAACTGCAGCAATAACCTTTTGGAGCTTTACTATTTTAAAGATTTAAGACTTGTCTCTTCTAGGAAGAGATCCTGAAGACTGAAGTAACAGAAATGGGATGAAATTCAATAGTACAGCATACAAGGTCATTCATTTAGGGTCTAAGAAGAAGAATTCCTGCTAGGGGGCTCATCAGTTGGAAGCAACAGACGAGGAGAGAGACTGATCAAAGATGACTAGGAGTCATCAATGTGATGCACTGTGAAAAATGCAATCCCAGGATGTACCAGGAGAGGCACTTCCAGTACAGATAGAGAAATATTAAATGCTATCGTATAAGGCACGGGTAAGACCTCATTTGGAATACTGTGTACAGTTCTGGTCACCCATGTTCAAAGAAAGATTAATTTAAACTAGAACAGGTGCAGAGAAGAGCTTCTAGGATGATCTGGGGAAGAGAGGGCCTATCTTATGAGAGGAGACTGGAAGAGATTCAACCTAGCAAAAAGGCGGCTGAGAAGGTATACGATTCCCCTCTATAAATACATTGGAGGGTGAAGAGCTACTGAAGCTAAAGGACAATGTTGACACAAGAACAAATGGGTATAAAGTGGCCTTGAACAAATTAAGGCTGGAAATTACAAGAAGGTGTCTCACCATCAGAGGAATGAGGTTCTGGAACAGCCTCCCTATAGGAGCTGTGGGGGCAAACAACTTAAAATGAATTGAGAGACAACAGGACAAATTTATGAGTGGGATAGTATGACAGGGTTGCTTGTGATGGTGGGAGGCAGAGTTCAGCAGCCCTGGGGATCCTTTCTGGTTTACGTGTTATCATAGAATCATAGAATATCAGGGTTGGAAGGGACCTCAGGAGGTCATCTAGTCCAACCCCCTGCTCAAAGCAGGACCAATCCCCAAGTAAATCATCCCAGCCAGGGCTTTATCAAGCCTGACCTTAAAAATATCTAAGGAAGGAGATTCCACCACCTCCCTAGGTAACGCATTCCAGTGTTTCACCACCCTCCTAGTGAAAATTTTTTTCCTAATATCCAACCTAAACCTCCCCCACTGCAACTTGAGACCATTACTCCTCGTTCTGTCATCCTCTACCACTGAGAATAGTCTAGATCCATCCTCTTTGGAACCCCCTTTCAGGTAGTTGAAAGCAGCTATCAAATCCCCCCTCATTCTTCTCTTCCACAGACTAAACAATCCCAATTCCCTTAGCCTCTCCTCATAAGTCATGTGTTCCAGTCCCCTAATCATTTTTGTTGCCCTCCGCTAGACTCTTTCCAATTTTTCCACATCCTTCTTGTAGTGTGGGGCCCAAAACTGGACACAGTACTCCAGATGAGGCCTCACCAATGTCGAAGAGAGGGGAACGATCACGTCCCTCGATCTGCTGGCAGTGCCCCTACATATACATCCCAAAATGCCATTGGCCTTCTTGGCAACAAGTGCACACTGTTGACTCATATCCAGCTTCTCGTCCACTGTAACCACTAGCTCCTTTTCTGCAGAACTGCTGCCTAGCCATTCGGTCCCTAGTCTGTAGCGATGCATGGGATTCTTCCGTCCTAAGTGCAGGACTCTGCACTTGTCCTTGTTGAACCTCATCAGATTTCTTTTGGCCCAATCCTCTAATTTGTCTAGGTCCCTCTGTATCCTATCCCTACCCTCCAGCGTATCTACCTCTCCTCCCAGTTTAGTGTCATCTGCAAACTTGCTGAGGGTGAAATCCACACCGTCCTCCAGATCATTTATGAAGATATTGAACAAAACCGGCCCTAGGACCAACCCTTGGGGCACTCCTCTTGATCCTTGGGGCACTCCACCTGATCCTGAAAGTTCACACTTCAGGGGTCAGGAAGGGATTCTCTCCCTCCCCTGCCCGGAATGTATTCTAAGCAGGATGAAGCACCTCAGTAACGGATTTTCTTTCAGACGGAGAATACAGTGACAAGCACAAGCGCATTACAAACTGTCAGCCATTCAAGGTAGATAAACAAAACTATATTATAAAATGGAAACAAGTTAACTAACTTATAAAAAGTACATTTAGTCAAACATAATAAAAAAAAATCTGACAGTCTACCCATAAGAACAGTATGTAACAAATTATCCTTACATAGCATTTTGAAACCTTGCCTTTTGATTAGTTAACTGAAACATCCATGATCATTGTGTTATTATACACAGAGTAAAATACTCCTTGAAAAAAAATATAGTTTTGCAAAATAAAGTGACCCCCCCACCCTTTAGTTAATCTGGATTTAGCATTTCTAAATTACCTTTGTACTTCAAAATACTGCCATACTATCCATTTGTTTTTAAAATCTTACCTCTTATTATTGCTTTGAGATGGTTGGGTTTTAGCTTTCTTGCTGCAATCACATCACTGAGAGCAGAACGGTAGTTACCTATACAAAGCAAAACCTGGGTCAGAACATTTCACATGAACAACTTCTAAAATACAAGTAGACTTGAAGGCAACAGAAATCATTAGCCTGAGCCACAGCACAATGCATCTTCTATGACCACAAGACAGGTACAGATAGAGGTTGCACATTAATGACAATAGAAATAAATGATTGGGGTAAATCTGGTGCCCAGGAAAGTGAAGGGTGGATAACAGGAACTAGGACAGTCAATGTACAGACTACTACATTTAACATACAACAGACTGTTCTCAATATTTATAACTTCCTTGTTTTGTTGCATGGATCTCAGTGGGAGCTATGAGAATACACAGGCCTACCCAAAATCTGATGCACATGTATAGTTCTCTGTCTCCTTATCTCTTCTCTATAGAACCAGAGTTTTATCACTGTCCTCCTGCACCCAACCCCTGACCCAGGTTCACGGTGTTACTGGCAAGCCAGGACCTTCATCAAAGCAGCTCTAGGAATTAGCCCAGAGAAGCCCAGCATCAACCTGTTTACTTCATACTCCTCCCCAAAGCACTTTGCTTCGGCCACAAGTTTTAAATTTAGCAATGTGCAAAACAGAAGCTCCAAGGTTTGACCCCTGCAAAAAGAGTTAGAGCCACAGGGCTACATCACCTTGAATGGCCCCTTATGTTAAATAATCTGCTCGACCTTGTATTTAGCTGTGACACTGAGTACCATTCCCAGACCTGAGGAACAAGAAACCTGTGTAGCTTGAAAGCTTCTCTCTCACCAAGAGAAGCTGGTCTATTAAAATATATTACCTTGCTCACCCAGTCTCTCTGAGAGCCACAGGGACAGTTCTTGACTGTCTGAAAATCTTTTAAAAATTTTTAACAGTGAAAGCACATGACATAAACAGGCAAAGCAATTTAGTCATTTCTGGTTACACAGAATCTAGGTCAGATATAAAATGCAACATAAGGACATTACCCAGATAAAACTGTGTGGCAGCTCGGTTAGTATAAAGCACAGCATTCAAATCTTGGTCACTGCATTTCTTTTTTAACCCTTCAGTATATGAGATTACAGCTTTCTTGTAGTTCTTTTCCTTGAAGTATTCATTCCCCTCATTCTTATAGGTGTTTGCTTGGTCTGCAAAGACAAAACAAAATAAAACATCTTTCATTGTGCAATGCAATCAACAAATCGCCCCTGCCTATGACCTTAGCATACCTAAAAATTCAAACACCCCTTAGATACCCAATCCCCACTCAAAGAAAAGCAGATGTCTAGAACCCACCACACCCACCTACAAACAACTAAATCCTCAAATCCCAAGGATAATCCCAAAGGGCAGTAGCACAACACCAGAATGGTGTGAAAGCAGAGATTTAAATTTTAATGAAATTATGAAATACCTTCAGGAGATCGATCCTCATCAAAAATGATTGACTGAAGGCATGCCAAATCAGGATTCTGTTCAGGATCAATTTCAGCAGGGGATTTCTTCATAAACATGGGGATCTTGTCAAATTCCTATTAATAACAGCCAGAGTGGAAAACACAATCACAGAATTGGAATTAAGTCCACATTTGGAAATCGTTAAGTCCTTATCAGTATGGTCTTGCAAAATATTCTCTTCAAGCACATCAACCCAGTCAGGGCACAGGTAGCCAGTACTACATTGAAGGAATGGAAGAAGCCATTCAGAGCACACCCACCTCAATTTGGGAGCAAAACCCCTCATCTGTGATTCATCTGAAGGAAAGAGGAGTTTCTCTGTCAGCATTTCAATGGGACATTTCATATCCCACACAAGATTTTTTTTTCAACCTCTGTTGTTCCGATTGTCCCAGCATTAGGCCCACAAACTTTGGTGCCATTACTGCCTCCTCACTAGGGGAGATCCACACTATTCTCCAGGGCCCAGACTGATCTGACACCCGCATTTGGAGACACACACACACCACCTGCCAGCTCTGTCAGACCATCACAATCCCTCTCCAAAAGACAGGAGACCCCTCCCTGGCCCAAGCAGGACACCCTGCCAATACCCGCTCCTGTCTTTGCACACCTCATCACTAGGGCCAGCTCCTTCCCCACCACCAGATCCCTCTGCCCCCATCTCTACAGCCGAGACCCCCTGCCCCCAAACACCCCTCCCATCTCCAGGGATAGTCCCCTTCCCCCATCGCTGGGAATCAGACCCCCTGCGGTCCCCAGACACCAGCCTCCATCTCTAGGGACGGCCCCCTGCCCCCCAGCAACGTGGACAACACCCCCCTCCCCCCGGGCCTCCTGCCCCACCGCCCCCCACCCCTAGGGACAGCTCCCCTCCGCCTCGCCCCCCACCCCTTATCTCTAGGGACAAGACCCCGCTTGCAGGGTGGCCCCCCTCCCGCCCTGTGGCCAAGGCCCCCGGCCCGCACCTGCTCCCAGCTCTCCGGGTTGAAGCCCCCTGTGTAGCGCTGGGTTTGGAATTTGTCGAGGAAGGAGGCCGGCCCGGCCCCCTCCGCCTGCCCCTCGGCCGCCTCCATCGGCTCCGGCTCCGGCTCCGGCCGCCCCCCCGCTTGCTCCTTCCTTCCTGCCGCGCAGCCGCCGCCGCTTCCCCCGCGGCCCGGCCCGGCGCCCTCCGCTCCGCCCCGCCCCGCTCCTGCCCGAGCCCCGGGGCGGCGCTTCCGCTGGGGCCTGGGCCAACTGCCCCACGGGCACCGGACAGCCCCACCGCCCTCCCAGCCTGGGGTCAGGGACCGCTCCCGCCGCCCCCTGCAAACCCCGGGACAGCCCCCCCACCTGGGGTCAGAGGCCGCCCCCTGCAAACCCCGGGACAGCCCCGCCACCCCGCCCCCCCCGCCTGGGGTCAGGGACCGCTCCCGCCGCCCCCTGCAAACCCCGGGACAGCCCCCCCACCCCCCGCCTGGGGTCAGAGACCGCTCCCGCCGCCCCCTGCAAACCCCGGGACAGCCCCCCCCCCTCCCAGCCTGGGGTCAGAGACCGCTCCCGCCGCCCCCTGCAAACCCCGGGACAGCCCCACCGCCCTCCCAGCCTGGGGTCAGGGACCGCTCCCGCCGCCCCCTGCAAACCCCGGGACAGCCCCCCCACCCCCCGCCCGGGGTCAGGGACCGCTCCCGCCGCCCCCTGCAAACCCCAGGACACCCCACCCCCCCGCCCGGGGTCAGGGACCGCTCCCGCTGCAAACCCCGGGACAGCCCCCCCCCCCCCCCGCCCGGGGTCAGGGACCGCTCCCGCCGCCCCCTGCAAACCCCGGGACAGCCCCACCGCCCTCCCAGCCTGGGGTCAGGGACCGCTCCCGCCACCCCCTGCAAACCCCGGGACAGCCCCCCCACCTGGGGTCAGAGACCGCTCCCGCCGCCCCCTGCAAACCCCGGGACAGCCCCCCCACCCCCCGCCTGGGGTCAGGGACCGCTCCCGCCGCCCCCTGCAAACCCCGGGACAGCCCCACCGCCCCCCCAGCCTGGGGTCAGGGACCGCTCCCGCCGCCCCCTGCAAACCCCGGGACAGCCCCCCCACCCCCCCGCCTGGGGTCAGAGACCGCTCCCGCCGCCCCCTGCAAACCCCGGGACAGCCCCACCGCCCCCCCAGCCTGGGGTCAGGGACCGCTCCCGCCGCCCCCTGCAAACCCCGGGACAGCCCCACCGCCCCCCCAGCCTGGGGTCAGGGACTGCTCCCGCCACCCCCTGCAAACCCCGGGACAGCCCCCCCCCCCCCCCGCCCGGGGTCAGGGACCGCTCCCGCCGCCCCCTGCAAACCCCGGGACAACCCCCCCGCCCGGGGTCAGGGACCGCTCCCGCCGCCCCCTGCAAACCCCAGGACAGCCCCCCCGCCTGGGGTCAGGGACCGCTCCCGCCGCCCCCTGCAAACCCCGGGACAGCCCCCCCCCCCCCCCGCCTGGGGTCAGGGACCGCTCCCGCCGCCCCCTGCAAACCCCGGGACAACCCCCCGCCCCCCCCCGCCCGGGGTCAGGGACCGCTCCCGCTGCAAACCCCGGGACAGCCCCCCCCACCCCCCCGCCCGGGGTCAGGGACCGCTCCCGCTGCCCCCTGCAAACCCCGGGACAGCCCCACCGCCCTCCCAGCCTGGGGTCAGGGACCGCTCCCGCCGCCCCCTGCAAACCCCGGGACAGCCCCACCGCCCTCCCAGCCTGGGGTCAGGGACCGCTCCCGCCGCCCCCTGCAAACCCCGGGACAGCCCCCCACACCCCACCGCCTGGGGTCAGGGACCGCTCCCGCCGCCCCCTGCAAACCCCAGGACAGCCCCCCACACCCCACCGCCTGGGGTCAGGGACCGCTCCTGCCGCCCCATAAAAACCCAGGAACTGCTTCCCCGCAGGTTAGGGAGAGTTCCTGCCATGTCATACCCACCTAGGGACCACTCCCCCCACCCCCAGCCTAGGGTCAGAGACAGCTCCCCAACTGCCTAGGGATAGGGCTGAGTACCTGCTTCCCCTCTCTCCCCTCCACAAACCTAGGATCTGGGGGACAGGGCTGAGACACAGCCCCTCTTCTCCCCCCATCCCCACAAACAGGGCCAGCTCCCTCTCAGTCCTAGGGACAGGAGCAAAGAGAGGGAATATCCCCTGCCCCCCAAACACAACAACCAATGAGGAAAACCCAGAGGGGGAAACAAATGCATAGAGTCAGGTCCAGATACTGCCCTGGAAGAGTGAAGCCTGCTCCCCCACAGGAACAGCTCTACCCTTGGTGGGGGTGGTAAGAAACCACCCCAACTGTGTGGGTCAAGAAAGCTCTCAACTGATAGCTGGGCAGCAGAGAGCTCAGTGAGTAAAGAAACCAGAGACGCTCTCTGAGGAAGGCACTGGGCACTAACATCCAGCTATTACATGTGGCCAACACCCACCAACACTATAATTCTGCTCCAGAAAAGAAGTCAAGATTGCCTGGCAGGCTTTGTTCGCAATAAACTCCCAATGCTCTTTATTACCCATGTTCAGTTCACTTTCTTTGGCATGTTAATGACCCTTCCAGAGTCCCTTTGATTTTCCCTCTGGTGGGAAAACAGAGCAGGCAGCCCACGTTGAGAAAAATAATCAGAGTCTGGCTGTGTCTGCATGGGGCTTAGTGGGGCATAAGCCCTGGCTCTCTTTTTGAGCCAGTTAGTGCTTGGCAGCTAATTTCCAGAGGTTGAGGGCATTGAACAGCCTGGATGAGGTGCTTTCGGTAGGAGGAGGATTTGGGGGGCTTTTGTGTTTCTCAGCAGAGTCACTGTTCACTTTGTGTTGCTCAGCCAGGCCGTACTTTAATTTCCAGTAAACTGCCAGGACACGTTCACGTGCCTGAGCAGCAAAGATACACACGGACGCCTCAGGGTCATGTATTAAGCCCCCGAGAGCTGAAACAAAAGACAAAATGTTTACTGGAAACTACAGAACTGTCATAAAAACCATTTATATCCAGATATGCACCGCACACCGGGGTCTTTGCATATTCACATTCAGCTGTCTGAAATACCATTCCTAAAGCCCTGCCCTGCATTTCCCCCTCATCTACAGCACCTGTAACATACCCCCCCCCCCCCCCCGGCTAGATCCTCTGCATCCTCCTACTCATCGGCAGCACCCACGGAACACTACCATAAAGTACTTAAAAGTACTTGCCTGACAGGACTTTGTTATGCTTGATGCCTAAACATGTGCTGGGTGCTTCACAGAAACTAGTCTAGACACTGTGCAGGTCCTGAAGAAATTATGATGTAAGGCCTCAGTACTGCAAGTTGTTCCATGGGGGCAGATGCCTCCACCTGCAGGGAGCTTCACTGAAGTCAATGGGATTCTGCATGAGCACAGTAGTCAGATCACGAGGAACAACTTGCAGGATTGATGCATAAGTTCAGACATAACACAACAAGTGAGGATAATAAAAGGGGAGTAGGTGGGGGGAAGGGAAGAGCTAGGAAAATGGTTACATTAATAAGATCTCACATTAACTCCATGAGGCATGGACACATCTATGAATGCTCAGATGCCACTCTGGTGCATGGGATAAAAATATCTAGACAGACAGCCACCCCAAGGAGCATGGAAGAACTTACAAAGGCAGTAGTGGGAGAATTAAAAAAGGGGCATCCAAGCTGATGACGGTGGCACAGTAGTGGAGATGGTGCATGAAAGGAGATCAAATCAAATATACACTTTGGGGCTGACTGATGTAAGGCTTTGAAAGAAGCTTGAATTTGATATTGTCATAAATATAAAGGGAAGGCTAACCACCTTTAAATCCCTCCTGGCCAGAGGAAAAACCCTTTCACCTGTAACGGGTTAAGAAGCTAAGATAACCTCGCTGGCACCTGACCAAAATGACCAATGAGGAGACAAGATACTTTCAAAGCTGGGGGGGGGTCTGTGTGTGTGATGCTTTTGCCCGGAACAGAGCAGGAACGCAGGTCAGAACTCCTGTAAAGGGTTAATAAGCAATCGAGTTAGATATGCGTTAGATTCTGTTTTGTTTAAATGGCTGATAAGATAAGTTGTGCTGAATGGAATGTATATTCCTGTTTTTGTGTCTCTTTGTAACTTAAGGTTTTGCCTAGAGGGAATCTCTATGTTTTGAATCTAACTACTCTGTAAGATATTCACCATCCTGATTACAGAGGTGATTCTTTTGCTTTTTCTTTAACTAAAATTCTTCTTTTATGAACCTGATTGCTTTTTCATTGTTCTTAAGATCCAAGGGTTTGGGTCTGTGTTCACCTATGCAAATTGGTGAGGATTCTTATCAAGCCTTCCCCAGGAAAGGGGGTGTAGGGCTTGGGGGGATATTTTGGGGGGAAGACGTCTCCAAGTGGGCTCTTTCCCTGTTCTTTGTTTAACACGCTTGGTGGTGGCAGCATAAGGTCCAAGGACAAAAGGTAAAAATTTGTACCTTGGGGAAGTTTTAACCTAAGCTGGTAAGAATAAGCTTAGGGGGTCTTTCATGCAGGTCCCCACATCTGTACCCTAGAGTTCAGAGTGGGGAAGGAAACTTGACAGATGTGGAAGGTGAAGGGGAGCTAGTGGAGGCATTCTAAGAAGGGGGATGATACAGTCATAACACAGAGATGGTTTTGGTTCAGGATTTTGGATGGATTGGACGGGGAATAAACTGAGTATGCAAGGGACCAGACAGAAGGAGTTTGCCGTTATCAGTCTGGGAGAGGATTAGGGAGTAGGCAAGTGCTTTTGCTATCAGAGCAGAAAGGAAGAAGCAGAATTTTGAAGAGTGATGGAAGAAGCAGCAACCTGATTTGGTCATAGCATGGACACTGGAGAGGAGACAAAGATGATTCAAGGTTACAGGTCTGGTTGACAAGAAGGATGGTGGTGTTGCCTACAACATTGGAAAAAGGGAATAGAAGAGTTTAGTTCTCATTATACTGAGTTTTGAATTAATGGTGAGCCAAACAATATAAGATGTTGGAGTATGTGTAAAAAAAGAGACTGAACTTTGAGAGATCCAGAGTGGATTTGAGAGTCATCAGTGTTGATAGAAGTGGTAGTCAAACACATGCGAGCAGGGGTGCCAACAAGAATAAAGCATAGAGGAAGAAGAGGTATAGAGTCAAACTATCACCG